TACCTATAGTTTAGCTTTAGCAATTTTTTTGGTGTACCTTAGAAGTCATGCGGTTTAAGACTTTATTCGCATCCTGTATACAGGATTTTACGCCAAATTAAATTTAGTTCGAGTAGTAGGTATTGGTGTAATTAAGGTCATTTATAAAGGAAAACAGTTCATAATTCGTTCGTCCATTCCATTTGTGCCGACAGTTACCCATGTAACGCAGATAACTCTCGGCAGTGTTCAATTTCGGAGCTTTTTTCCGTAAGTATATTTTCCTCACGTCGTCATTTACCCCATTCATCCATTTGTTCTAAAACGCCCACATTTCTTTGTTCTTAATGTCCTACTTATTGCCTACAGGAAATTTATTTTCCGCGTCGAAAAAAAACAATAGATTTATTCAGAAAAATTCGAGTAAACGAATCTTTGTCTACGTACTTACTCCTTTACGGTAAAATAGGTTCATAAAACAACCAAACAAATCGTCGACTACACTGACAATATAATAGTTGAACTCATTTCCCTGTATACTTGAAATGTATATACATAGATACAAAATAAATATGTACGTACATTATAGGTTCATGAAAGAATAATATCTCTCTCTATTTCTGAAATTGTCTTTCGTGCAACATGTAGCTTTTGAATTATTAATAACTATCGGCTGTGAATTTCCACGAGCTCTATATTTTTTCAATAAAATATTACTATTTTCTTCGGATGGAATGACCGACTCGTTTAAAATAAACGTCGCTTTTGTTTATCCAATTGCACTGAATCCGTTCCGGATTGGTGGATGTTATTGAACAATTTCATGATGAATTTTAAATTAGAATTTCCAGTTAATTCGTCTGTAATAACTTCGTCTGCTATTGAATTGATAGCCGCAAATATTGATGTTTTTTATGACGCATCCATTCGGAAATAATAAAATGTTTCATTATCTAGATTTGTAATTACAACAGGACTAACAATTTACCCCTTGCTTTGCCAAATGGTTCTTTTCAATCTTTTTTTGACTAAACATAATATAAAATAAAATGGCAAGGCAAAGTAGAAGATATGATGAAATTAGGACGATTCTAACTTTAGAATAAATATAATTCATCCATTAGCAAAAAACCACCCCTCCGCAGCCTGGCTAAGAAGTCTTACGGTTGTCCAAAAAATTAATTACCCTAAATCAACAGCCGAAAAAAAGAACACAAACTGCAAGATCTGAGGATGAGAGGTTTCCGGGGCTTAATAAGTTCTGTTACGTTAAAAGGACCACGGCCTTATTGTAATTTATGACTTCTTAAGGGGAATATATGGAGGCGGTAGAGCTGTTTTTGCGCCGCCGAACCTTCCTAGTTTATTCAAATAAAATGCTCGCTTTGCGGCAAATGAAAACGCGAAAATTACCCAAGGTTTTTCTTATCTGGATGGAAATTATCCGAAAAAACGACTTCCGAAACAGGAAAAATTGAGCTCGAAAATTGCAGACGTAAATTTCGACTCAAATAAATAACTACCCACTATTTTTTATATTATTACGAAGGAAACTAGTGAAGTATCGATTATTAAAAAAACTGGCCATTTAAAAAAACTGAAAAAATTTGGCACAATCCATATAAACTATTAGTGAACCTATAATTATTTCGTTTACAACGTTTACAAAACTAGCTTGTTGCCAAAAAATAAGCGCTTCAAGCGTTCAACCCATGTTGTCGACATTTTCAACGTGCTTCTAAATAAAAAAAACAATCTTCATGTTATATACAGCGGTTAATTAAAAATTGCGGCCGCTGCACGGCTGCATTTCACCTACTACTTATTCCCATTAAAGAGTTGACGGCCGGTTGTTGGCGGTGACCATTATACCAGGATTTATGACCTCATTACTATTTCTCTTTGTACATCAGCGTATTGATTGATCTGCAAACGACCAATCAACGGAACAAGCGTACATATATTGACAGTCGACCGATGTATCTTATCACAGGGTGGTCCACGAATTGACGAATCGACCTAATGCCATAATTTCAATTAATAAGATCTCCTTAGAAGGCGATTCGTGCGGAGCGTCCCGAGCGGAAAGATAAACGAATAAAGTTATCTCATTCGACCGGGAAAAATCTGTATTCACAGCACTGGCGACCATGCAAGATGCACTAGTATTTATTCAATATTTATCAGAGGATTTATTCAAATGGAGGAATCGCTGGCTCGAATAAAAGACTGGCGAGTGCATTTACCAGACTGATGTTGGTAGACTGCCAATGTTCTGGTGTGGTACGTAGACAGGAAGCGGGCAAAATGTAATAAGGGCGCATTAGAGTGCGGCCGACGCCTGATTTGGCCACTTTTTCCCATTCTCGTTCAACACATCGATAAATTTATGGCGGATAATATTTTGCGCTTCTTCTGAGAACGCGATCCGCCCCGTTCCTTTTGTCGTCCGCATTTGTAAAAGTTTGTTCTATCTAGCACAAAAGATGTTTTGAAGGTTGCCGATTCGATTTATGGCCCGAGACAGGCATTTTATCAACGAAATTTGTTTTATATACCTATGCTTTTTCTACCACGCGACTTTGTAGCTTTCGCGATCCAAGCTGTTTTGCCAAGGTAACCACGATTTGGCATTTAAAGGAGTCACTTCAATGTGATATTATTAATTTTAATTGATTAAACTTGCAATTAAAATTAACATTTTTTCGTTTAATTGACATATGAGAAGTTTTTGGATCTCCAGCATATATGGAAATTATTATTCTTAATAAAATTCAATTATCATAATTATTCATAGAAATTTCACTATTCACTAATTTTACTCGCACTGTTAAATATATTTCAGGTGGTAAAGGAATTTGATGATTAATTATAGTAAGCCCCTGAATACGTCCGCCGTTTAGAAACGTGAAACAGGTACCCCTAATTTTCAATTTGTTCTTGTCATTTTGCCATTTGACAATTTTACAAAATTCTTAGATTTTGTAAGCTCAGTAAAAGTTCGGCAACACTGCGTACTTGTGACGTAGTACATTATAGGTGACGTGCATTGATATATTTGTTTTGCACCAACTGTATGTATGTATTATGGAAGAGTTTCATTTACCGAACACAGTAAATTCATGATAGGAAGAGCCAAATTCCCAGCCGAACTAGAGGATTAAATTGTGAGCAATATAAAACAAAAGTTTGTCGAAACTTTTTGCAACACATCGCAGACACTTCGGTGATCTATTGGCGTTAGTTTTTTCCGACCATTAGCCTCCTCTCTCGGTAGGGTTGATTTCCAAATCGTTGTTCCATTAAAAAATCGAACGTATATACGCGCGTCCTGTCCACTTCGCTTCTTTTCACGGATGGTCACGTTTCCATCCCGATTTTTCCCCGGCGAGGACCGCTTGTCCTTTTAGCGTGTTTCACGAACTGTGTGATATTTGCAAATTACCGACTGCATATGCAATGAGATCCGGATTGACTTTAATGGACGCCAGACGCACCCGCCACTAAAACTACTTTTACTCCCGAATAAAAATTCGCGTATTTTCTGTGAAAAAAACTGTTTAAATATTTCCGCCTGGACGGTTTCCATTAAAGTGCTTGCCCAGACCTGCGGAAGTTCAATAAATACTTTATCTGTTTAAAGCATCAACCTGGTCTGGTACAGATATAATCAATAAAACTCAGAAACGGATTTCCAAAAGCGGAGTTCTCACACCGCGTATTCTGCATAACATTTCATTCGATTTTGCAGTAAAATTTTCCGAAATAATCCGGTATCGAGCGCATTAGGGAAACACCCGCACGGGTGACAGCAGCAGGGGTGTTCACGCATGAAATTAAACTATGTTCTAAATTTCTCTCGAGTTTCGTGGAACTTTGGGGAATACTTAATGTTTGTTGTTATAAAGGAATTGAAATACGTGAGTTGTGTGCGAAAACGCTCATTGAAACTAAACTAAATGGCTTCATTTCGATGGAAAACTTTTATGAACTGCAACGTTCGTATTGAATACGTAAACACCAACTATTCGAACGATTTTATTTGAACTGCCTAAATTAGAGGGCTAATTGAGCAAAGAAGGCGCGAATTGGAAATTTTTGAGATAAAAGTAATTATTACTTTGCTCTTTATTCATTCTGATGTCATTAACAGAATTGTACATTATACAGAAACATTACTTTTCAAAATGATTGAGAAATGTAGATCAAAAAAGTATACTATCAAAAATCGTGTAAAATTCAAAACAAATAATTTACAATAAAATTAAAATGGGTATAAAAGATTTTATGGCAATTTTTTGAATTAATTAGGCTTACTTTTACGACATTCCTTCAGCACTGGAAAATATCCTATTCAAAACCGCCGACGTTATTCAAATTTTTCTACTGAATAATAGATTTTCATTTGAATAAACTGCAAATAAAATAGGTAATAATAAAACATAGACAAGCAATATATACCTAAAGATGTAACATAAAGTTCGGTTATTTCGAATTTTACTGTCTGGCGCAATCACACAAACAGCCCGGAAGCCCCCGATTTTCCGTTCTCCGCATTAGAAAATTCTAATACACCTAAAATTTTCACAGGCTATAAATCCCCGAGAATCCGTACCGAAGAAATTGTAAAAGGGTGATAGATTTCATCTCTCGCCTCCTCCCTTTGTACACGGCTTCTTTGTTTTGCACTTTTGCATATCCGCCAAAAGAATATGTCATGAATGTTTTATATAACTATCGATTCGGAAACGAACCGCGCATAATTTTATCTCTGATTTTATCTCCCTTATTTGAATACGATATACGTAAGTAGAGGTATGGATGTATTAATAAATGAAGATTATTCCCGATCGCTATTTTCTACATTCTTTCCTTTTCCACATTTCTCATATTTTATTCCTACTACAGACCGACAATAATAGCTGCAACCAAGAAGGTCATATGCGCTGTGTTGCAAACGAATTGCGTATCTCTAACTACGTTATTTCTTGTATTAATGGAACCTTTTTTTCCATTTCCAGACGAAGTCGACGTGATCGGCTACACCAGCACCCAGAGCGACACGGACGACCATTCCAGCGTCCAATCGGCGTCCAGTGATAGCGGCGTCGTCATGTCCACTTGCCGCTTGACCCTGTCGGAAATGGAGGTCATGTAGGTGTCAGACGGGCCGCCCGGATCCGAAACACGACGACAACCAACTACAAGCATGAGGAAGTGGACTCGTCCCAAGCCAGTACGGCCCGTCTCGAGGACCTCCCGGTCCGCGAAGAGCGACCGCCTTAGGGACCCGGCCCACACCATTTTTCGGGGCGCGTCCACCCTAGTCAACGAAAAACAGTCTGTCTTCTCTAGTCCAGCCATTGTGTGACTGACTGACTATTTTTTTTGTGGGCGGGCGATTCGTTGTTAGCGGAAAATGTACAAAATTTTCGGAAAGTTTAACTGTGTAATTCAATTACAAAATGTACTTATTTTAGGTTTTTTTTTTAATTATTTTATCTGATGTTATAAACATACGCGCGTAGAATATTGCAAATATTTTAAAATTACAGTGCACGAGGAATAGCTGTAGAAGTGACCTGCGCGACATTCAAACTATCGCGCATCGTACTCCCACATCTTCAGCTATTCATAACGTACTGTACCTAATTGAAAAAATTTACTGAATTTATTGGATTGTTATCTACAGTTCAGAAATATTTCAACCGTACTACAATTCGATTTCCCAAAATTTTGTACATTTTTCCCATCTTTGGTTCACATAATGTCTGTGCTAATTCGGATTATTATCATTGTATTTCACCTTTATAAATTATTTACATGTATATTGTACATATTTTCGAACCTGAAAGCAGATTATTATGATAATATGTATTAAATGAGGTGACTGACTGCCCTGAGGACCGCGACGCAAAACTTCTCTCACGTCTAATTTCACCCTTATACAGCGCGTCCGGTTGCAAAAGGATGCCTTACAAAATGCTTCCTTTTCCCGAGCGGACGTTCCGTATAAATTCGGTGTGTCCTTGCTAAATTAATTCGAAATTTTCAGTTTTCCATTCCACAATGGCTGTTATTAAAGTACCAACATTTTCTCAGACGGGACACATCGTTTCTTCAGCTGAATTTTTTTAGTCGCTATTTTCTTGAGGTTTTGTATAGATCGCCAGTGAAGACGGTAAAAGTGATTTTAATGTAGTTTTACTTGAATTTTCGTATTATGATTAAACTGCTTTTGCTCAAAGTTTCGAGTTATACAGGGTGAATCGCGGAACTGGAGATACTACGTATGGCAATTGAGTCAAACATCCATTGTAAAAATATTGCTGGTTAAAGACATACTGTGTAAAAATCTTAGGCAACAGATTTAGAAATATTTGACTCAATGATCATATTACTTTAAGTCTGTATAGGTCTCGTTCTTAATGAATCACCCTGTATATCTTTCAATCAATTCGAAACTAATGCAAACGCAGTATAATATCACTGTACCTGCTTATCTTTAAAGATTTATTTTTATAATTATTTCACGAATGAATTAAACTCTTCTTTCCCTGTACATTACGATTTCGTTGTATTCTTTTTTGTCTTTCGTGTATACAATGAATTTTATTTATCTACTACCTCTCGGAAAATAGGTGGATTTTTCTCGTCGAAAGCGGTGTTTTGTAAATATCCTTATGAATTATATGTACATGCTTTTTACATATATGAAAATGACAATAACGTAAAGATTAATTAGTGAAAATATTAAATGTACCAAATTTACTTGTATCGTAATTTGTAATTATCTAAGGATCATTTTAAAGGCGCGTTGACATTGCGTTCGTTTGCAAAGACATATTTTTTTAATAAGTAGGTTATCGTTAAATGTTAAATGGATTAAAAGAGTACAGAGATAAATTCAAATTCAACCGATGTCTTTCCAGTGTGCAAAATAATAAGTTTTGTATGCTACTTATAAATTAAAACCTTATTCGTGCCAAAATGCGGGCTGAGCCTTCACTCATCTAAAATTACTTCATTCATCATCTTTTAATTTTACTTTTTAGATTAATTTTTGTCTATAATTATATATTTTTCAATCCCTCAGATCTCGAGTTATTTCAAAAAAAGTCATATTGAAGGTGTCACTTTGTTGACTCTCCCGTACATTTTTTCAATATAATTTTCACCAACAAAATGAAAAAAAAATAGAAAAATAAAGCTTCTTATCTGGTCTATTCGCAATTCATGCTGGTTTATGAATAAGCTGAGACCATAAAAAAACTAATAAGTACTTCAAGTCAAAAGACCAAGACAGGTGGAAGAAACTTTTAAAGGCTTTCCTGAAGAAGCGGATTATTGAAGGAAAAGGATGATAGGACCTATTTAGAAATTTTATATATTAAACACAATGCATTATTTTAAAACGAACCATCTTTTAGAGTTTGGTTATTAAATTAAATTTAATTCTTGTTATTAATTTTTTTATTGTTACCAATTTCAAAATCATCTACTGCAGTAAAACAAACATTTATAGTGATAACGAATAAGGTTTTCTTTTAATAAATCTATTATAAATAAGTATTATCTTCTACAACAAAAGTAATAATACTTGAAGACGCGAATCCAAATCATTAAAAAATATGATAAAAGAAGTTATCACTTAGCAAACAATAATTAAAATCCAAAAAGCCTTTTTATAAGTATTTACATTTCGTTTATTTGTTCCGCCTAAAAAAATCCATCTATTTCTCTTCACAAAAAAAAATTCTAGAAGATAAATGTAACTTCCCTAACTAACAAATAATTTAAATCTAACGATATGCATAAAATAACATTCAACGGGCAATATTAACAAATTTATGATTTTTGTAGACGGCATAAAGGGCTAAAAAATACAGGGTGTCCCAATGAAAAGTAGCTCCTTTAGTGAGCTAATAATGTTTAAACGCCTAATCATAAAAGCATGCGGTTTTCGCAGACATATTTTATTTTGACAACACACAAATTTTTATTGTGACACAAAAATTTTGTATCGCCTATACAAATTTTACGAAATAGGACATCTTCTCTTGTTTTCTTTCCATTTAAAAAAATGGTTACTGTGAATTTAAAAGAGGAGATTTTGATAAAACACCCAGTGTTGGTAATGCATAATTTCTGTATCACTGTAACAAAACTTATAATAAAGTAAAACATATCTGAGAAAACCGCATGTTTTTATTATTAGGCGTTTAAAAATTATAAGTTCATTAAAGGAGCTACTTTTCATTGGGACACCCTGTATATCGGAAAATATGTCGGTATCGGATTATTGTCATTGAAGCAAATTGTCGCGGGCCCACTCGAGCTCCAATTAACGTTAAAACGGAGAAGGTTTATACCCTTAATTATTGTTTAATGAACAAAACTAGTATAAGTGAAGCAAATACGTTACTGAAAAAATAAAAGAATCCTCGACGCTCAGTTTTTATCCGATGAATTTCGCGACCACTCAGAACTCCCGATGTAAATTAGTCTGATTTTTTTCGGTAACTTATTTGAGACACTGTGTAAATTTTAAAGTGAGACAGAATGAGATCGGCACGTGCGACGGACCAATTAGTAATACACAGCGATTTCTAATGTCTATTGTCTGATTAATTATTGTGATATATTGCTTAAAATTTAACGCGATTTTCCTATTTTTTTTTTCAAACAAACTATTCCTCCTACTTTTGTGTTCGCTAAACATTATTGCCCAATTTCTTCACTTATCAATATTTCAATTCCAGTATGTTTTTGGAAGTTTTCTTTTACTGTGTAAGTTAGTCATATCTTCAAACTCCTTTACGTTTATCGAGCTGGCAAGGTTACAGAATCCTTTAAATTAAAATTTGTACCAAAATGAAATTCAACAAGCATTTCATTCTACCAATATTACCTTGCCAACTCACATACTTGACTCCCTTTTTACACCATTTCATCTAATAATAATAAGTTAATTATTCCAGTAAATATGACAAAACAGACATAGACCAAAGCTGTGTATAGATCTCGGGTCCTTGTCGTTCTTAACATCGGATAGCATTCAAAGAGTACAAATTCTTATATGTCCCGTTATGGGACCTTATATTTTATATGACGCAGATGGAACTAGCAATTGACTTTGTAATGAATATTTTATCGCACCGTGTATTATATTATATTAAGACAACGACGTAATAATCAAAAAACTAAGGCAGAAACCCCCTTTACACACTGTACAAACTGAAAAGATCCCTCAGTTATTTTTTTATAAAATGAAAACGGATTCAACGAGTATCTCCCACAGCCAATTTTCAAAGTTTCGAGTTTCGATTATTACCGTATTTTGAACGTTACACATCACATCTCGTTTAGGCTGTGTTAATAATAGCTATAATTTCTATCAAGCCAGAATAAATACCTATAAAATCGGAGAAATACAGTCCATAAATTGATTATACAGGGTGTTTTTGAACTTATGGCATTAAATTCTAAGGGTGGTTGCATAATTTGAGACCGATTCGCAGATTTAATTTTTCTAAAATAATTATATTAAACAAAATTTGAAATATTAAAAATATTTCAAAGAAATGCGGTCCTGTACATCGGTTGAAGCCCCTCGACCGCGTGATAGATCGAATTCTCCATAGGTTAAAATCGACAAAATTATGATTTATAAATTAAGAGTGATATCTTATTCAAATTTGTTTATTACTTATTTATTCTATATGGTCTCTAAATTTTTAGAATCATGATAAATTATAAAAGTAAACTGGGTTTTTCAAACAATAGAAGAAAATAAACTTTAAACTCGAAAGGAATATTAGCTCACCTATTTTGTTGTTGAAAGCTGCTTAATTGTTCCAGAACATCACTATAACGAACAAGAACTAACTAATTATGAACACTAAGAACTTAAAAACAATCAAATAAATCACTAAAGTCTAATCACAAAAATCTATTTAACACCGATGTAACAAAATAATAAAATTTGCACTTGAAAAGAATTAATCGGTAACGTTTTTCGAAAGCTGGAGGGCGGAGGGGGAAATTTTTTGCGCTCGCTGATAAATACACCGTATCTGTTTTTTTTTTAGTTAAAATTCCGACCAGCTGACTATTGCGGCCAGGGTTGTATTCGCTCTTTGCATTTATTTCTAATGGCTCTATTTTGTTTATTATTTTTTTTACAAAAATGAAATCTGCGAATCGGTCTCAAATTATGCAAACTACCACCCCTAGAATTTAGTGCCATAAGTTCGAGAACACCCTGTATACAAGGGAAAGTGAATAGTTAGTGATAAGTTCTCGGCCCGACATTGAAAGGCTGCGATTTTCAGTTGAAAAATTACATTACTCTCGTTATTAAGTGGAAATATTTAGTTCCAGACAGTTCTAAATGATTCTGGGGCGTTCTAAATGGTTTTACACAGTATGATTCTAGAGCGTTCTAAAATGACTGTGGAGCGTTTTAAATGGTTCTGAAGCGTTCTAAACTATTTTTAAGCGTTCTAAACTATTTTTAAGCGTCCTAAATGGTTCTAGACAGTTCTAAATGATTCTGGAGGGTTCTAGATTGTTTTAGACAGTTCTAAATGATTCAGGCCGAGAACTTTTCACCCTACCCTTTTACATAAACACCACAAATTCACTAAAGAAACATTTTAACAACTTCAAGGTGTTTCGGTTAACTATGTGATATAACCTGGTGGTAGTATAGGGAATTAAAACAAGCATTTGTACCTGTTGTACTATACGGGTAAACTCCTTAATGAATCAAACACTCCTCCAAACTGCATAAGGCAAATACCCTTGTTTTAACTCCCTTTACTACCCTCCGGAATTGTAGCATGGTACTCCTGTAAACTCGTTAAAACTTGAGGAAAAATTGGAAATCGTCGAATCCACGAAAAAATTATTACAATCTTAAGGTGCTGTTCCATCCGTGCAAGAACTGAGCCTCTTGATTAGGGTGTGATTGAGAGGGTGAGTGTATGTTTGACAGGTGATTGCACGGGTACTGATATTTCGTGAAGTTTAACATTGCAATGCGAGAGACTTAAAAGGAAGTGTCACGATAGATGTAAATCCGTTGTTTTGGTGTAGATAGCATCAAAAGTGGACTGATTATTGATAAAAAAATAAGAGGGGTTTCGAAAGAGTAAGACCGATTTTTTGCGATTTTAACCCGACTAAAATTTAAATCGATTGTATAGCATGTTTGAAATAGTCAGTTTTTGTATATTTTACACTGTGAAAGTAATTTATCCTACCGATAATAGAATGTTAAACAGGCATAAGTTTTAAAAATCGGCACGCAATGTATATTTAATTAACTATAATTGTATATTACAAATAATTTTGTAAATAATTGTAAATTTTAGTAAAATATTCCCTTGTAAATAATACGAACAGACACTTCCTTTTGGTTATTGCACTGTTGCATTGTCGTCAACCATTTTCTATAAATGTCCGCTTCTATTAGCCAAACAGATTGCTCTATAGAATTCTTGTCTGTTTACTTGAAGAAAAAAAAACTTAAACATAAGAGAGCTTTCATTGCAAAATATGATAAAATAATAAATGTATTTCACTCTTTGTGTTTTTAATTGTCTCGAGCAGCAGAGTGAGTTTGATGCCTTTCGTTGTATACAAATCGTTTCTTACAGAATTGTATATTTGTCGATGTAAGAATGTATCTGGTAAAACAACGTTATCCAAATAAATTGGGATTAATTGTACATAAGCATAATATTGCTGAGAAAACTGTATGTAACGCAAATTGCGTAGGAGTTGAATTAGAATGAATTCATGCAGATGTAACAAATGTCAATTAAAGGAAACAGAAAAATTACAATTACAATTATTTGAGCCTTAAATTTAATATTGTAAAAGTTGAGGATGGTTTGTAGAGTTAGAATTGTGCAAGATTTGTCAAAAATTCGACTATTTCTTTAGCTAATTTTTGATTCATCTAGGGTAAAATCTAATCTAGGCTTTAACAAAGTTGATAATCCCATGAAAGTGCCGAATTTCGGACATAATCTAAGTTCATTTCTAATCGAAGTTTACTTAATGCAAAAACCAAACATCCTAAACATATAAAACCAAGCTCAAGTTATTTAGAAAACATCACATAAAAATCTTAATTATTATTGGTAATAGTTGACATTTGTTGCAGCTGTAAATCCAAACTGGAAACGTTTGTTCACGCCAAATTTATATACAACAACATTTAAAACCATTTTGCTGCCAAAAATTAGAAAGATGCTTCCCCCCCTTGTCGCAGTTCTTTCAACAACGCGAGCCGATGCACAAAAAATGTGACGCTGTATTCATAGGTTGGTTTACTAGAAGGGTGCGTTCACATAGAAACTACCGAACAAACCACAAAGTGATATGCAGTTGGTGAAACTACATACCATAAGGGATCAATAGAAAATATTTGACACTATGGTAAAAGAAAACATTGTTTCCAACGAGCGTTAGGTCATACCGGATTGCGCAATGGTGAAATGTATTGTCTATTGCGCAAGTATAGTTCATCAAATGCTCATTGGGTATAAAGTTGATATAAGTAATGACTGTTACACGGGGACCAGAGGTTACAGAAATTTGTAATGTCGACGTATTTACCTCCTCAATAATTTAAGCACAACAAATAAATGGTAATATTTTAAAGTGTCATGAATTGTTGAAGAACTGCGACATGAATTAGTTCTTAGAATCCAGCACTCCTGTCACCTGCATTGGTTGTATGAGATTAATAATTGTACATAAAAAAATACTTGTAACTATTCATATTGCATTGTTTTGTTTATCATTTTCAAGTCTATCTCTTATTATATATTTCTTATATGTTTGGGTTTTTGTTCGTTCTGTCTGGCCGTTTCAACATTTATTGTGCAGTTAAAAATCAATTTGACTGTTGAATTGCGATTAGAGAAACGAACAAAAACTCGAATATAATGCAATGAATTGTGTACCTATTATTAGATAATATACTGTGTTATTTTAAAATCTCATTAAGTTTTTTTATTTCAAATGTTACAAAAAAAGATATCGTCCAAGCATTTATAAGTTGTGTGAGAATATTTCACCTTTGTTTCTTTGTAAAATTTTAACGCAATAGTAGGTATTACTAAAATATAATATTAATTTAAGCAGTGGTTTTTTAAATCAAGTCACTCCCTGTTTTTTGCAAACGAGATTTAATGTATTATTCAAACAGTAACATTCTTCAATACTTCACCATTGATATAAAATGCCGGAGTTTAAAAAAATATAATTATCCCACAAATTATCTGAAGTCATTATTATTTTGATTGCCTAGTATTAATTACTAGTAATTTATCGTTTCTTTGCGAAGGGGTGATTCTTTATGATGTGGTTCTTTATGATTCTTTCAGGATGTGAATATTTGGATGATTTTAAGATCGTATATCACTTTATCAGGCATTAAATTAAAAAAATAATTATACAGGGCGAGTCTGAAGGAACGAACCAAACCAGATACAACAATTTACAAAAAATATTACATTATAATTACATTAGAAGTGGGCTTAAAACTGAAGTTTAGTTCGTTAATTTCGCCTCACCCTGCACACAATAACGAAATGACGTTACTCGACTAAATCGTTAAGGAATAAATATGAAAATATGGAAAAATTTTATTAACAAAAAAACGGTTCCAAAATATCATGGTTAATTCAACTAACTTTTAGAGCTGATCGTCGGAGATGAAACTAAACCTAATTCGCCGGATTCCAGCTGCTTGAGCAGTCGAAACAACGCCGCGGCCTCTCTAATCCTACTAAATTCTATACAAAAAGCTTGAACTTCAATGAACAATTCCTGCACGTTGATAATCTTATTTCTTATAAGCGACTGTAAAAACACACACACTAACCTCACCAGCCTGTTTTGCATATATCTGTCTTTAATCGTTTCACAAGTCGATATACAATTCGAAATGTAGAGGTGAACAAATTCCGTAGGTAAATCAACGGTAGTCGTTAACCTGTTTACTACTTCCATAGAATGCAACGACATCTCCATGTTTACTAAAACGCTAAAGTACTCCGTAATTTGCTTCGATTGCATCAGCTTCAGCAGCACCTCGATTGCGATTAGGGGATTGTTTTCTACGAGGTCGGGAAGCTTCAACGGTGTTAGACCTATGTGGTACACTAATTTCGGATCGTCCTCCAATTCTCCTAAAATAAATAAACCATATTAAATTTTCAATGTGTACTGTCGTGAAAGGTAAGGGGATCTCCTAACGAGCTGCAGAGGCACGGGCTAGATTGACCTGGGTCGGAGAGTTGAGCTCCAGTAATGGGACTGGTGAGAGTCCAAGGAAGAGTCCAAGTGACTCCAAGGGGGTAGAGTACAGGTCATGTGTATGATAGGTGTACCAAGTGATAGAGCCCGGACCACAAAGTCACCCCGTAGCATTAGGGAAGGACCATTTACCTAATAATTGTTGTTGTTGTTGAATAGAAAGAGCGGATTTGTAGGCTTTGTTCATGAGCTGTCTCGCCTCGTAGCCGGCCATATCTGGAACGCACATCGTCGTGTCGTAAGCCACTGTGTGTTCCTTGGGTGTCGTGGGGTTTAGCCATACGGGTTCGTCCTGACAATTCAGTAACGGCGGAGCTAGCGTGACGAATTCCGGTTTGTAGACCTTCATTAAAGGTGGATCGTCTCCGGCCACTAATTTTTTTATAATAACTTCGTCTTTAATGATGTCAGATGAGTAAGTATTAGAAGACTTTTCTGGTAAAGGTAATATTACAGGTATACCAGTTTTGCAAGTCATTGGTATATCATTTTGTTTCTCAGCTAAGGCCAGTTGTAGAGAAGAGAAATCTGAAGTCACCTATACATACAAGATAATTAATTACCAACAAAATTATATTCAATAGCTAGTTTACTACCTGAGATGGTACGTCAGAATTAACAATTTGAACGGCTGTTTTTTTAAGAAGAGCATCCTTCGGTTTATCGGCCAGCAATTGGATTATAAAATGCTTTTCCTGAGGGGTAATCCTAGGCAGTTGTCCTGGATATTCCAATTTCGGAGCTCCCACGCTGCTCTGTTGCTCAGGCGGGTTCAGAAGATGCACGAAAACATTGGCGAATGGAGTCTTCGCGATGGGTTCTCCTCTGTACAATTCATACAGCAATGTTACGGCCGCTAAGCGCTGCTCGGGCTCCGGTAATAAATTATTCTGCAGCAGCATAACTATGCAGGCGCCCACTTTGAAGAAATTGGAAGCATCGAACTTTTTGTGTACATCGTTCGAGAGGGCTTCAAGAGTGAAATTACGTACATTATGAGTCTCCAAAATTCCTAACAGTATATCACATTGGTCCACAGTTAATGCCATGTTTTTTAATTACTCGTAAACATGTTTTTTTTTCTTATATTCCCATTTGAAAACAGGAATTATTTTACTTACTGGCAGCTGGATAATTGACGTTGACAGCGACAGATAGACATAAAAATCATAGAGGTGACTAGCTTCTTATAGAGATGAAGACCAGTATTGAAACCTAACCTTCAAATAATGTTTTGAGTTTTGACATTCCATATTTATTTGTATATTTTTTTAAAGTTATTCGCAAGTCATGTCATGTTTTAGTGAATTACGCACAAACGTTATCGATCCTAATGGATTTAGCTCACCATAAAGTGAACAAAGTACCCCCTTCGGTGTATTACATTCCAAATTTCATATCGACAGATGAGGAATCGCACATTTTAAAAAATGTTTACCAAGTACCCAAACCGAAATGGACTCACCTATCTAATCGAAGATTGCAAGACTACGGGGGAGTTCCGCACGAAAAAGGGATGGTCCCGGAAAAAATTCCAAACTGGCTGGACGTTTATCTAAACAAAATTCACAAACTGAGCCTTTTCGAAGGCAGAAAACCGAACCAAGTGCTTATAAATGAATATTCACCGGGACAAGGAATTATGCCTCACACTGACGGGCCCTTGTTCTATCCCACAATCGCTACGATTTCATGCGGATCCCATACTGTATTAGAGTTTTTAGAAAACAATGAAACCCGGAAGAATGTCTGTGAAGTGCTATTAGAACCCCGAAGCTTAGTGATAGTTAAAGATGAATTGTATTCCAAATATTTACATTCCATTTCTGAACGTAACGAAGACTGCATCGATACATGCTGCAACTTACAGCACTGTCAAGAGTATTCATGCAATAAATTGTCAAGGTCTACTCGAGTATCACTAACTATAAGAAATGTTCCAAAAGTTCTCAAATTAAAGTTATTTTAAGTTACACTTGGAATAGAATATTTATTAAAATATAACAAATCTGTTCAACATATCCAAAGCAATAACAATTCAACTTTTATCATCGTCTATTTTAATATTCTTTACCTCTTTAATTATGTCGTCTAGCTTATGCAAGTCTTTTAGTGAAACTTCTCCTGTTCCCCTTTGCAATGGTTTCGGTTGTTTCGGGTGCGGTTTCCAACCCAGCATATTAATTATCTATAACCAATAAATATAATTCAAAAAAATTAAAAGATATTATTTACCTGAAATGTCGCAGGTATAGAAATTTGTCCTGATTCGGGATCTTGTTTCCCGTAAAGCTGTTGATAAATAGCACCGGCCGCAAATTGTATGTCTCTATGCAAGTGTAACGATCGATTCAAAGCTGCATTATTTTCGGCCATACCTGCAAATTTAATTCATTCGGTTCTAATTGATGTTTTATTAAATTATTTTGTTATTTTTAATCTACTACTAATTAAAGGCGCAGGTGAACCTTGACCAAGACAGCTCAAGCCAAGGTTCCGGTACTAAGGCCTCTGGCAGGTCCAGGGTACCATTCCTTCATGCTTCAAGAACTCAGTCCTTCTAATTGGATTCCTGTTTATGTCTCTAGGGGCCATAACATGGATTCCATAAATTAGGTTATAGAGAAGCTTCCTTAGACAACAGTGCCCTGTTAGAAGTCCTGCTATCTTTTATTGATAACATTATTACCTTTTAGATCTGCCATCAGCTCAAATATAGATGGATATCCAACAACCAGCTCGTCTGTGTCAATAGTGAGCATGGTAAAACCAGCTCTTGTCAATAAACTTCCAATATCCCTGACTTCTGTAAAAGGTGATATATGAGGTGAAATGCCTCCTCGTCTTTCCATTTCAGCTAATTGCAAAGAAGATCGAAGTTCATATAACGTATCTCCGCCAAATACGGCAGCCAGTAAAACCCCGTCTTCTTTTAAACTATTTAATATTTGTTTAAAAGCATTGGGCAAATCGTTCACCCAATGAAGACTTAAACAAGAAATTACCAAGTCTAAGGAGTTTGCTTCAAACTAAAAACGTACGGATATAAAACAAAAATGTTGATATAAAATCAATGATGCTTACCTGGATGTGTTCTTCATCTAATATCATCTTTTTCACCTTGATACCATCTTGCACACTTGCAAAATTCAAGTTATTTTTACTGACATCACATAAAATTAATTCTTCAACGGAGTCGGGTGAGATATGCTTTGAAACGTAACCTCGACTGCATCCTGTAGATTTGCAATTTTAATTACTGTTAACAACACTTAAAGAGAGCTATACCCAACACATTTGAGCTATGACTCTTACCTATGTCTGCAGCTTTTTTAAATTTCCTTTTGATATCGAAAACCCTGTCGGCTAAACGAAATCCAATTTCGTCCTTCAAATAATCGTAAATTTTCACGTCCTCCGCTGCAGCAGCCCTTTTTCTTTGCAGGCTTTTCGTTTTGCGATCAAAAATATTAACTATACCCGTAGCATTTGTGGAACTTTTTGTGAAATTCTTAATTATTCCTACATTTCCGGTAATACTAAATCGTTTACCACTATTAAACAAATTAGGCCTAATGCAAATCATTTTAAATTCGTAGTTAATAAATCATATTTACGACAACAAAATAAAGTTTCATAAAGTAAAATCTTATTTTTTAAATAACAAATTAACTGTCAAAAAATAAAATATGACATGTTGATAAGAGGGATGTTCAGTTTTTTTTGTTAGTTACCTAATTTCAGTTGGTACGAATGAAATTTTTTTTTGTAATATAATTCTCAATTCCTTATTAATAATAATTAATATCGCTTCTGATAAAACAAATCTACCTTTATTAAAATATTTCAAAATATAGGGAAATAAATTTTTATGATTGGACATGGGCGGGTAACTGAATACTACAATTATCTAAGACTCGATTAAATGACTTATGCGACATCTGCGTGACAGTGACATTCAAACAAAACAAAGTCATCTCTTGACAATTTGGTCAATACATTTTGATTAAATTCATAATACAAAAAGTATTTGAAAATGTTTTTGTAAATTCAATCTGCAATAGTGATGATAAGGAATTGTAACATCTTCAGAATTCACGATGAACCGGCATAAAAGCTGTAAAGGTAACGGATTATATCAAACTATTATTGAATTTGCTATTTTTTTAATAATTGTTTCTGTAAGGTTCTCGTAATAATAATATTGTTGGACGTGCTCATTCCACATTAAGTGTCTCTGCCGTTGATTACTACTTGAATTTACCGGTTACATGCCCGCCTTCTCCTGCAATTTCTACTGTAACTTTAACTCCTGGGAGAATACGGAACATCGACCAAGATATGGAACACTTAAGGGCTTCAAGACAAGATAATCCCTTTATTCAGGTGACTTTTAATTGCATTTGTAATGTTTAAGAGCTTTTCTAGTACAAATTATCATGTTTTTAGAAGGTAATTGCTAGCAGGGAGAGCATCATCGACAGTTTGGATACAGAAGAAGAATCAGATCATGCAAATCTGATGGCTAAAGTAATTATTATTGCTGGTAAAATTGTGGTTAATTAAAGGACTTAATTCGTTTTAGGAACTATCGTTAGATTTGGAAATCGATCCGATGTCTCTTCCGGAAATTCACGAACACATGATCAGGAGCCCTCCTCCTACTAATTGGCCAAAATCTCCTAATTTTAGGATGTTTCACTTTCCCCATAACGAAGACGAGACCATTTCAGTTGAAGTAAACGTAAGTACTTAAGTAGAATTAATAACTAATTTTATTTAAACCTGCAAATGTGGTTCTACGTTTTGTTGTTTTTCACCGATATTATGAATAAATTTAGGCCAAAGAATCTAAGTCAACAGAACTGAAACCGAAACATTCGAGCTGGGATGGGTCTGATACTTCTCCGTTAAAGTCTTTTTCTAAAACTCACCATTATCAAGATCGATTCTCATTGCTCGCACCTAACACACATCGAAGCACTGCTGAGGACAGTATTCATTTAATGGCTGAGGATTAAATAATTGTTGTACGATCTTTATGTTTCTATAATGATCTTTTATTTATAAATTAATTTACCAATTGGTATATGTAAATATCTACTAGAAAACATTTGGGTATTTTAAATTTTACCATTGGTAGTCTTACTACGCAATGACACCGAAAACGTCATTTTATTGGCAAAATTTACGTGATGTTTAGCGAAAAAAATCCAACGAAAAATTTTCAAGTTGAATAATGAATCGAAAATCATGGTTAACAAAACAAATTGCAAAGTATTCATTAACTACGCCGTGGAGAAAGGCGTATCGAAATCACGCAACGCACCGAAATTTCAACAAACCCTTGCAGTTTCATAAACCTCCCAAAGAATTGCTTCACGGATGTATCAAAAAACGATTTTCCTCCGACGCCTCATGCTCGAACGATTCGGGCGGTCGATCGATCGGTCGACACGAATTCCACAAAGAACTGGAAGAAATAATGAACGAACAGGCTCTAGAGGAATACAAAGCCGCTTACGCTTACCTATCGATGGCCTTGCACTTCGGTCAAACCAGCATAGCCTTACCCGGTTGTCAAGGCTTCTTCATGAACATGTACGAAGAAGAACTGTGTCACGGTACTGTGTTTCTGAATTACGTGTTGATGAGAGGCGGGAAAGCCAGTTTGAAAAACATTTCCGTTCCGACGAAAACCAAGTATGATGTGCGGGAAGCCTTTCACACCGCGATGGAAATGGAGATGCACATCAAAGAGAAATTGTGCTGCGTCAACGACGTGGCCGAGAAGCACAAAGACCTGCAAGTGATGGATTTGCTTGCGACTGAGTTCATGGAAGAGCAGAATCGGTCGATATGCGAAATGGGAAGGCTTTACACCAGGTCTAAAATGGTCAATACGCCTGTAGGGGAGCACCTCTTCGATCAGTTCGTGTTCAGATCGTTTGTGGCAACCGAGAAGGAGAATTTGATGGGCAAGCGTAACTTAGAATTGGAGAAAGCCAATTTCAATGTTTACAGATAAAAATTGTGGTAAAAGAAAATACCAATGAATAAAATTCCGATGGTTTTTCTACTGATGTAAAATAAAATGTAGTGATGACATTTTGAAAATAATAAATCTTTAAAAATTATTTGAATGGCTCGATATTTTTGCACGAGCGGGCATTACATATACTATTGGTTAACGGATTTGTAATTGTATATTAAATAGCGCGTTGCAAGTTTTTATTGCAGTGCTTCTGGTGCTTCGTATTTTATCAAATATTAAATGAAACCCTATTGTGCACAATAAAAGAAATGCTAATGATTTTATATTAAATCGGATCGTTTAATTTTGATAAAACATTCATACTTTTTGAAAGTAATATTTATTGTTCGAATGTATAAAATAAGTAGAAAAATTTTAAATAGTGAATTTTAATAGTTTTCTGGCAGGGTGGTTTATTTTTATTGCTCTTGTCCATTAATGTTAACACTCGAATTAAATTTTTAAATTTCTATTAATTAAATACAACTACCCTGCCCATCAGCAATTCCACACATTCCTAAAACGGTGATAATTGATAAATGTCTCTAGTCAATGTACGTGTATTTGTCTTACTGTAAATAGATTTGCTAATATTGTTTTCACAGAAGATAGCGGTTTCTTCATTCAATAGATGTTGTCTTTTATGTGGTGTTAATAATAACTTAGAAATATAACTTTGAAAATACTAGACTTTCAAAGTCCTCCAATATTATTTAATAATTAATATACATAGTATATGTGAAGGAATTGGACATATGATAAAAAATAAGTTCGTTTATTTGTTACCAAGTGCTGCTAATAATTTTAAAATGCTTCCAAAATGATAGAATATCCAAAATAATAAAAATTTTGGACGCTAATTTCAAGTCGAATAACATTTAAACTAACTTATTTACAAACAGATATTTATTTTTTGAATCTAGAGAAACTAAAATAATTAGATCTAATCTGTATGATCTCTAAAAACATTGTGTACGTTTCTCAAGCATTGAAAAATTGAGCATATAAGTACATACACATAAAAGAAAAATATTGGAATTGAACGTTAAAGTACTCTAAATTTTATCTAAATCAGTAATTGATATGTTAATCGAATCATTATGATCACATAGTGGTCTTAGAAGTAATTTTTCGTTTAGAACAGGGTAATTGAGTATATTAAATGTAATAGAAATGTATTATTTTTAGACTAATACTTCATCATTATTACAAAGTGATTAATTAACATGATAGCTAAAACATTTAGAAATGTTCTAGCGATTAAATAGAAACGAGTTAAATTGTATTTTACCTACTCGCTAACAAGTTGAACATAAAATAATGTTTCTAATGGCATTTACAATGAATAAGATTTTACTTGAATTAAACTGAACGATCAACGATTAATTAATAGGTTGCATTAATAAAAGTGTCATTAAATGTTGAATTAATTTATGCCAACTTGATTATGCTACATTCAATCATGTATTTAAATTTTAATAATTCATATTTATGCATTTCTCCATTGAGATATTAAATTGAGTAGACTATTTAAAAAAAGTTGCAATTTAAAATATGCTGCTTTTAATTCGAATCCTTAATTACACTACGGTTGTTGATATAATGCAAATTCTTTGAATTATATCATTTCGAGTTTATTCCTATAAATTTATGAATCTTAAATTATGATAGTAAGATGTTTTGAAATAAATTTTTATGAAGTTAATCACTTATGATATTATGAAAATTTACACACGTTCGAATTAAATCTTAAAATATTTATGATTGTTACAATGCGTTTTTTTTGTTTTTTTTTATTCCTAAGATTAGATTTTTTTATACTGTTTCATTTGAATTCCTATTGCAGAGTGCCATGTGATTTACTTATGTTTAAAAAATGTAAAAGTATTTTTCCTATAATTTTATTTATGTACCTGTTAAAAGATTGATTTACACTATATAATTTATTTAATTTAAGTAATTTATTTTCAGTACCTATTTGTTGTAAGAGTCCATTATACCAAAAACTTTTAAAAGTACTATTAAAATTGTAGAATTAAATTAAATACCAACACTAAATATGCCTTTTTATTTCTTTATCTAACGAATTAATTGCACCAAAAAAATGCAATCGTTGCAAATGTTACCTTTATTTTATTTTAATATACAGTATGCATGTAGATGCAGTTGTTTGTTGCAATGTAGCAGGCTATGAGTGCACTTGTAAATTTACAATGAAATTTAGAGTCACCCTGTACATTTCTATTAGAACTTAGAACCTCTGTAACATTTAGTAAAAGGCCACACACTGGTAAAAAGAGCCTAGAACATTTGAATTTATTAAGTTGGCCATCGTAATCTTTGACGTACGTCAACGTCACTAACCAAATTGACGTAGATGTCAATATTTTTGTTTATATGGAATATAAACAAATAAAGCAAAGTGTAAATAACAAAGACTGACTAAAACAGCATATGATTTAATTCATACCTCGCATAGACTTAATTTGTGCCAAAAATAGATTAAATGCATAAGCCGGTATGGCAGACACGGATTGTTTAAGTGAATGCGCCAGCTCTATTGGCGATGAAGAGAGAGTTAAAAGACTTTTCCAAGCCTGTGATGCCAATGGAGATGGTTACATAGATAGGTAAGAATCGGCATTATGTAGTTTTAACATTGCTCGACCAATAATTAATAATTTTCAGTCAAGATTTGTTGACTATCTGCAGAGAACTCAGCTTGGAAGATTCATTAGAGGAAATAATGATACAATTAGGTGCCGATTCTCAAGGTAGAATATCTTATGAACAGTTTTTACAAAGGAAGTTATCCTTGCGATCTGAAATTGATGCTCTCAAGACTGGTACTAAGAATTCAAACGAACAAGGTGATAATCTCCGATTTAAAGAGAACTATTTAAATTTACGCAAGCTTAATTTTTCAGTGAAATTGGATAGATGGGAATGGGATATGGGTGCCAGAGATATGAGTCCAGTGCCAAAAAAGCTGCACAAGCATTTGGAAGAAGAATTTAAGGTGAGTTTTTATTTTATAATAAAATAAATTTAAACATAACATTTTTACTGAATGTTTATTATAAGTTACTTCGGATTGAGTTCGATACAACTGTAATTTCAACGCTAGAAATTGATATCATAATCCAACATTTTTCTAGAAATAACCCACCACGTATTCAAAAATCCCACGTCTAAAATTCTTTCGGTAAATCGTCTATAGGGAACTTGCAAGTACGAGCATTTGCATTCATACGTATCACAGTCTTCACTGTAGTTATCCACCCATATAATTGATAGAATACCAAGGTTTGCGTATCGTATGAGGTTCGAGTTGTAACATTTCTCGATGTATTTCAAATGATCAACAGCCACAGAATTGGCTAAACTCCGATTAACTAATGCCAGTTCATTAGCACATTCTACGTATTTCGCTCTAAATGTTCGCATATCTGGATTGTGGCCGATACAATAACATACTGTAGATAATCCTGTTATATAGACAGCAGATTTTAACGGTTTTCTTTGCATTTCTGTCTTGAGATTGACCGCAACATCCGAATAATCCCTGGCGAGTTGTTTCCAATAAATCACCCATTTTTCCATAAACGTGCCCTTGATTTTCCTGTTGAACCTTTGAGCCGCTTCCTTCCATTCGTTAGTTACGAATATTGCGTTTGAGTATGCTTTTCGGGAAAACTTCCACATTTTGGTGTCTACGAATTGAGGTTATGTTCGTTCTTATATCATTACTTGAGGGAATTTCATCGCTTTTCCAGCACCTTCTATTGTTGTTAGTGAATCCAGTAGGGGTGTTAATCTTGAAAATCTCTTTTTTATTTATACTATTGAATTAAAATTCGATTTTTGACATGTAAATTGTTAACGAAACGATCAAATGTCATGTCAAAATAATATAGGTTAAGTCGATGGAATTGTAATAGAGGTGGGAACTGGTAATATGTAAAGAACGTGAATACGAGTAACGATATTTTGATAACAGTTACAGTATGCATAGTTTGATTAATTATAATTTTTATTTGATGACGAATTGCAAGGATTATTGTTTTAAATATGAATGTAAATTATTAACAATATTCTCCTCTCTCTTAAAAATTGTGTGCCGGTCTAGTAGGCGGTCTACCATAATATTCGAGGTCTACCTAATATTTTCTTGGTTAATTATACGACCTACCTACTTAAATAATATTTCTTCACCCAAGTACATTTAAATTCCCTTTTAAAGATAATTCTGATACTTCCCAAATTCTTGATAAATTGAATTGCTCACATACCATTCTATAAATAATACAATACCAGTAAAATGTTATTTTTGCTTAATGAAGCACCACTTTTCCAAATTTTCCTATTATAGTCATAAATTTGGGTAGACCGCATGCTAAATCAGATGCGGTAAGGTTGACCGCATACTAGACCGGCACCAAATATGGTTATGACGATTACATTAATTACTACAGAAGAATCACATTCTTGATAATCGAACCGTCTGATTGGCTCGGACTCTGTATCATAATGAACTTACATAAATGATATTTGGAGGAAAGAGGTGAAAATCAAAGTATCTGTGCACTTTCAGCACTCAACATCTCAATAAAGATAGACTTAATAGTTCAACTCGACTAGTTTTAAACAAACAAATCACCCAAGTACTAAAACTAAATAGTTAATTTGACCCACAAACAACTGTATCCTGCGGAGCGGTGTGGAGTCGTTGCAGTGTGATAAAGAGGTCGGCCATACATCAAACAACTCCCAAGTTTATTATCGCTTTGTATCTTTTGTACGATGCCGACTCGTTGCTGGATTCCTACTTGTTTGCTTTTGAAATCGTTGAACTGCGAGTGTAATCATCAAACGCATTATTTTGTTGACACGATGTAACAACGTTGTGATTAATATCGGATGCTGTTCCTTATAATAGTAATGACTGGTATTACATATCTGATGTATCTACACAAAAAATGACTTTATGTTTTAAACAGTTACAGAACTGATTGTTGTTTTAAAAATAATAATTTATTTATTTACATGCAAAATATTTAAACACTAAGCTGTAGCAAGCTCTATGATGTAATTATCCGTCAACAAAACATTATTTTTTGCTGGTTTTGTTAGACCTTAACCGTGTAATAACCAGCTAGCGAATTCGTCGAGGTTCCGAGCATTTCGACGTCGGTTGTTGGAGAATTTTCAACACGGACTGAATTGCAAATTAGGCTTCATGTTGGATTCATTAGCAAACTTTTACAAGTTAATCACAACTTCCTAGTTCGGCTTCTAGCGGAAGTTGCCTGATTTATCGCGGCAGCTGGAAGTGTTGCTTTTTTTGTATTCTTTCGGAGATATTTAGGCATCCGAGAAGATTTATTATTAGCCCAGATAATGGCAGAACGTACCGTTTGTTTTTTAATAGAATTAATTAGGAATATTAGAGATTCGGTTGTAATGGATGGTTTGAAGACAAATTAGGGAAATGCTGTATTTAACCCAAAATTTACTATTTGCTTTGCTACATAGGCTTTGTAAGCCCGCATGAAGAAAATGAGGCAATTTCATAAAAATAAAGTGGACTATTCTGTGTCCATTCTATTCCAATTGGTTCACAGATTATTTTAAGGAGACTGCGACTTCGGTGAATGTAAAATGTAGGTACATACTATTTTGTGTTGTATAGTTTATGTATGCCCACTATTAAATATGCCTAGAAAAGTATACCTATGTACAAAAATGCAATAAATCGGCTCTCACACGTTTACTCATAGTACTGTCCTTTCACATAGATAAGGAAGGCACCAAAAATGTCTTTTCACCCAAATACCTACTCTATTAATTGTTAACATAAACAAAACAACAAAACAGCCACATATGCTGATAGATATTTAAGAGAAACCAGCCCTTTAGTGTAATTTATAATATCTGGTGTGTGTGAATTTTTTTCAAGAACCATTTAGTCAGTCGAGTCTCTGCTAGCATATTGAACACTTCATTAAATTTAACTAAATATAAAGCAATAAATTGTTTTTAATCCTGTCCCCATTGGTCAATAGGTTATGGGCCCAGGACATGCGAAAAATTAAAAACGGTTTTAGTGTGTAGTCAAATCGAAGTTATAAAAAATTAATCAGGTACCTTTATTTTCTAAATGGAAAACAGAAACTTAAAAAGGAACATAGTGCCCTTTAACGGCCCTTAATTTTAAAGTGCCCTTAATATGCCTTATTACTCGATGAAATCGGTAAATCGAGTGAATCGAGTGAAGCTTAGCTCTTATACAGCCCTAATAATATTTGTGTAAATATCGCTTCATTAAATAAAAGTTGTTGTAGACGCTTAGTTGATTAATTCCCTCCTGCTTCCACTGCTCTATTCCCTACGCGCGAAATCTCTCCTAATTAATGACGACTTCTCCGTCGGCCGGCGAGCCCCAGGAGTTGAATCGTTTTTCGCGTCGCCGTCGTCGACGTCTCTCCCCACTCTCTTCAGAGGCGGGAATCCTCCGCGACTATTCCGTCGCCGGTTGCGTTACGTAACGCAGAATTGCGGCGGTATCGGTGTTGGAAGCGCAGTCACGGCCAGTTGTGCTGCCGCCAGCTCGGGAGAATTACTCGTGGAAGTCTTCGTCGACGAGGTTCGCTTACCGGTGGTCCGGGCTCCTTTTGGGACATTCGTATTTTTAGTAACGAATATATATTTCGCTTAATAGGTGTTTAAAGTTAGGGGTGGAACTGATCTGATTTGGGTTTGTGTCATCATTGGAATGTAATACGTAGTTTTTCTTGGGAGTCGTGGTATGTTACCCTGGAGCTGTAGTTATTTTATTAATTAAGAAATATTTGGTCAATTTTTAATGTTATGATATCGTTAAGTAGCCATTATTTAACTTAACTGATTATCATATTTTTATTATCTAAATTGACTTTTATGGAAAAGAAGTTGATTGATTTCTCACAAATATCGATTTCAAGTTTTTTATGTAAAAGAAATTACAAAATGTATTTTTGAACTATGTAATATTACTTGTCGATAAAATAATATTTTAGAATGTATTTTTATGTTTCCAAATTAAAATTTTTAATCGATTCTTAGAACCATAAAATTGAAATGATTGATTTGAATTAATTCATAATTTTAATAACTGGCTGGTGAATTCCTACAAGTACCTACTTGCAAGTACCTATTTCAAAAGAATTATTGTTCTATTCGCTATATTCAGGTACGGTTTTGAAAGGATTCTATCCTTTCAATTTATATTATATAACTAATGATTATAAAAGGAATAATTGGACATTTGTTTTACATATGGCAATAAAATTAGAATGATTAAGATGTACTTGCAGTACCACCCACGATCGTACACTTTTTGCAACGTTAAAAACGTTTGTATGAGAAGAGCTTGATATTCGCTTATAAAGAATGTTTCTTTTCTATTCCGACACAAACATGAAATTGCTCATATGAAGAAGAACAAAAAAGAAACCGCTCTATTTCAGGGTGGCTATAATGTTTTCTCCATAAGACATTTCAAATCAATCCATCAATCCAACTATTTAATTATACCATCGTTTTAGGGTTTTTAAGAATTGTTTTCAAACAACTAAAATGTACAAATCGCATAAAAGTTAATGGCATTGAAACAGTTGGTAGATTAGTTTACAACACTTGTGAATGAGATGTGTTTTTGTCCTAAAAAAATGAGAACATCTGTGATCACGATACAAACAATATTACTGTTAATAAGAAAACGAAGTTTTGTTAGAAGTTTTATGGTTTTTGTCGTGCTGATATTGGCTTTACAAAAGTATTATTTACAAAAGCAAATCACCCACCAACTTATAAAATATTAAATTACAGTGGTAAAGCAATCAATTTGCTGGTATATCATGTTGGTGTGGAATATTGTTCTTTCCTAAATCCTCTTTAATCCTATATAACTTCCAGGCAGTCTGGAAAGTGGATTATTAATTTATAATATTACAAAGTTCCTAAGCAAATTAGTTATTGATTGGAAATCCAAGTATACAGTTCTCTCAAACAATGAAGCAGTGCAGACAAGAACTTTGATTAAACACCGATTGTACAAAGAGTACCGGAAGTTGAGCACTAATTTTACTATACGAGTAAAGATACTGTAGCGCTCAATTAGGATAAGCCTTAATAAAATAATATTAAAATAAAATGAAAGCTAATATGTGATAAATTAACTGACTTTCTAATGTGGAATTTTTATTTAAAATCGTTTAGAAACACCTACAACCTAATAGTATTCACACAATTGCTTAAAATTAGCCGGTTTTACCTAATAGTTCTGAGAATATTTCGTGATGTAAATCCAGTAGAAATCTTTTATCATAAGAAATTTTATTACTTAAACTTTTATAATAAAAAATCCTGTCTAATTAGTGTACATACATATTTTTTAATTAAAATAAATTTTTTGATAAATCCATGATTAATGAATTCCACATTTGTTGTTCCAACTAACAATATATTCGGAATGTCGACAAGTTATTTTGTTCACAAAACTAATCTTCATTTGATTAGAAACTATAAGAAATTCGCCGACGAATGCAAATGATGTAATTTAAAATTAGAACGAATTAACTCATCTCTCTCATACCTAATGGATGATACCAGCATTAATAAATTTATCCAAAGAACCTGTGACACTTCCTTTCGGCCGGATTAAGATAATATACTGCTTCTACTGCCTTTATCGATCATTCACCTTTAAAGTTGTTACACATTTTAACATTTGAAATAATACAGGAAGGTATTTCATAGAGAGGTTATTAGTCTTTTTTTCCATTGCACACTTCGTTAAGATTCCACGGCGGTCAAAAACCGAAACGTTAAAAATCAACCACCTTAAAAAATAGATAATAACTATAATAACGCATCAGTAATATGCACTTACGTTTCAAAATTTAAATTTATTCAAACCGTAATTACTGCCTGTTAACATCGATTAAAATATTGATTTAAATGTAGGATTTTCAATTAAAATTTTCAAGTTCAAACATAGGTACGGATAGCTTCAACTGGAGCAAAAAGAGTTACGAGACAGGTTTATTAAATCTACGAAACCTATACAGCTAATTCAAGGAATAATCAATTCACTAACCGCAATCGATAACCGCTATTTATGGAGATAACACCGTAAGTGGGTACTTAAAGCGTTCCGTCAATGTCCATTCTATTGAGAAATTCCGTTAAGATAAATCCTTTATTGTTATGATCATTTTCATTCATAAAATCATTAAAAAGTTGTGCTTCTTTAATTGGGCGTTCATATCACAACGAACTTGTAATTAAACTGAAGATTAAGCATTTAATGAAAAAAATGTTTCCATATATTAAGTATCTAATGTATTTATCATTAATTAATAATTTACTGGAATAATACTAAAAGACTTGTTTGTAAATAAAATATTTTGCGGTTATAGGCATATTTTATGTAATAAATTTTCAGTTTCTTAAATGTATTATAATTATCGGAAAAACTTCTGCTTTACGCTGTAAACACAATCCTTAAACTTATTTCCTTCCATCGATTATATAATGATGGAAAAGTCTGTTCACGTTCATAATAAAAATGTTATCCTTGAAAACGACGATGATAAATGAACGATCTGAAAGCTTTTCCAGAATCTCGAGCTAAAAAAAGACCGCTTTAAAGCGTTTATGTGCACAGGAATCATAAACAATCGTTTATAGCAAATTTTGTAATGTTCTCGCGACCTGACTGATATTCGGTACGAACTTTTAATTAAAATGTTTCCATTTGATTTATTTGTCTAATAAATTAGGTTTACGGAAATTGAAATTGCCCTAGCCCATATCGCAGTGCCATTAAATATTTTCTGTGTAAAAGGAATAATCTAACTAAAATAAAAAAGTTTAGTAAAACTAAAGCAGATAATTAAATGCAAACATAATATTGTATTTGTTCGATCAAACAGGCTTAATTTAATTAAATGTTTATTTTAAATGACCATTTGCAGTCATGTGATGTGATTGATTAAATTTAATGAGGATAAATTCATGGAATTCACTGGAAACATCAACGTACTGAAATAATTTCAGCAATGAACTTCTTCATTGTGATTTATTCGGCTATTCGTAATAATGAATGCTTGCGGTCAAAAAACTAATTCATTTTGAAAATAAAAATAAATTTTAAAAATAACCTACTGTACATTTTCTTAAGCACTTCTTTTTCAAGTTCATTTTTAATGCGTGATTTGACCGGCTCACTTTCTTCTCGATTTTGTATAATTTTAATAATAATTTTATTATAATTTATGTATAATATAATGGGATTAAACATAAACTTATTATCGCCTGTGAGTTACTTTGGAAAGTGGAAACGGTTCTATATTAAGCACACAATTGTTACGATTGTAACATATTGTAAACATCGTTTGATTCATTTATTGAGCGCAACAGAAATAGAATGTTTATTGATACTTGTTCATAAGTACCATTTGTATTCTACACGGAATAACTAGAAATATTAATAATTATTACACAAATTTGCATCGCATACGCATTTAATGAATTTTTATTTCATCGCAAACGTTTTAAATGAATTGATTCTTAATATAATTATGAAAATAATAGGTACTTGTTAAATAAATTTCTAAATTCAATTATAAGGATGAAATTGTAGAAACGAGGATAATTAAATATGGCAGTAGAACCTTTTAAGTACCCTGAATGTTTCATCAAATTTTGTCAATAATTTACAGCATCACCATACTAGAGCATCTGAGTCAAAACAATTAACTATTAATAGGATTTTTGGGGTACGAAGGATATTGCCTTCATATTGCTGACACTCGCTATTAAATCAGTAAATTAATGAACAAAGGACTAAAGCCTCTTAAAAGAGTTGTAAATTAAATTTACATAATACTGTTTATTATGTTTCATTTACATAGCAAGGTTTAATACGTGCTCCAATTTTTGGGCGACAAATTGGTATTTGTGAGAAAATCCTTTCGAAATCGTGAGCATTTAGAACTGGCCAAATTGACCAAAAAAAAATACCCACAGTTTAAGATCCACACGTTGGCATACTGGCGGGGGCAGACCTGATCCTAGACAACGGGTGCGGCGAGGGCGGGGTAATACTCAGCGATAAAAGTTGCTTGACGACGTACATTTTCAATCCGGTCGAAACCTGCACCGGCACGCCGAGTCCGGAAAAGTGCAACGTGAAAACGCCCGATCCGGGCCTGCGGCCGAGTCCTGCCAGAGATGCAGTCTCGACGGATGTCGCTCACATGCATCCGAACTTCCTCTACGGGAAAGTGCTGCCCGACGGGAAGCCCAATTTTCCCACGGACTATGAGCTGAGTTTCAAGAATTGCAACTTCAGCGCCGGTGCCGATCATGCCAAGTGCTGCGTCGGGGGACATTTCGGGAGGTTGGTATGCGAACGTTGGTAGCGAAAGGGAATTGTTCAATTTCACTGAAATTCGACACGATGATAGCCGATGTAATTGAGAAAATGTTTGGCTAAAGAGACCAAAGTTATTTGGATTAAGAAATGAAAGAACCGCTGAAAAAATATCGATTTTTCTCAAGTAGACTGGAACGAATCGATGTTTTTTAATCAAATTCTTATTTTTTTCGTTCAAAATACAAAATTGTTTTAGATATCTTTAAATACTGACGATTTCTACTACTTTTTCAAACTCTTCAGTCATGTTTTCAGTACCATTTTTTAAATTTTAGTTAAGTTTCATTTTTATCCATATATTTTATCAACTATATTAAAAATGAAAAGAATTCCCTATAAGAAGTTTTAATAACCACAATAAACTATTTTCAAATTTGGTTACATTTCAAATCAATTTATTAAATTATTATTTATTGTATCATAAGAATCCCTCAAAAGTAAGTACAACAAAAATATTTCTCGAAAATTCTGGAAACTCCACTGGCTAATCAATTTTTTGAAGACAATATTCGTATTCAAATACATGTATATTATTGTGACGAAAACAATTTTACTGAAATTGAACCGGTTCATTGATTGGAGAGAGCTTTTGTAACAAAATTGATCATCCGAGTGCGCGAGCAAACATTTAATTTTCGAGTAACAGAAAAGACAGGAGCAACCGTTTGATAGATAAATAGCGCTCCTTTGTGCTGTTCTTTCTGTTACACTAATGAATAGGGTTTTTTAATTAAAAAACTTCATTTTAATGAATCTACATTCAGATTTATTATAAGCGTTGCGCTATTCGTTCTTTATTTAAAAGTAGTTTCGCTCTACTTTAAACGAATTAAATTTGAAATTTAATATTAAATGTGGATAAATGTTACAAAAGCTCTTTATTGCTTTCCAATACATTCTTTATCAACAACTCAATGAAATAAATGATATATCAGATAGCGCTCAAAGTTATTCAATAAGTTTCGGAATTGATATTGTTTCTTGCCGAAGAGTTCAATAACATACTTAATGACTTTCGAAAGAAAAGAATGTATTTTGTTTGGAATCTACCAACGTTTCTCGTTCGTACAGGGACCTGAGTTTCGGTCACTTGTACACCATCAGTAAAAGCGATCGAATAGAAGAAAGAACCTACGATGAGCCCTACACCGGCGACCTTCCCAGAAGATCGTGGCTGTGTTGCCCGGGATCCCAGCAACATATGCCCGACAACGATCAACCGCCCTTGCTGGACGCGGCCACCACCTCCTCCAAGACCCCATCCACCCCTCTAGCAGACGCTATCACCAAACCTCCCGGATTTAACGTTTGTTCCGGAACCTGCGTACGTATATTTCTCTCGCCTAACTAGAATTTCTAGTGTTTAATGGTATTGTCTCACCCTGTATCGAATTCAAACTCAAACTAACAACGCCGCTTTGCTACGGCGACAAGACATTGCTCATTGAGTATACGCCACCTTTGAAAGTGGTCCTTTGAGCGGGTCTGCCTCTCGGCTTGATTAATGTGTACTTTTGCGCTCGTACAATAGAGGCGATATGGCGGTAGTGCGTGCCCTGTTAATAGTGGTGTGGTGGTTTTGTTTCGTGGGTTTGTGTGTTTCCGCATTTCCGCTTACATCGGCGGATTTCCTTTATTTTAGAGAAGGTTTTAAGACTTGTTTTAAATGACCATACTCATTAGGATAAGCTTATTATGTTCTGTTAAGCTGCGTACAGACTTGAACATTTTGCCAAATAATAACTGTTGTATCTTGGTCATGTTTAGAACACATTTGGGCTGAGCAAGTTATAGTTATGGAAAATAACAGACACTCGTAACTACCCTACATTTTCCTATAAAACAGCTAGATGTGATTATGGGCAATTTTACGAGCCATAATTCCAATATTTTACCGACTTAAAATTTATGCAATTCTGGATCGGTTGTTAAAAATATTCAGCCAACAAGTGAATTCGAGAGGAATAAATAAAGCAACGAGGAAACGGTGTACACCACTGTAAACATGCAAGTATCCCGACTAAATCGTCGCAATGAAACTCCTTAGTTAACCTCACGACAGTGCAGGAAAACACCGTTGAATTTACAGTCTCCCATTATTTGGTTTTCTGCTCGGGTTTACTGGAACTAATGGAACTGCGCGTGGGAAATCGTCGTATTTCGTTGAATTTAAAGGGTTTTAGCAGTTTCGGTCCAGCGGCAGAAGGGAATTCCTGTCCTTGATTTGGAGGAAAAGGACCGTTGTGGCCTTTAAATTACCCTATCATTTCATTTCCGCCGAAGGTGAAAGGGAACAAGAATTGATTATCAAAACAGATTCATAAATACCGGGATGTAATAAAATTAACCGAGTTTCATGTCAGATTGTAATCGATATATGCACATGATGATTTATTCGTATTAGATACATTAATTGAGTTACAGCAGTTTCGAACTAATTGTAAAATAATTCTTATTAATTATCATTATTATTATACCTTTAAAATACCTTTAAAACGAGCTACCTATCAAGAATATTACAGACACACAATAACATACTTTGAAATATTATTTAGTATTATTATTTGATGGATATATGGATTATCTTACTTTTACGAGTGAAGAATTTAATTTGAATAAAGGAAGTCGTATCTCATAAAATATGAGATATTTTTATACATTATTTATGGCTATCGTATTTCGGATATTGTGTCTTTTACGTCACTAAGTTTTTGTCGGGAAAATAACGACCGACAGGAAGTTTGGGTGGGTTTAGAATTGGAAAATGTCAATTTCTGTGAAAGGTTAGGATTTATTTTGGGAAGTTACCTTTTGCTAATGAAGTCGAATACGGTCTCATGGAAATTTTATGAATATCTCTGAATGAAAACAGGTGATTTGTGAAGTTACGTAATCATAACGTTACCCTAATTTCACATGCAAGAGAGGTACGTACAAAAATAATGATAAAATCGTTGTGGTTTGCAGGATTTACATCCCGTGAGATATATTTCCGTTAGGGAAAATTGTTGACATGAAGTTAAATTTCCGGTTGAATTACGCTTAAAATGCTAATAAATTTAAAAAGCTATTTTTCTAAACACCGTCGTTTTAACATTCAGTGCATACCCCATATTTTCTCATTTTAACATTCTGATAAGTAATTTTCCGCGTGGAGAGCTATGAATTTTCAGCTAGTCCCCGCGTCGCGTTTCGCCGTTGTCGCCGAAATTTTTAAGTTACAAGTTTACAAAAACTTTCTACTGCATAATTTTCCCATTTAACTCGGAAAAAAACTAGGAATGGAATTATAGCAGGAATTATGGCAGACAAACAAGACTGCAACGATATTTTATTTGTTAATCTACTATATTATAAAGTTTACTGATTACTATAAACACGTCTTAATTGTAATGTTTATGGCACAATGGTTATACGAAATATCATTTGCACTTCATTGCCATGAAAGCTTGCAAGTAATTACTTCGTCGTCGCTTTGAGGATGATATATGGAAACTTCGCTTAGATATTCACCTAGTTTTGCTCAAAGTGGAGAAGAAAATAAATTTTGACATGAATCCTAACGACTTCCGTCTTTCATTGCATAACTTTTGTAAGAAAATGTTTGGATACTCATTTAATCTCATTTCTTCATTATGGTTTATTAAATATTATATGTATGGAAATTAGTACATAAGTTTTTGCATAAAGTAAGGATTTCAGTAGATTTATTTATCAGCAGGTTATTCTTTAAAGTGTTACTAAAGGAAGCCTTTAAAAATATAAAGGGTAGAAAGAAACCTTATAATCCGGGTTTTTGGAAAATAGCAGTTCCACAGATTACAAAACCGTGTCACACCAACCACGTTTAAGTATTATACTAAAGAAACCTCCATAAAATTTTAATATGCTTAGAAAGAGTCTGTTAACCTTTTAAATTCTTCGTTTTATTATATTAATAATAATGTCGCTGGAGTGTTCGATTATTTAATTGGCGCAGTCCTGCGACGGCGACAATTCGATTCATTAATTTAAAATGAGGAATTAATCATGAATACGTTCACGCGAGACTGCCAAGGTCGACTGAGGGGTTCAATCCAGTAATACGCTATCGACTTTCCCACAGATGTCTCCAAGGGACACAGAAACGTTAACCCATAAAAGCTTTGGCACGCAAAAATTCATTATCCTATGACCCATATACACTGGTCTAAGAATAATTAAAAAAAATAAAGGAATTTTCTTTCAAATAAATACTTCATATCGCCTCCATGAGCTATAAAATCTATTTCCAGATCAATAACTCGTCTCACTAGATCTTCGACAAATCGTAAATTCCCCGAACGAATTCCGCAAACAAACATTTCCGCTCTTTAGCCCCCAATTTATCCAGATAATCAGATCAGAGATGCAACAATAGCGAAATTCTTGGGGTATTAAATGCCGGAAAACTTATTCCCTTCGGGATATTACCGACTGCGATGTTCCATTTAGGATATAAATCTAATTTCGGATTTTATCGGCATGCGGAGGCCGGAGTAGGAGTTCAAATATCCGGACAAACGGATGAAAATCCTCGACCTGCCGTTATAAAATATCCATTTAGTGGCAGAGATTTTCTAAAATTTTATTGCGCACGTAAGGTAACTCTAATTATTTCCACCAGTCGTTGGAGATACAAGAATAGACCAGAATTTAGAGGTGTAAGTGTGCACATTAGTTCCCGATATAAACCGTTTCAAAGGCTCTAAATCTGTGAAAGTGTACAGGTGTAAGATACATAAATCATTCGAATTTACGTACTTATGTTACACCGTATAATGGCCAATAAACGCGCACATACACAATGGATAATCTCTTGTAGCAAAGAGAAAAGAAATGAAGAGTTAATTTGCGTGTAAACCTAGTTAAGAAATGCATATCTAGAGAAAATATTCGCTCACTTGCACAGCCTATTCGAATAAAAAACCAACCAATTTATAAAAAAAGTTAAGAAAAAATAAAAAGATAAAAGAATAGGCTAGGATTAGTCCAGTGAACTCGCCAAGCAATACGATTTCCGGAATTGATGTTTAAGAAATGAGTAACGCTGCAGTAATCATGAAATAGTTCAAAAAGTTCATGCAGTTATTTTCAATTTTTACTCCTCACAATGGGCCCACCGTGTATGCGACATATTTACTTTCCGATGCATCATAACCGCTACTAATGACTCATCACTGATAACAATCAAATTGTGTAAACTATTCAGCACACGCCCTTTATCATAACTGTTCAATTCGACAACGTTTGATTAACTTGTTTATTTGGAACACCTGAAATCGATAAAGCATAATGAATATTTTTATGTAGGATTTCGTTTTTCAGCAATCGTTAATAATAATCAGGGTGGAAGGAGCGTTAATGAATCTTGAAACGAAGTTAAATAAATACTTTGTGTATATGCGCGTAGGTTTTATGGAGCCAACGGAGCGTTAAACGAAGGCACTATCAATTCCGCGACCTAAATATATCTGTAATGACGAGGAAATGATTAAGCTGGATAAAAGTTTTAGGGTTTGGAAAATCTTTTATGCCACTATAAACATGTCGTTCGGGACACTTCGAACACCGTAAAATTTTATTTTGGTATAATATGTTGAGGAAGGCGTTTCTTCGTACTTTATACCAATATACCTTTTATTAAAAGTAACGAGACGGGTTATCCTGTTGTTTTTAAAATAAGATGAATTAACAGCCCGACAGAATATAACGACATAATATTTCCTAAAGCAAATAGTAAATGTAAAAAGAGCTCGTCTTGTTTTGTCTATTTTCGTCAAATTTAACACTAAAAGATGAAACAAATGTACAGTTTATACATTCCGTTACTCAATAAAAACTCGAATTTTTAGCAAACCATATGGTTTTATTTGTATAATAGTTTATTTTATTTCAAATTTTATTCCACCCAACCCACGCAATTTCCAACTCGGCCATTGACGTTATTTTACCATATGCTTTTCATTCATTGTAAAAACGAAAATAAAAAGATAGGGCGTTGAAAAAACATCTATGCTATATTTAGAAATTGTTCAAATATGCTTTAGAAGTAGAATAACAATCAAATAATCAAAAATTGTACGCATGGTATACATACATACAAATAAACAAGACGAAGAAACAAATAGTAGATACTATGTAAAATACGAATGTTCTGTTCAAGTCAATAAATTTTTTAATCAAAAAAGCGAATATGGTAAATGGTATAAAAATCGCAATATATTTCAAACTTATTCAATTCGTGCATACGCCGGGCCTTAAATTCAGCCGCGGTTTCCGAAATCGAAATACGGAACTTTTGCCAGGTTTATTATTCGATTGAAACAGTTCGAAGCCCGGAGGATTTAATGATTGAATTTTAAGCGCGTCCGCTCTAACGGAATTGCATAAAAATAGGTAGGTATATCGCGTTCGCATAAATTCGTTAAATTTATCGGGATTTGAAAAATTCGAACTAAACGTTGAATTATCCAATAAACGTGCGTTTACTGCAATGAGACGGACTACAATACGTTTTTGATTTGTATTCCGGGCTCTCGGAATTTTATTGCGACACGGGACAAAGACGAATGGCCGTTTTAAAAATGCACTGGAGTCCTGACACTTTTCACTCGTTAATAGTTAACGATACGCTGGATTTTTCTCTTGCAAGGATTTACGATTGGTGCACTTCAAAATGTAACCAAATAGTAGGGGAGAAATGGGGTTACACCAAAATCAATGAAATAGTAATTCTGTAAATGTTGGTGTATGTATATTTGAATGTTATAAGAAATGACAGTTTTACTATTTGCTTATTTGTTTTTATAGATTCAGAAATATATACTTTGAATTTGCGATTTCATAAATTATTCATGGAATAACTACATAAAAATCCGGAAAGAGCCATCAAAAATAATTGTATTTACAGGAACTTTGGAAATTCAAAAAATAAAGGTAGTTTTTCGGAAATAAAAATATACTAAAACTCCAATTTATATTTAATTGGTTGCAGCATTTCAATTTTATTGGGAGATATGAAATACGCATTTTGTCGTTGATGACCGACAATACATTTTTGATTTTCCAGTTATACTCAAAATATTTTCCCTGCTTTCCTGTTTATAAATGGTTATATCACAAATTTTATTACGTACCATCCTGTATAGTGTCAGTCTAATTAATGGGCGAGTTAACAAAGAACAAAGCATCGAGTTCAAACAAGTGTATTGTATATGGTACAAAGATAAGTAGACAGCAATTTGAATTTCCCGACGAAAAGTTTTAACAATGCCGTTAACGACCAAATACGTTTCCACGCTATGGAAATTTTCTACGTAGAAGAAAAACGGTCTGTGCTAGCCAGATTCGTGAGCTGATGCAGAATGTTGTGTTAAGCGTTCTGCTGTCAGTTCCGATAGTGCATGCATATAAGTAGCACGGAATATTTACAGAAAATGTAGGAGTTATTTTATCGTTTTTATGGTTAAAATTATTCTAAAGCTTCGAGAAAGAGTTGTTTTATTAACTTTGAATATGCTTGTTATGAATTTTAAACATAACCCAAATATGTTTCATAAAATATACTTTTTTTATGGTCAATTCCAGCACAGAATTATATAGCTATATGAAACCTTATTTACGAGTAGAGTAAAATATGCAACTGTTACCTACTCACTTATTCAATATCCTATTCAGCTGCATGAACAACGAACAATTTACAACTGCTTATTATTCATTCCGAAACTAGCTGTGCGCTCGACGTTTAAAGCTCGCAACTGTGCAAATCAATTTTCGCTTCTTATTCCATCTGGAGACATTTACGTCATTATTCAAACAGCAACCGGCCGTTCTGCTGCATCGTTTCCATGCATCGAGCCTTATTACGATCCCTTTTTCCATTACGTCGCTACCGTTTCCCGACGACTATCCATAAAACGGTAAAATAAAGCTAGCTTGGTCGTTGGCCGCATTTTTAGAAATTTATCTCCGGACAAGCGGCCGCAAGAGGGCGATAAATTCTAAAATTGAATTATTAAATATTCATAGAAATTCAATTAAGAGCCCGGGTTGAAGGGAACAATCCAGCCTTTCGTTGCACTGTAAAATATTTAACGTAATGGATGAATCGAGATAAAAGCGCCGGAGAAAATTCTATTAAAAGTACATATACTTTTGGCGGTTTGGAATTTGGCATAAATTGTCCGCAAATGCGGCACGTATGCGTTTGTTAGATGATTTATAGCGCAAATTCAACTTACCATAATAGAAGCTCTGGTGTTGTTAATAATCCATTATAATCTTACACCAGCACCTGGTTTGCATCGTTTAACATTCGGTGAGTTGAATCCGTAAAGGCTATTTTCCAAGTTGTAATTACTAACGCTGAATAATTTTCTGTAAATTATAGCATCCAATAAACGCTAAATCAAAACAATTTCAACTCCAGGAATATACAAATAAAGAATGTTCTACTATAAAAAATTTAATTTATTGGCTTATACAAAACAGTAAATTAATGAATAATGTTTATGTGTGCAGTATTGATATTAGTTCTGGGAAGATACGTTGGAAATGAAACTCCCCAAGTTCTATGTTTACTTCAGCGTAATCAATTCTCTCAGTTTGGGATTTTGAGACTTTTAGCTAATCTTAACGTCTGCGGAATAAACTATCCTCTAGGGAATACGATTCTGACACCTCCAAGAGACTAAATTTAATTCCGGGCTCTTTCTATAGATCACTAAAACAGGTCTTTCAAATCACGTTCTTCTTTTAACAAAAAAAATCTGGTTCTCTTTTACCCAAAAAGGCAATTCCGCGATAATGGAATTTCTCATTCGACTGTCTGACAAGGGTTGGTCCGTTTTCATGGTAAATAATATGCCATTTGAGACTGTTTTGCGTGACAACAGACATCGTAATCTTGTTAAATAACAATATTAAGGAAAGGGATCCAGCAAGTGACTGTAGATGATCGGTTTTTTATAAACCCGGCTTTGGTTGAATCTTATCCGATTGACTCTGCCTTACCAGCGAATAAAAATGAATTGCAATGTATTTTGAATTCTGAACACTTCGCTTTTGAATTTTTAAGGTATTTTAGAGCTTCTCCAAGTGTTTTAAAAAAATATGATTTTTATCAGGACTATAGAATTTTTTGTCGCGATTTTAGAAGAGCCTTCAAATGTTGTAAATTTTTTTTATATTGCAATAGCAACTGAGTCTATCATAAACTCGTATTTAATAGGTAAATGCGAGCACGCCTATGAACGTTAGGCGGGTTTGGTCGCGTTCTCTAGGTCAGCCGAAATGGAAAATCGATTCTTTACAAGACACTCTTTCCTTTTCCCATCTCCACTCACCTCAAATCTAATTTACGGCGAGGAAAACTTCATCGGCAATGATGCGAGCTAATTTTAAAGGACGAAATCGCAATTTTAAATTTCTCAATTTGCGTATTTTGCGCACTCCGATCGGTTCGATATCGATAGAAATGAAAATCTTCGACTTGGTAATATAAGCATGTTTTCCTTTCCGTTCAATTTGCGAACTAACCTACTTGTACTTCAGGGATTTGATATTATCGACCTAAAAAATTTAGTTCAAAGATTTCGTGAGATAAAAAGTTGCCAAAAGTATCTTATACCTACCAAAGATTCATAAAATTTTAAATTGGATAAATTTTTATAAATAGTCTTTTTAGGAATATACAGGATGAGACTCGGCAAAGACTCATAAAATACATATTAACGACAGAAATTTTATCTCCACATCGCTCTTTAGAGAACTCTGTTCTATACTTTTTTCTTTACTAGGTACTTTACAATTTTACATTCCTTATTTGAATTTTTGTGGAAAACTTCATGGAGTCACCCTGTATAGTCTTATGAACTTCTGTACACATGTAAGCTAATGTAGTGAAGGAATTTGAATTTAATTAAAAAACAATTTGATGAGGAATCTGTTGATTTGATATTGCAATGATTAAAACGATTGTATCATTAACATATGTTAGTTTAAATTGCTTTGAACGCACATTTAACCAATCTAATTGTTGTAATAAAGGCGTGCCCGGCTACATATCGAATAAATTAACTACTACAATGTCGGCGTAATAATAGGCCTCATAAGTGTATTGAAATTATTCTTCAATTAACCAGACACAAGCTTTGTCTGATATAAGGCAAGTCATAGGTTTTCATCGAGCGTTTCATTCCTCAATTCCCTATTTAGCTTTCTAGGTCATTGTGGCATTTTAGCTTATACCCGCTATTCACATTGAATCTATTGTTATTATTGAATGTCGAATTCGTAACCAAAAAGAAAACGAAGTTGTTGAGATTGTTCGTACCACATGTTCCCATAATACTCTACCTGTCTATGGTGCTTTTAATAGTTTTAAAGCTTTAAGTTGGTTCAAACCGTTCCACATTGTACTTTCGTGTCTACAGCTATTTCTTAATTGCAAGTGAGTAATACGAGTAGGTATATTGAATTATATGTTGCTTTCAGGAGAGGCTCCAAAGACAATTAGACGAGCAGGCTCAACGCTACGAGGAGCAATTAACGGAGTTGCATTCCGTTATAGCAGAACTGACGAGAAAATTGCATCACCACCGTTCGATGGTTGTACCAGAAGAAGAGGAAATATCGGGTTAGTAATAAACATGTCTTCTGAAGTTTTATTTTCCTCTTGTACATCATTTCGCGCGTCTCTCATAACAGGATAAAATACCTACCGATGCTTGGTTTTATTACGTTCCACTAAGTAAACTCGTGCGTTTAATTGCTTTTTTTTAATAGGAGAGTTTCTAAAAAATCTTTCGCCGCGAATTTACGATGTACATAACAAATTAACCGAGTATGTAAATAATGACTGAATTAATACTAACTCGGATGGTAAACGCCTGTTATATATTCGTAAAAAGCGCACGGGAACCTTCGGTTCGCTCTAAAACCGGGATGTAATCTTCATACTCGCATATATTATGCAAACACTTAACTGTTTCATAATTAAAAAGTGTAACGTGCCACGATAGTTGCGCAACCAGGCGTTCGAGTAGGTGACAAAGGAGACGCCCGTCGATTTGCAATTATTAAATTGAAAAATTAATTCGATTCTCTTTGAAAGTTCTTTAAGTAATATTTGCATCTTGGAGATCACGTTTTCTTTCACGGGGAGGTAAAGTGTCTATAGACCTCAACGTTAATGTAGACTCAGGACGTATGAAATTGTTCCTGTGTTAATGTCTTGTCTTATACAATGTAATGATTTTGTCTTTGGGCTCTTTTGCCGGGGATATTTATTCTTGGGCGATGTCTTTAGGCTATTTTGACGGAGTACCGATTCGAGTATATGTTAAACTTTAAAATCTGCTTCAATTTCGCAATAATTATAAATAATCGTTAATGAATGTTTGTCTTAGAATCCTGTACAAGCGCTCATGAAGATTCGGTAACGTGTCCTTTGGAAGTCAGCGAATTAGAACCCATAGATAATGAACTCTCCGATACAGATAACAAAATGCCGGTAAGTATTTATTAAACTCATGACTGGTTTTATAAAATTCACAATTGTTATGAAAACCGTAACTGTCAATGATATCAATATTAATTTGTGCTATTAAACAAGTATATTAGTATATTGAAATTAAAGTTTGATTGATATGTTGCGCTCATGTTTTATGCAATTGGGCCATTTTTCTCCATATTAATTCAATGTATTTGTATTTATTTACATAAAATTCCTCTATTTTTATGAAGCAAAATTTGCATTTTTCTAATTTGATTTAAGCAAAATTGAATTCGCATGGGTATTAGAAACATAGGGATCCCCTTCATCCGGCGAAAGCATCAAAGCGCCCGTGGTTTGCTTCGTGATTATTCAAATTACGTTATTTGCTCGCTAAACTTATTCAACATTCAACAATTAACAATCGCACACTAAGGGAGCTTTCTCTTCGCCTTTCAGCTCCAGCATTCGTCTTGAAATTCTCTTTATAATTATTCTTCTATTTTTTTATTTTTTTGACACTTTGAAATCACTTTGAAGTTGACTTTGAAGTAGAATGTAAATTGACGAAAATGAAAATTACTATTTAATTATTTGAATGGGTGATTGGAAAGAGGATAAAATTCCAGTGAACCTTTTGGGAAATCAAAAAAAAACTTTTTTGCTGCGAAACCCGCAATTTAAAAAAATCATCTATTTGCCAATTATACACTGACAAAGTACGTTTGATGGAAAATTTGAACGGTTTATGCCTCTTTGGTAACTAGCTATTGGTATTTTGAGAGTACAAAAAATCTATTCTTTTTTCCACTCAAAATCCAAAAAATAGTTAAAAAATTTAAAAACTTTTTTTCAACATATCACCAATAAAATTATGATGTGAAGGAGGTCGATAATTTAATTTTTATTCGGCCAGCGAGAAGATAATAGAAATTATAATAAAATGGCTATCTCACTTTAATCCGCCATATTTTTGGAATTTTACCTTTTTTCGAATCACCCATTCATTTAATTGGTAGCATTTAACACAAGCACAATAGCGCTTTATTCTTTATCTGGTTCGACATCATTCCTTTCAATCTTCCAATTTCTTTGATTGGTTCTATTCATGTTTTGCTAATTGTTTTCTTTCCGATTTTTCATTAGTTTAAAAGAATTTTTTAATTATTTTCCACTTTATAAGAGCAGCCTTAATTACAAAATATCATTTCAAGGATTCTAAGTTTTCCATGTTTATTATTAACCCCGATATGTTTTTTCTTAAGCATATGTGTTCAGTAAATATTTTGAAACCATATTAGCGGATGCAACGATATACTTTATGGCACTTGTTCCTAAATTTGGGATTTTACGACGTTTCTTAGACGGAATTAAAGCGACCCCGTTTGTTTGCCCGTTTGTTTTGGTCGAGCGAACTTTCATTAAATCTATATCGATTGTTTACGCGTCCGTAAATCATCGAATGCTTGTATACGCTCGGTTGATTGGATTGCAAATTGCACATAATAGCAATAGCATCGTACAGATTTAATCGAATAAGAAACGCACAAAAACAAATCGACTGAAAGATAGACATTGAACGATAATATTTATATCGTTGGTGTTTTCGCCAGTTCCCCGACAGCCCTCAGGCGCTGCCGGAACCGAAATTGACTTTATCGCATCAGGATCACAACGAGCTTTCGCCCTTTTTGGACACAGTGGAGCCGCTCAAGAATGAAATAGCTAGCTTGAAACACCAACTGCACGAGGCCCACGCCAGATTGGCCCAAATGGCGTTGTCCAGAATTGAAGAGACTGGCGACGAAGAAACCGTCACAACAACCAGTAAGTTGTTCGTTATAAGTTTTCGGAAAATTTCGCAATTCTCCAAAAAAACTGAAGTATAAAAAATGTTCGCCTTCTTTACGAATATTGGCAATTGCCGATTGGTTAATTTTATCTTTAAAGCTGCTGTTTTGAAGAAGATTATTATTATTCCAGTTGTACCAATCACGTAGATTTTTCAGCTTTTTTAATTATGATTTGGAGTAGATGATATTTCTCACCACTCATTACATGACCAAATATAGTAGTTACCGTTTTTTGATGTTTATGCTTACCTCCGTTTTTTCCTAAAATCAAATATTGCAGATAGTAAAAATATGGAGTCGCCCGAATCCCATTTAGAACTAGACTGCGAGCCGAAAATGTACCACGAGGAAAAAATCGACATAAAATTCAGCAATATCGTGCCCATTCACAAGACGAACGCCAGGAACAACACCTACTCGTCGGCGCCGGTGACCAAAGTCGCCGAACGGATCAAGCTGAAACGGGCGTCGGATCAGCGTAACATAAATCCGAACGATTTGATAAATTCGGATCTGTCGACGGCCGTGGCGGAGCACATCGTGGGCGACATATTGAAACAGTGCGACATCCAAGCGGAGAAGCAGGGATTGGATATCGAAATTAGGAAAATCAACGCGAAATTGGAGAATTCCAGGTCGCAGAATTCCGTTTTGGCGTTGACGTTGTCGGAAACGAAAGCGCATTGTGATAGGTTTGTATCTCTATATGTATCTTAACTTATGTTGTTTATAATTACACTAGTTTACAAGTTTTACACTTTTTTAGTACATGTCATTAAATCAACTTTTTTAATACATTTTTGGCGTGCTTATTCCAATTATGCCATTGAAAAAAAATTCAGCACGTCTAGTTTTCTTAATTTACATGTCCGTTCTAAATAGTTCTAGAGAGTTCTAAATAGTTCTGAAGCGTTCTAAATGGTTCTAAATTTTTCTAAACGGTTTTGGAGCGTTCTAAATGGTTCTAGACCGCTCTAAACGTTTCTACATAGTTTTAAATGATCCTGGAGCGTTCTAAATTGTTCTATACAGTTCTAAATGATTATGGAGCATTCTAAATGGTTCTACAGTTTTATAAATGATTCTGAAGATTCTGTAGTTCTAAGTGATTCTGTATCTGTATAAATGTTTCTGGAGCGTTCTAAATGGTTCTAGACAGTTCTGAATGGTAGACAGTTCTAAATGATCCTGGAGCGTTCTAAATTGTTCTAGACTGTTCTAAATGATCCTGGAGCGTTCTAAATGGTTCTAGATAGTTTTAAATGGTGTACTAAAAGGCTATTGTTGGACATTAATACGCGAAACCGACCTAAAAATCATACAAAAAAAAACAAAAATTTAATGCTCCACATTTCTAGTTTGTAGTTTCTTATCGTGCTTTGCGTGGATATTAAATTCCAGTAAAACAAATGGTTTTATTAGTATATTTCGGTTATGTGACGTGCTATATTTTTTATTACTACAAATTTATGTTCGTTAAACAAAAATACATCACTCCCGTTATCCTAAGTTTTTTGTACCAAACCTTCTAAACTAATGTTCTTATTTATTTGACTTACTCTTCCTACTCCACAAATTTAAAGCGAACAAAAATATTATTGTTCTTGAACAAAAATAATATTTTTTTCAATTTTACAGATTGGCTTTGTTGTGCGGCAAATACGAATCGAACGCCATCGCTTTGCAACTGGCATTGGGCATAAGCGATCGAATAATCGAAGCGTACGACGTTCTATTGGCGTTGCTCGAGACCGAGTTGAGCCTCAAAGAGGAGGATTCCGAAACGGTGCAGAACAGGAGCGCCGCGGAAACCGTTGCCAAGCAATTACTGCACCATTTAGATTCATATCAGAGCACCGACATATTGCTCTCCCCTTGGCAAAATCACGCTTATAACAGTCCAACGATCGATTGGTAAGTTCTTAGATCCTTAGAAGTACGAAGTAATTTATTAAATTTGTTCAGTGACGAGCCTTGGACTTCGGAGCATGAAATGAGATTGAGGGAGCACGTGTCGCGACTGAAAGCCGAAAGGAGCAACATTCAGGGAACTTACGTCGTTTTGGAGTCGACTCAGCTCGAAAATATGCCGGTGCGACCTTCCAGTACGCAGGAAGCCAGAAAAATGGACCTGGAAATGGCCGTGTTGATGCAGGTGCGTCGATCGTTTCCAAAATTCACCGTTCCACATAATCGAATTCGAAACGTTTCAGGAACTCATGGGATTACGAGAAGACAAGGCTGAACTGATATCCAAACTGTTCGGTTTGGAGAAAGAAAAATGTGCCATAGAACTTAAACTGAAATATTCCGAAGGCCAACAGAAGGCCCAATCGGCGACTTTGAAGAACCTCCAAGGGCAACTCAAAGACACCGAAGCTCTATTGGCGATAGCCACACAGAGCAAGGTAAATGAATTTGCGATATAATTATTTCTATACGTATTACTGCATAAGTGTGTGCAGGAACAAGGCTACTCGGACGCGGAGCATGCGCAAGGAGTCGAACTGGAGCTGATGCAGGCGCTGGCGAGAGAGGCAAGACTGAAAGTTAGATTGCAGGAGTTAGTAACGACGTTGGAGCAAGTTACGAAAAACGCCGAGGCTAGATTATTGGAAGGAAGGGAGATAGTACAAGATCTGAACCATACCAATAGGTAAGTTTCCTCGTAATTTGTAGCCGTTTGTAAATGATAATTGACACGTTTTGTTGCAGTATATTAGCTGATACCGTAGACAGAAATAACAAGAAATATCAAGCTAAATTTAAGAAAATGGAACAACAGATGTTTTTATTAGTAGAGAAGCACAATACCCAGGTAAACTCGCTGCGCAAGCTCGACTAGATGATTTCATTCATGTAAATAATAAGAAACTCAAAGATAATGGCCCGTATTAAAAGCTAATCAATCGTTTAAAGAGTCTCTTTAACTTGACAGTTGTACATTGTTATGGATTAGCAGTGTAGAGAGACTCTTTAAACGATTGATGAGCGGTAAAAATGAGCACTGAGTACGAACCAAGGTCACAATGTAACTATACAGTTGGTGCAAAACAAATGCCGATGCACGTCACCTATAATTTACTACGTCACAAGTAGGCAGTGTTGCCGAACTTTTATAGAGTTTGCAAATCTAAGAATTTTCTAAAATTGTCAAATGGCAAAATGACAAGAACAAATTGAAAAATTAGGAGTACTTGTTTCACGTTTCTAAAATTCCTTTATCATCTGAAATATATTTAACAGTGCGAGTAAAAAATTTAGTGTACAATTGATTAATATAATATATAAATATATAAATATATTAATATAAAATTAAATTCTGCAGGTATTAAGCTTAATCTATTTTGTATATTTATTTTTAAAAGTTGGGCACAATGCTTGGCAAGTATGATGACAGTAGTGACGTGCACTGATATTTGCTTTGCACCAACTGTAGGTGAATTCTATAAAGGATATTACTTCTCGATGAAAGAGAAATTCTCTTTATTATCTCTGATTGATTGTCATTTTAGGTTCAAAACCTCCAACAGAGGATAGCTACATTAGAAACTCCGCCGACAAATAGTTCGGAAAATTTCATAAACTCCGTAGCTGTGTAGCCTCCCGGCAACGTTGTAATTTTATTTGTGCGATCGAGTAACTTTGAAGCCGTTAAGTTGGTGTTTCTGTTCTTGATTTTTTTCGACGAGACAAGTAACCAGAGAGCATTTTAGCTAAGCTTGTGTAATGGATCTAATTTTTCGAGTCGAATGTTTGGAGTTGGTATTGCGTAAGGTTGTTTAAAATAGTAGGAGTAACGTGCTGTTCGAATCCGCAATTAAAGTGAAATCCATAAGGCGGAGTCAGCGAGATACAGGGTGTCCCACATAAGAACCGACACAAATAAGGGGCATGTAGGAAAACCTAAAATATGTTGTTTAACACAACTTAATACAAAGTTACAATACTGAGAAGTTATTGGCCTTCAAAGTGGAGTTACAAGGAGTGGAGTTGTTATGAAACCTTTATCTAAAATGGCATCTAACGTGGATTTCACTATAAAAATGATTTTTTTATATACAAATAACTAACTGGTAAATATTGAAAAAAAAAATATTTTATTTATAGCCGTTCATTAATAATAATTAACAAAAATCCGTTATTAATTAAGTTTAAGTGAGGCTTAAAATGTTCGTCAAAAATATTTACAATAATAAAAGCAATAGCTGTTATTTGCTAAGGGAATTTGAGAATTTGTGTAAAATGAACGTAGATTGAAATGGTCTGTAATTGTGCTAAGGTGTGTCTGCCTCGCTGTGATTAACTTAAACCCTTATTAAATATGGCAAATATACGTATTATCAGGAAATTATTTATTTTCATTGAGAATCAATATAAAAAATTATACTAATAGTATTTGTTTTGTTATTTGTTTTGTATAATAAACTTTTTTATGTCCTAATGTTTTATATTTTTTTTACCCTATTCCTAATAAGATTTTGAGTACATCTAGATAATAATTAAAAAAAAATACTGTAAATCAAAACAATTCTATTCCCGTTTTTGTGAGTACATACAAATCGATTTAGTATTAACGTTTATCATTTCGACATTATCGTTATTGTTATCAAGATTTGAAGAGGTTAACGGGTGGGCTAATCACTAATATGTTTGACCTTTCGATTATAATAATTTTTATGTAGGTAATTCTAGATTCGGATTAACTGCACCAGACTAATGTTTTAAATGCACTGTTTAAATCGAAATTCCCATCTCCCATCAAAAGGAAATTGTCCAATTTTTGGCACAGTAAATTTTAAATTAGGTAGATTTAAACCAAATACAGGGTGTTCCAAGTCCCAATGAAAAATAACTCACTTAATCAGCGTACATTTAAAATTCCTTTTAAAAAACATGCGGTTTTTAGCAGATGTTTTATTTTGTTATAGTTGTAATAATATTACCACTGCAGGGTGTTTTGTCAAAATATCCTCTTTTAAATTCACAGTAACCAAATTGTATTAAATGGAACACCCGTATTATGTAGATGTATTCTGTAAGATATACTATTCTACTTTTCAATTATTCACTTATTCAAATGTATTATTTGTATATGTTATTCTACAAAATAAAGGGGATTTTGATAGAACACCCTGTACAGCAAAATATAATAAGACTTAAAAGTTGGTTCATTTTAGTTTGCAATATAGGCTATGGATGCGATAAAGACAACTTCCGTTAGACACTTATAAAGAAAAAAGTAAGAGTGATATTGTGTTATTGTAACTTTTCATTCTGGGAACTAAAATTTCAATAATTATTCTTTGTTTAACTCATAGAAATGACCAATTGCAAACTGAAATGCACCAAGGTGTATATGCGAAAACCGCATGTTTTTAAGATTAGGCGTTTAAATTTTAAGCTGATGATTAAATGGGCTACTTTTTTTCATTGGACCCTGTATATCATCTTAAACCGTTTTTGAATTTGAAGTATTTTTATTTTATTCTTCAAGCATTCAGCTTGAAGTTCATACCTGACCTGTGTGATTTTAACGTAATGATCATTGACTAGCCTTGACAAGTCTAGTGTCGTTTTTTCTTGTTCATATGTTATTACACCTCATTGTTTAAAATACTAATTTAAAAGCATTCATTTGCTCAACATTCACAGTTTTATACATTTTACATAGATATTCAGAATTAAATTAAAAACAATAACATCAATTTCCACACTACAGCCACTCAAAATTAATCAACTATGTTTACATACCTACATAATTGCAGGTGGATTGAGGTCATTACCATTCGAAAACATTAATCGTTTAATGTATTAATTTAGGCTATTCTTGTGCAGATTTACGTTCCCCCCAAGAGTATCCTAACTTTTCCGGACTTATCGTTAACCGCAACCGTGGATAGTTATCAACGTGTGTACGTCCGTGCAGCCAGCTGTTTCACGAGAATCCGGCAAACGGGTTTAATTCATACATTATATACAGGAACTTCAACCTTCGATTTATTACGTAAAATTGTATAATTAATTTCATTAGCATTTTTATTGAACAAATTTTGGTTTTGTAGTCTTTATTGGGCTACGTTTACATTATTCGTCGGCATAATAAATTGAACTGCATGGGAAATTTCGTTGTCGATTTTGTTTACTAGTTGTTTAAAATGAAATATAGTGCAAAATACCTGCATTTGATAATAGCTAATACGCTATTTGTTACTGTTATTATTACGTAAGTATTTATCTATCATTTACAAATATTTTTGTTTTTATAGTTTTATATCAAAGTATGGTTCCTAATATTTAAAACTTCAGTAATAATTCATTTATTAAAAAAAATCTGTTGGTAATGTCTAGATAACAATCTACCATTATTTTTTTGTTATTTTTGAAAATAATATTTTTAATCAATTAATGTTAGTACTAAGTGGAAACTGTATGCATTGTTTTCAAAATTAAAGCAAGCAGTACCTAAAGCTTGTGATAAAATTATTTTGTTACATTGCTAAAGTGTAAATATCGAGCAAAAAAAATATTACTTTTCTGTCTAAAAGTACAAGAATATTATTTAATAAATACCTATTTCGCCACCTCCCACGTATAGAGCTCAAAGAACTGATTTTTTTTACTTGTAGCACAACCCTAGCGTATTATTATGAGCACGTAACTTCTATAATACCATACATAAGCGATACTGGAACGGTTGCACCGGAAAGTTGCATTTTCGGTCAGTTTTTAAACATAATATGGCTATTACGTAAGTTCCAAACTTCCTTATTAACACATTACCTCCATGAAAAAACTTTTATAATTTCAGTATCAATGGCAATGTACATCAAATTCAGGCAAGTTCGCGATATTCTGTTTAAGCATAACATGACCCATCGAAATGCATTTAATACAGTCACTTTCGTAATCGGTTTAATAGCATCGTTCGGCGTAAGCATTGTCGCCAACTTTCAAGAAACCAACATGCTATACGTACATTGGACTGGAGCAGTGTTAGCCTTCGGCGGAGGAGCTGTTTATGTTTGTCTCCAAGTACTATATTTCCTAAAAAATATTTCTAACTGGGTAATTATCATCAATTTCGTTTGCAGACGTCTTTGTATTTGACGATAACTCCGGTAATCGGTCAGATTCTTCTGACGAAAATTCGGATTTTCCTATCAGCCTTAATTACAGTAACTTTCGTCATATTTTTCATCACAGGGATGATGTCGTATAGTCAATTCAAGGGTGAGTTATTATTATTTAGCCAAGTTAAATAAGCCAGACTAAAATTTTTTTGACTAATATATTTTTGAAAAGTAAAAGAGTCTCTTTCAGAATACCTCTACATATACGGGGTGTTACATTTAATAAAATTTGGTTACCGTAAATTTAAAAGAGATTTTGATAAAACAACATGTACTGGTAATATTACATGTTTTTATGATTAGCCGTTTGTAAGTTATAAGCTGATTAAAGGCGACTTTTCATTAGGACACCCTGTATTTAGTGGGAATTAGTCCAATGTAGATATAGACCAAAATACAAATATTAACAAAACATTTATTAGAATAACCAATAATGCAAAAATGTCATAATTTTTGGGATGCTAAATGGACATTTATAAAATCCTTCTCAACATCTAACCATTCTATTATCTTCACTTTTACTAATATGTAGTGTTTTTTTCTAGGGGAAAGTTACTTGAAATGGCACAGAGAAAACGGCGGTTTCGAATTGCACAACACTAGCGCGGTAACAGAATGGATTTGCGCGATAGCGATTATGGTTTATATAATGATGATGGGAGAAGAATTCAAGACGATTAACATGTATGAACCAGAAGTCGATGTGGGTCTTCAACGCATCAGCGACAATTAAAGTAGAGCGTTTAAGTTCACACAGCTTAAACGCTAGATAATATATCATAATAGGCACTTTGATATTAATTAATTAATTATACAATATAATTGTGTAATGTATTGTCGTTGAAGTCGTTGAATGTTGGTAATTGTGAAACTATTAATGCACGAATTGTTTCATAAAAATGGTTAAAATATATAGGAGATAAAATTTAACATATCGAAAACGCAATAGGAATGATGTATGATATTTTTATATTTTAGGTAACTGATGAATTTTACTTATAAATACTTAGTTGAAAAACTTATCTTTGAGATTTGACTGAACTTGCGTATTTATGTATACTTAAATCAACGAAGAAAAAATATTATCTGATAATTGTTAAGTAATTTTAGAACATTGTTCAGCTGTATCGTGATTTAAAAAAATATTATTTATTCCTCTAGTTAAATATTAGATAGGTATATAGATAAATAGATAAGTTAGGTGTTTATTAATTATAAGTTTTGTTAGAACACATTGCTACCTAAATATTTGTAATTTTGAAAATTGAGAGCGTGTTAATACATAATTAAAGGTAATAGTATGTTTTTAATTGTATTTTATTATTTCTCCTGAATTATCAATCTGAATTGCAAAATTGAAATATCTCGAAAAGTATTAAAGGTACAGGGAAAGTTCAATAGGAATAAAAGCCCTTCAAAAGTACTTTTGGTAGTTAGATATATAAAATATAGAATGATACATTTAAAATAACAGAAAAAAGTTACTTTCTATTGATATAAGCTTTTCTTCTTAAATCATCTAAATATTCACATTCTGAAGTATCGGCACTCAACTAATTAACACCATGTAGGTATATTCTACAATAACAGATATATTGAGCTTTTGCGTACTATTTTGTCACCCGGCAGAACAATTTGTGTGTTTGACGTAGAATAATAATAATATTAATATTTCCATATTATTACGGTAATGGAAGTGTTTATAAAAGCATTAATTAATTTTCAATTATTTTAACAATATGGAAAAATTACCGTAATGATTAGGTAGTTATACTTCTTGGCCTTATTAAGAAATGTTTCAAAACACTATTTATATCTTTATTGTAGCTTTGGTGGCTTTTGTAAAAAAATTGTTAAAAATTCATACAAAATTGAATATCTAGTACTACACTATATCATTTTCTATACAAAAATACTTTCAATATTTCGTTATTACCTATTTATAAAATTAACAAAATGAGAAGCATATTGTTTTGATCAACCTACATATTCGATTAAAATAAATTTAATTAAAGCAATAAAATGATTTTAATTTTAATTATTTTCAACATAAGTTGTTAGTGCTTCCAGTTGATGTCATGCAAGTTTAGATAAGACTATTCAAACATTAAAGTGAGTAAATTTCCCAATCATATTACTCATTAGACTCATTAGAGTAATTAGGAATAATAAAAATATAAATTTTTCCAAAGAAAACATAATTAATTTAATGACAATAAATTAACAATTAACTATTAATTAGTAAGAAAACTCAACACTTTTTATATATAATTATCTTACGTATACGTATAACTCTATAACAGAGTTTCCTAGAAATTTAGGTGCGATACAAACATATAAATCCTGATAGTATTGGGCATAATTAGGTTCAGTTATCGTCTACCCACGCTAAATGGCATATCATTATAGAGTCATCAGGAAATAGGCGAATTCCTTAATATTAGATAAATTACAGAAACTATTAAGAAAATATGTTTAATCAACATAACAACAGTTTACAATTGGGATTTTAGTGCTAATACCTGTGCGTTTAAAATGCGGGTTTTAAACGGCAAAGAGAAAAACTTGAAATTATTCTAAATCCAGAAGCAACTGAAAATGGTGTTTACGAAAGCATATATTTTTCCTGCATTATTGGGAATTTGGATACCTCTAACAGTACTTATAGTGTGAGTATAAATATAGAAATAATCAATATTCATATATCTTATTATCATTGAGAAACGATCAGGTTTATATAAATTGTACTAATTTTAAAATGTAGGGAGATTTTCTGTTCGAAAAATATTTATAATACAAATTTCATATCTACCTACCTAATTATGCTGCATAAAGAGATGGGTTTCTCCATATAATTTTTGACTTATTTCATTACTAATTACCTACTCTCTACTATTAATTAAATAATCATCAAAATAACAGTTTTTTACTTACATATATTCATTATGCATATGTAATTTTCAGTTATACTGTTGCCGTATTAACGAATCATGTGACGCCTGTTTTACCTTACCTTAGTGATGCTGGTTCGTGGGCCCCTGAGAGTTGTATTTTCGGAATTATGTTCACTTTAGGAAATCTAATATGTAAGTAAAAAATACGATGGAAAATGTCTGTTCCAAATAGGTACTTAAAACTCCAAACTTATAACTTTTCAGCGTTTGCACAAGATCATTATTCATTATCATTATTCTCATTAATATGACTTTCGCAAGCGTAAAAAAGTTCTGTAGGCCTTAGTTTGGACAAAACTTTTATCAAACGGTTACATTTTTTAGGGTTCACAATAATATATCTTCGATTCAGACAAGTAGAAGACTTGCAAAGCAAATACCAATTGAGTAGCATCTTGAACAAATTGAACAATTACAGTTTCTATGCTGGAATTATAAGCATTCTCGGTGGTTTGATTGTTGCTAATTTTCAAGTGAGGCAAACATTTTTCGTTCATTTAACAGGTGCGGCAATTTGCTTTGGCTTTGGAACTGTATGTCAGGCATTACAAGTAAGTATTAGTCACTTATATTGCACTAATATAAAACATAGTGATTTTTTGAAAAGTTTCCACCTCCGATATTTTCTCCCACAAATCAATTTTGTTTTTAAGGAGGACATCTAACCAGTGTATTTTCAATCTTGCTGTTTCACCCCCATAGATTACCCTTTTCAACACCTTGGCTTCTTTGCACGAAAAATTTGTTTGTGGAAATATGAGAGGTGGAAACTTTTTCAAAAATCATCCAGTAAACGTTCTAATTTTTTACGACTCACCTTAGATAATTAGAATAACACTATTTTTTTTCAGGCAATTATTTCATTTAAAGTCTACCCACACGTAGGAAACAGATTATTAAACATTTCAAGGGTAATTGTTACATTACTGTCTGTTATTACTTGTACCAGTACATCCGTATGCGCGATTTTGTCTTTTAGTCAATATAAAGGTACATTTTTTACATAGAAATTACTTCATCATATGTGCTGAAGGATAACTGGAAATTTGGATATTTTCATTTTTTCTATATTTACAGGAAATGATATGAACAAATGGAAACCAGACGATGGGGGCTACACTTTTCACGTCATCAGCGCGGTTTCGGAATACATTTTGATAGCCACAACTACAATTAATCTAGTTAGTTTTGCAGAAGAATTTAAGTACATTGAAATACATAAACCGATAATTACAAATCAAGTGATTGATGACAAATAATTCATTCTAAATGTTTTAAATGCCCTTACAGGTTATGAATAAGCAATAATTTTTTTTGAGAAAATATCGTAACTATTTTGAGTACAAAATATGTAAATAATTTTAATATGTATGTATGTATTTATTATTTAGAAATAAATTTCACAAAATGTATAACGAATTCACTAATTATCATAATTATTACCTAATTGTAGTAAAGTATTCACTCAGAAGGAGTCATAGTGATTAGCAAAGTTATTTAGTTTAAACAATTATCGAACAACAATTTCATCTTTATGAACAACAAAAACTTTTCCTTATTATCAAAATATTTGTAAATATTTTTAAATATTTTTTATAAATCAGCCATTAAAATGCGGAGGAAAATGATCCAATTGATCCAAAAAGGAAATTTTGAATGAATTTTAGAGTAAAAAGGAATTAATATTTTAGTTATTAGTCTACTACCTTTCCTCACTCCTGTTTTGAACATTATAAAAACATAATAGACAATTTAAAATAATTTTTAATTTGCCGTTTATTTTTAGTAGATGATCCTTGAAAGAACGGCCAAAAGACATATGTAAATAAACAGGATTATAGTTATACCAGTTTTTAAATACTATGGAAAATCCGGTTGTTTGATATTGAGATATGCACATACTTGTATTTTAAATTTGTCTAAGCACAAAGCCGATCAGTGTAAGTACCTTCCTACATAAGAAATCAAAGGTAAGCAATATTATATTCATTCAATATTTAATGAAAAAGATATTAGATAATTTAAAATATCTGTTATTAATAAAATACCTGGTTAAAACACTTGCAAGAATTTCAACACATAAGCATTATTTTGTGAATTAGAAAACATTTTTTTAATGGGTTTATATTTTGAATCAAAATTACCTTCATATGGGTAATATGAAATTCGATTTGCAAAATTATTTCTATTGCACATTTAGCTTAGCAGAAAAATAGAACAAGACCTGTTAAATTTGCATTTTCACCTCTCAACGGCCCATAATAATTCCTCACCTCATGATAAATTATTCCATCAGAAGTTGAAAAAAATGTTGGGAATTTAATCGCGCCGCTATCAGAGTAATTCCAAGCGGAATTTCGACTAAAGGGCAGAAAAGCGGGGGCGCAAAAACGATTTTTAATTACCGCTCGTCCTTGGACTCTCGCAAAACTAAATTAATTTCAATCGCATTCCCGGCTTTTTGAGCGCATTTTGGGGGTTGATTAGGGTTCGTCAATAAACACCTACCATAAATAACTTTTCATTTACAATTTTCCTTTAAATTTCTACTTTGTGTGAACAAGAAATGATCCAACAGGTCCATTTTTTTTAACTTATTTTTTGTGAGGGTTTTGCTTTTAACAATATTTTTAATTCTTCATTAAAAAAAACAACAAAAGGCCTTAAGCGTAGTAAGAGTAAATAGCGGACATTTATTTGAATTCCTAAAAGCAGTTTTCCTTTCAGATGGCAGGGAAACTTTCCATTATGGCCTGCGTGCTGGCAGCACTGGTAGCCCTCTCAAGGGCGGCCGGCGCGCCCCAACCCTCCCCAAGTTCATTAGCCAGCCCCTGTTCGGAGCTCTTACGCTACGAGGCGGGAGATAAACCTGGCCAGCGGAGCGGAAGCCTGATCCTCAGATCGCGGGAACGTCTCAGCGGAGTGTGGATTAGACTCATATTCGATAAGGAAGTCGAGGATGTGACTGTTGATGTAAGTTAATTCGCTCGGAACCGGGTAATGTGGGGTAACTGGTTGCGGGTTGTCGATAGGAATGCCTAACTAAGGGAACGGGTCAGAAATGTTTGGAATTATGATTAATATCCGAATTTCGTGAGGAGCAAATGAGGTGTTATGTCAATAAAATTCGTAAAGAAAAAAATCGTTAAAGGGGGAGTCAAAACACTTTAAATAATTATTTTAAAAGAGTAGATTACTTATCATTATCATTAGATTATTTATACACGAATTATAAATGTAATAAAGGACGCAAAAAGTCTTATTGACCTTTGCTTAAATATTAAAATACTGCTCTTTTTTCCATGAAATTCTGTTCTTTCTAACGTGTAGTAGAAATTTATTTGTTTAATCTTATTAAGATTTAACTAGAAGTTAGTAGTTTCCTGGAAAAAAAAACAAGTCTTCTCGAAACTCCTCGGAAAATCCCAATTTTCCCTCTTTATTAAAAACAACTGGGAGAAAATCGCTTTAAATTAAGTTAGGCAAACAACACGGCGCGTTTTCCAGGATGGAAAGTATCTAGTTATTAGAAACTCGGATAATCTTCGAATCTCGTCGCTCCTTCGGATTAGTTGCGAACGTTAATAATTGCGTAAATCTGAATTTTATTAACATCGGAGCGGGACGCTATGTTAATTGGATTCGAAGGAGGCCGTAGAGAAAAACGTTAATTAAAATAGTTTCGACGTTTTCCCGAGCGTTTGCTTTTTTGCGTCCGCTATTAAAACGTTGTTAGTTCCGTTGCTGGAGAGATTCTAATTTAACAAAACTAATCCCGCTACCATGGTCTCATTAAGTACAATGAGCAATTTGTGAGCGTACAAATTAAAACAACTTTGTTGTTAGCGACTAGTACTTGCGATACTTCGTAAAAATGAAGTTACATAATCCTAATATATCCTTTACAGATGTTTATCAAACTAATCATTTAATGTTTAAAGCCAAACAACATGATAAACACAAATGAACATCCATCTTCGTAGCAGCTTTATTGCAACAACTTTAGCGCGTAAGCGTCGTCATTCTGCTGAATAATAAAAATTCTTTATTGCAGTCGGGCGAGTTTCAGATCAAGAAGGATGACGATGGGAAACAAGTGCGAATTCAAAACAGGAATTTAGTGTTAGAGCCTAATGCGGAGAAAATTGTCAACGTTACGATTAAATACGAGGGAACCGAAACTCCTGGTCTAATGGAATATCGATTGAATGCCAGGACGATATGCCCTCAAGCTAACATGTGAGTATAAAGTTGACACCCGTTATGAAAGATGGTTTCAATAGGTTTTTTCTGTTCGATAGTTGTACAGGATGAGTTACCATTAACTTTATTTATTCTACCAAGTGCTGAGCTCAATTAAAACAGTCTTCAACTCGTCTGCGTTATTTACACAAAAACTTAATGGGTTGTAATTTTTTAATGGTTTATTTGATTTCTTCCAATTTTTGTTAAACTGTATTTTAATGCCCTATTTTCGATTAACGAGCTACAAATTTCAAATTCAGGATTGGCTTTATTTTACGAAAATTGAATTGAGTTTATAATAAATTAACCACGATGTTTACAATTTTTTGTATCTAAAATTGCATCTAGTATCATATAAATTCTATCAAATTTTATTTAGAACAAACTTTTTTACATTGCACATTACGTTTCCTACATCAGCTTTTATTTCCATTTTTTTGTAAAAAACATCAAATTTAAGTACGTTTATTTTTATTGTAGGAACCGAACGGACATTTTCCAAGGGGACTCGAAATCCGATTATTTTCTACGCCATTTGAAACCTGCAGAGATCGACCGCCCGACTGGCTACAATTGTGGCACTTCTCGAGCGAACAAACCCCATCCATGGCTAGCGGCTGTTTATCTTACCGTCGATAACGAGCAAAAATTTATCTGCGACGCTGTTTTAGTGCACCCCCAGTACGTGATTACGGCTGCACACTGCGTTACGTTCAGGAACGAGCATACACCAATTCCTGCAGCTATAATCAGAGTTCACTTGGGACGTGAAACTGACCCAAAGGACCTCAGTGCCTCGCTAGTTTCCGATGTTGAGGTAATCTCTTAATTTAACTTTATTATTATTGCAGCAATTCACTCTTGTCACAGTAACTTCTTTAACCGTTGCTTCTAAAAAATCTTCAGGTTCATCCTGGGTACACGGCTGGTTCTCTTCTGGATGATGTAGCACTTGTAAAACTTTCTTCTCCAGTTGAAGTCAGTGATGATGTGAGGCCGATTTGTTTGGGAGAAATCGGAGGAAACGATACTAAAATAATCGTGATCGCCGGTCATCAACAAGCCGAGGAAAAAAGTACTCGCCAAATGGTAGAATCAAAAGTTTTAATGTCTAGTTTCAACGGATGCCTGACAGCTGCTCCTCATTTAGAGAATGCCTTGACCTACGAAACGTACTGTTTTACTTACAGTGCAGGTAACGTATAATTTTATACACTCGTAAATATTATACTTCCTTTCGCGGTATAAAACATTCTTTATTTACATCAACTTATCATTGGGAGATTTATAATGAAATTCGTTGTGAAAAATTGAACGCCTCGTTGACGAAGGGCAGCGGAAAATTAATTTAAACTGTCGCTTTAATTAATACAAACAATAATCGCAAACCATCATGCAAAGGGCGAAGAATAAAGCTCTGCATCCATAAATTTAGCAGGAAAACAATGAAAAGCTCAAAGCTTTCGGTTAAAATAAACATAACGACCACGTTCCGGGAGGCGGAGGAGAGCCTGTTTTTCTCCAGATCGTTCGCATTTTAGAGTTGCTGTGTTTGTTTCTAGTCGATACAGCTTTGTTGAAGCTGAGTGGTCCGGATGCAGCAAGTTTTTTACTAAAGCTTTTTTTGATGATATTCCTACATTGATAGAATGAATAACAAGCTATTTGTAAATTCTGTGTAGCTGTAGAAGTTCCTGAATTATAATGAAATTTTGTCTCTTTCTATCTTCATTCGTATGTAATTAGAGATATTTTTTAGATGACAAAAATTGCGCAGGACAATCTGGAAGCGCTTTGGTAGTTACCGGGTCTGATGGAGTATCGACACTTGATGGAATCGTAACGGTAGGAACGAAATTGCAAAACAAACCATGCGATGCAAATAGCGTTATTATAGTTAGCGAAATCGACAGATACGTTTCGTGGATCAAGCGAATAATGCAGGAATAAATGTATGATATTTTAATATGTATTGTTACAAACATTGTTTGTGTTTTTGTGAGTGTTTCCATAAACCGAATTTTATCGTATGATTTTCAATAAAACAGTAGCAGAAAATTCAATTGTGTTGCTTTTTGTTCAAATGAGTGTGCCTCGATGAATAAAATAGCTGAAATTAAAATAACAATTTTCATTTCATTGTCAGAGGTAATATTAAACAGCAAAAAAGGTTGCAAAAAATAAAAAAAATCAACCGATAATAATTGTTAGTTAATTGTTAGATAATAAGTGTTAGTGTTTCATTAATACTAGAAAATCAGAGTTTAGAAACATCTCAACATATTTTACGAAAATACAGAAAAAAGGATTAATAATTAAAAAAATCAATTTGAAGACATTAAAATTGTTCAACCATTTTCCATCTGCGGCAACTTTTTTAATTCATCCAGTATTCCAATTTTGGAGAAAAATTTAAATGATTGACTGGAAACGCTTTGACAACTCCTGGATTTGATGGAATATCAGCACTTGCGTAACGGCATGAACAAAATACGAGAGACCAAGCGATGAAAATACTGAAAATAGCATGATCATATCGAAATCGATAGGTCTTTCCGAAGTCAATTGAATACTTTATAAAAAATCATTTTTGATAAGACCTCTTTCCTAAGGGGTGCATATTTTATTTTACGATTGTGAATGAATATGATGATTGATGATGAAAATAACTTTTCTATCAAATTTCATAAAAATATCTCCTTCTTTTAGTAAGATAAGAAAAATGTATGTATAAAACTAACTTTTTTCGTAAATTCATGTACAGATTCACAACCAAAAATAATGATATACATACTTATGAAACACCTGTACTCCAGGTTGGAATACTAAATTTGAAAATTCTTATTCAACCGGTTACGAAGGTATGATAATTACTTGGAAAATCGAACATCAGCACTTTCGTCCCCCTGGCGGTTGGATATCCGTTTAAAGGACCTGCCTATTAGACACCTATTATGAATTGATCAACGATATACAATAAGTCTTAAAGCCCTCGGGGTTTCTCCTTTCACGAGATATCAAATCTTGTTTTAAATGTAAAACCGTCTTCGTCGCCCTTTTACCTAGTTGTATTATGGAAGGTTTGAAACATACCTACTAAGCTATTAATACGTATTATTAATTAATTAATTAATTATACTAACTAAGGCTTGGTGGTATTTCCCTACAAGATTAAAGACGTGTTGATATTGATTAAATTTAATATAACATCAAAATGTAATCTTTTAACAAATTATATTTGACATCAAGTTTGTTTTAACGTCGTGGTTAATTTTAAATTTATTACTATTTCTAATGGAGTTAAAATGTGTACTTGCTTTTTACTAATTTTAAATACTTTAAACCCAAACCAATAATATTCTATGAGCAATATACAATATAACACACTTGTTTTACAAGCGTTATGTATTTATAAATTGTCGACCGACATTTTTTATTTCAAAACGTATCTACATTGACATTAGGATTACCTACCATCCTAAATTAAACCAACAGAATGTTCAATTAAGGTGGGGCAAAAAGGATTCAAATCCGGGAATAAGCAGCAAAAGAGGAAACGATTCGAAATTATTGTAATATTTAGACAGGAAGATAAAGCAATTTCCTTTTAATATTCCTTTATACTTTCAGCAACTAAGTCGACAGGCGAGAGTATTACCTGAAATGGCTCAATCTGAAATGGCTCAAAATCCAAAGCACTGGCTTTTCTTATGGAACAAAGGAAATAATACATTTTTCGTATAATAGAGCACCAGTAAACTTTTAAATTAAATACGTGAAAAAAATATGTAGTGTTAATAATACTCTAATTAACGTTATTTTGTATATTATAACTCCTCCAGGGGAAACTATAAGTGCTTCTGGACAACGCATTGCGAATTAGCGAAATTAATTTAATATACCCATTAAATAAATGTAAATAATTGAAAAACGTCAAGCAAGAACTACATTTACGACCTATTAAACGAATCCAATACGTATACGCTATAAGTTAATTATTCGAATGTGCTAAATTCGGGCGCTCATCTGCATAGAGGTATTATTAAAAGCGACCAATCGATCGCCCGTTTAGCGCAAATTAAGCTAAATGTAAATGTATGGATTATGAAACGACTAATTCCTGCGACGCAGAATGCACGGGCATATTCAGTGGATGGATATTTGAATCGATGAATCAATGGAAGTCTTTTGGGTTAATTACTGTTTGATTTCCATTTTTCGTTCTCATAACCATTACAATTGTTCGATAGATTATTGTCTAGATACGGAATAGATAATAAGTGTTTACATTATATAAATTACAAGCTGTTTAATAATGTTCATTAATTTTGTCTATATTATTGAATCTTGCTAACTTTTGCGCATATCTATTTATTTCGAAATTGATTGTACCAATATTCAAAATGAATCCGCAAATTGAATATTTATAATTGCAGATTCAATGCAAGTTATCCTGTTGGAGATGGTTAATTCATTTCCTTCCATTTACCTACTCTCCTCGTTAATATTCCACTTATAGCCACCCGGAATCGGCGAAATTTGAATAAATCAACCTAACCGAATCCGACTGAATGGAATTTCCGGCGTATTAGAAAATTCCGAAAATTAAAAACGCCCTCGAACATAAAAGTGCATTGTCGTATTTGAGAGATATTTGGGCTACCGATGGAGAACGTTCGAATCGTAAATCCGTCAGGGACGTAAAGTAGCTGAAAAATTGGAGTTTTGAAAAAAGCTTCCAGACCATAATATTATCCACTGGAAAAATTACATTTGCGAAAAATACGAAAACCGACGACCGTTCACAGAGCGGAAAACGGTTTGATGGCGGCACAAAAGTTTCAAACGAGCCGGTGCACCAGCAAATCCAGCGCACGAGGTAAATGTAAAAATTAAATAGAAATTCAAAAAACTCAGTTTTAAAGTTGGAGAAGCAAAAACGAGTAATGTGACTATTTTAAGCATTCAACTAGACAGCTTCTTTTCCAGCTCTTTTTCTTTCTCACTACAACGTTTATAATTTTATAGGTTTCATGCCCCAATGATAAGATTTTGTTGAATTATTTCGTAATATGTAACTCAAAAGCTTCTCGAGAGAAATATTTCATTTGAATTTTGCCGCTGTATTTTTTACTCGAATAAATATTGGTTAAATGAGATCGAATCAGAGCGGCAAAATTTGAGAGGTGAACTAAAAAATTCATTGCAACAGACATCATAGCTCTAAAAGAGTGCGCTTTTATACCACCCTGTGCAGAGAAAACTCTGCGCAAATTAATTTCAAGAATAAGCTCACTTTAGCCGCGCCTAATGATATATTCAAGAGTTAAAGTAATTTAGTTTTAAGAGAATCTCGTTCCGCGTTCCGCTCCGGTGTGCACGTTAGGTTGTTACACGTAGACGGGTGTATCCTTTCATACACCTTACCTGAGTACCTCGCCGCCTGCGGGTGCCATTTTGAGCAGTTTCCGCTGGTTGCACCTCGAATTTCATATGCTTACTTTAATTAACCGCTCATTAACTGGTGCACTGCATCCTGAAACCTAAACTAAACTGAACTACTTCTGATGATGAAACAGTATTTCGTCGTATAGAAAAAGTTTCTGTTCGATATTTTTTTTAATAAGGCTCTAATACACATCGACGTTAACCGACAAAGTCGGGGATTAACACGTTTTTCCACTTTGAACTTTTCCAGGCCCAGAGTAACGACGCGTCGCGTTCAGTTTATTCTCGAATTCGTCAGCTTGTCGAAGGAGGTTTTTGATCGATTTGTAGCTAGTTCATAATCCATTAAAAGATGATAAATTGTTGATTGCGATATGCGTTTTCAGGATGAGATCTTCCGACTTCCATTTGACCATTAATCTCCATTATAGCTGATGTGTAGATACATAGGCGTCGGATTTGAAAATGGGATTGTTTTATTCAAATTTATCGTGTAAAACAAAAAGGTTCTGAACTCAATAACGATCCAAGGGTGGTATAATAAGAGACGATGGGTTACATGCAGTAGATTATAAAGTTACACCATCAATAGAACTTTAATTAAACAAGTAAAATCAAAAGTGTAATTTAAGGGCTTGGAGAGATCTAACCGTTTAATGATAATATAATTTCCTTCATTCGAAAATGTACTTAAAACTAGAGCCCAACATCTCCAACATATCCTGTATAAGTCTAGTTAAGGTCGGCTTAGATATAGGCAAATCCTGCATCAACATTGTGTCAAGAAGGATTTAGGGTCTTGCAAACATTGGAGAAACTGGGCAAGCAGATTTTCCCACTGATTAATTATACCGAATTGTTCTAAAAACCCTATCAACAATTTTTAACGCCAAATAGGCAGTAAAATACCATAACAGGCTATAAATTATTTTTTATAAAAAGACTATCTTCCTCATATTTCACGTTTTTCCGGCGTCGGTTCGCTGCCTATGGATAAAAAAAGAAATCAATAGCATCGTCTAGTTTGATGCCCGCTCTCCAAAACAATTTTCATTACCTTTCGACGTTTTTCCACTGGAAGTACGTCGAGGAAAAGAATTTTGATTTATGGGTTTGAGTGTATACCTGCAGCGGAGCCTTTGAAGTTGAAACGTTTGAAAGGTAACCAAGTATATTCCCGTAATTTTTAAAAGAATGATAAATTATTTTCTCCCGGTGGAATATAGCAAAGACTTGTTGAAGTTTCGCGAGTATAGATGGAGTTTTGATTAAATTAGTTGTTGTTCTATGAAATTTAATTAATGAGTGGTTGTTGGTATCGTATTATAATGTGAAAAGTTACCAGGTTTAATCAATTTTCGTTGTACCATTTGGTGAACTTTTTTGTTCAGACTTTTTAGAACTTGTTTAAATTTTATTAAGAAATTTTTGGCAATTTTAATTAGCTTAGGTTCCTGATGATTTTTTTTTAAGTTTTAGAACCGTTTGTGATCCTTTCCTAATTTGGAAATTAAGGCTATTTCGAAAAACTTCTAGGTGTTTTTGAAGATATTTATAAAAAATCCTTTAATGTTTCTTAAAGGATTTTATCGCAAAAATGTCTTAATCATTTTGGCATAGTCTCCTGGGTATTTTACCAATATTAAAATTATTAAAAGTTTACAAATTTGCCCGTCAAATTCGAGTTTCATTACTTTCCAGTGATATTTAAGTAAATAGTAATATACTCCGGTTCGCATGATCAATACGATCCTGTGCAGCGTGTAACCTTGCGCAAGAAATATCCTTCTCGATGAAAACAACGCTCGCTCCTGCAGATTGTTCCTGCGAAACCCGATCTTATGGACCGGCCGAACAAGAGAGGATTTTCCGCGAAAAGTCTCGCCGGCTAGTCCGCTTTTCTATTTCCACCGCCTCGAATGCACTGAGAATAAATTGTAATTGGTATTTTTTTGGGATAAAGGGGATCAAAGCAGGAACAGCTGATGCTGTCAAATTGCTTCCGGACAGGTTTACAACTTTTTGTATTTAATTAGAAATTAAAGCGCCGAGGAAAGTTGAATTTAGAACGGTTGATAAGACGAAAATGCGATTATAACACACAACAGCCCTCGAGTAATTGGGTAGACGGGGAAAAGAATTTTCTCGTTTTGAAGTACGTATTAAAAAATTTAGCGAATTTAGGACAGGATATAAAATAAAAAAAACTGCGTAAAAAAACCTATTAGAGAAGATGAAATTGAGAATGAGCTAGTATATTTTGAAGTAATAGAGGAACAAAAAATTGTTCCAATAATTTAGATATGCAAATTTGCATATAAACTAGCAATAAACGATGTTTAATCAAAGGATTCTAGAAGCTTTTTTCATCGGTTCGGTTTAATGAAATGTGCAGCTTTTATCATTATTTTAAAAACCTAATTTTAGTTTTTTTTCGTTTAAATTTTTTTTATTTTTTTACAGCATTTTACTAATTTTAAAGACGTCTGAAAGTTTTTGCCATTAAAATGACTTTTTGAGTTTTTACCTTCCTTCAATGTAGAAACTTTTTATGACTTGGCGCTTTAATTATTTAGCATTTGGTACTTTCTGCAGCTTTTTCAAAGTGCTTTAAAAAATTTTCATCTAAAATTCATCAAAATCATCATCTCTACACGATGATCTCTACATCATTACAAAAGTTCCAACAACTAAATAAATTTCCATCTACCATTTTGGTCCCTTAAATTTCGCACTAAACATCGGATGAATACAAATAAGTACTATAAATACAGTTTTAAAATTTAAAAGCTAAAGCTAATCCTTTAGAAATACTTCTACATACGATTACAATTAATACCAAAATACCTGTTAATTCCGTTAACCCGTCATATTCCTCCTATAAAGCCTTGCCAGTGTGATTCTATGGAGATCCATATTTAGATAACCAAATGCCCCGAAACAACCAACAATCACGTACAGGAATATTCAGGAAATTCATCAATCACGCAGTCCGCAGAAGTAATTTCGATATTCAAATTGTCTTTAATAAGCTATGAATCTGGAAGGCCACCAGAAATTGAATCGCTTATGATTCCGACTATCTGGTCTGACTACCAGTCTAATCCTATTGTACATTAGGCACACCTGCTGGTCGATTCACTTAGTGAATGTAAAATAGGTACTATTGGTAAAATAGACATGAATTATTTATTATCCCTTTGAATCTTAAATAATAGTGTTATTATTCTAAATTATTGGGGAATGTCATGATTATTATTTACTTCACGTTAAAATACAAATCTTTTAATTCGTTAAACATCCAACTACACTCTTTTGAAGAGTACGTATTTACCATGTATGAGTATATTGTAGGTAATTAACATCAAATACACAAATACCTGGCCAGATAAAATGCAGAAGCTGGATTAATGGCAAAAGTTTATTGGATACTCGTATTTGTTCAGGTGTGGCGGTTCTATTTTAATTGATATACACTGTACTCAGTAGATATAATAAAATGTTGTACTCATGCTAGATGAAATGAAACTTTGTGCTAGTGAATTTCATCACGTTTGAAAGTTAATTTAATTACTTTCATAAGTAGGCAGTACTGTAGTAAGTAGTTTGTAGAACAGTTTTTTAAAGTTATAACTACTTTTTTTGTTATAATTAATAGAACAAAAAGGTGAACAAAGAATTTTATGCAACAAATGAATAAAACTTATTACATTTTTTGTTTCTCAATTTTTACACCGTTGTAATATATCATCATTTTTGTCTGTATTATATGGAATCTATTGTAAGGCACAAATGGAAGGAACCAGGCAAGCAAAATCGGATTTCCATGCAAATTGGATTGCTAATCCGGGACAGTCCATTCTTCGTGCCACAATAGGAGAATGACTGTTTTTTATAATGTGAAGCCATTTTTTCATCTATCAGCCTGCATTTAATGCACCGGTACAGTGGGCTGAAAACGTTCATTTGGATTATTGCCAAGAGGAGTTTCCAGAAAATGATTTCTGTTTCCGAGTAGTTGACTAACTGTTGGATAACAACGTCCACGTCGGGAATTAAAGGATTTTTGTTTGAATCGAAAGAACAAAGCCGGACAAATTACTACAATCAAATAATTGGTGGAAAATGAGGATTAAAAAAAATTAAAGGATTTTATATAAATATAGTCACTGCTAAATGTAAGACATTAGTTATTTTGTCACTTTATTGCTTAAATAAATTACCTAGCACGCTATTTAGTCTCTTAATAGGCCCATATGTATAAAAATAATACACAAATGGAAAAGTTTAGATTTTTTTATATTTAAAGTATATTATTCAATAAATAGTGGAAAGTCCCTATAAACTTCCAGGAACATGACGTAATAGTTGGACTAGCGCCAATATTAAATAAACTAAAATAATGTAACTGAATTCTTATGTTAAAATTAAAACGTATTTACAGAAAAATTTGTTTAATTATAAAACGATAATCCACGTGAAAGCTAAAATTGAAAATTACGCGCAGAAACAAGTTTTAATTAACCATATCTTCCGGGACTACTAAGCTTAATTTACCTTGTACCTAATTATCTCTTATAATACACTAAGCTTTCATTAAATTGCGAAAAAATTAATTTTGCGAGTTTATAATTATTTTTAATTAGCTAATGAGGTAGTGTCTAAATCATATTTGATTTTCAATTAGCAAGTTTTCCAAACGATACCGAAAACGATCCAGCCGAGAAGTGAATACGCTTCATTCACCTCAACTCCCAAAGTTTCGCCGTTATCAAACCAGCAAAACAGACGTTTTTCTAACTCCAAATCAGTTTAGAGCCGATTATATTAATTTAACTTTAGGACCCATTCAACTGCTCCGGCCAACTTTTCTCCAACGGAAAACTCGACGAGCCCATTCCTACATAACCACCCCATCCGTTTGTAATAATAACTTCGGGGCTAAAGTAATCAGATAATTCAAATAAACAATAAGAGCAGATTAACTTGTATTTAATTTATCACATGGTGCTATGAGATTTTTTTGTTGATTTTATCCGATGAATTATTTTTAAAAAGTGTACTTTAGAGAGTGTTTATTACATTTTTTTTTGTTTGAATTGTGCTCATAACTATATGAATATCTTTTTTGTATCAAAAGGAGATAAGGATTAGAAATAAATACTAAGTCATAGGAAAGGTTTTAGGAGAAAAAGAAGTCTTGTATAAAAAGGGTCAATCCGTACGTGAATCTGTCAGGACAATTCGAAACATCCAGTCGCGCGCTGACCCAAATCCACGATTTCCCTCTGGCCCAGTCCGACACTGCCAGGAGGGGAGAACTCCATCGCGGCACAGCAGCTCTCGCAGGACGCGGAGTTTCCCGTTTCCCATTCTCAGTTCTCCTCGTTTTCAGTTCGCCGAAAGTCACCATGTCGGATGGGGGTGAGTTTCCAGCCGTGGTCGAGCTGAACATCGGCGGCGTATCGTACACCACGACTCTAAAGTCTCTGACCAGCCAGCCCGACTCTCTGCTCTATGCCATCTTCACCGGTCGAGAGCCCGTGATGAAAGATGCGAAAAATCGCTATTTCCTGGACCGCGACGGGGTGCTTTTCCGCTACGTGTTGGACTTTTTACGAGACGGGACTGTGGTGCTGCCGGAGTGCTTTAGAGAGCGCGAACGGCTCAAGACGGAGGCTGAAAAATACATGCTGCACGGATTGGTGGAGGCGATCGCCAGCGAGACGAGGAACAGGCCACCTGGGGTCATCACCGTCGGGTACCGGGGCAGTTTTCAATTCGGAAAGGACGGAATGACCGAAGTGAAATTCAGGAAGCTTAATAGGTACGTAAATCGATTTCAAATGTAGGATGTTCCATGAGCCTTTTACACTATTCTTACATGAAAAAATTACGTATTTTTTTCGAGTAATCGGTTTTATCGAAATAATGTTAGTAAAAATTAAATTATTTACTGTTATGCCGGTAATTCGAACTCATTTTATTTATTCGTCTATTAACAAAATTTTAATCTGATACCGTTAAGAAGATATGAATTTTTTTAAACCACCTGATGTACAATTTAATTACCTTCGGTTCCAAAAAAAGGGAAAATGAATATTTAATGACACTTAACAATGGTAAGAATTCAAAACAATTATCCGAAGGTCCAAAAAGTACAAGACGCCAAAAATTGGGCACTTTTGTTAGTTTCCTATTAATATTCAAGATAGGTTGTGGTTTCTATAATAGTGTATCCCTGGCCTACATTTCATTAAATAAACTAAGATGCCGCTAAATTTCCATCTTAAATATTTATACATATACGGGCGATATTAGACATGCACACTGATTTTATCTATGCACTCAAATTAATTACTCTTTTACAACTACTTTACGTCCTACCACGAAATTGTTCTTGGATGAACTTATGAAATTAAATTTAATGATGGCATCAGATTTTATAAATGTCTTCTTCTGAATCTATCTACATGCAGATGAGATATGAAAATTGAAAATTCAAAGGCGGAGACCGAATATATGTGAAAACCATTTTCTCTAACAAACGTGAAAGTCGTTTCGGAGGAAAAGGATTTTCCGCATTGCCATAAGGTCGTTTGTCAAAAATTTTTTCGCATTCGAAATACCCAAATAAACCGGAATAGATACTAATAATGTCTGTGAAAGAAACAAATATAGTCTATATTGTTGTCTATATCGTAGAGGATTTAGTCTATCGTGGTCAGGAGTTCGAAAATATCATCGTTATCCTTAGGGCAAGAGCTATCCAACGAACCATCAACGAGCGAAATGAAATGAGCAGTTTCAGCGTTATATAATGTACAAAGTGATATACAGATGGACAGAGCGAACACAATATCCTTTAAAAGGGAAAAGTGCGCTAAAAACACTCTGGTTTGGGCATACTGGGAATACCAGCTGCGTGTAATAAGTGCATTTATACATTTATAGAATAAAATATGAATTTTATACACTGCTTTACTCGAAAACTGATAATTAAACGACAGGAAGATATAGGATGTCTTTTGTGGTATATTTTATTAGGAATAAGATTATAAATAGATTTGCGGTAAATGTAACACATTCCAAGACAAAAATGTATCAAAAATGAACCACTTTTAGTACTCAAATATAAATATGGAAAATGTTTTTGCGGCAGTGACTCTTAAAGGAACTATGATAAGTTTCTGCTTACTTATAATATTAGCTATACAATTTTAACGTACCTTTGGTAATTTACAATTAGAACACTCAGTAATTATAGCGCAAATAAGTAGGTACATATGAGAAAGGTATTCGCAAAACACTACACTAAATAATTACCAGTAATTAAACTGAAACTAGTCATTAAAACTATAAATCTATTCACGTTTCAACAGTTCATTTTATTCCGGCATTACATCAATGCTAAGAGCCGTTAAAATTGAGTATTAAAAGCTTTTTTTCCACTCGCTGAAAATGCATTAAATTTGTGGTTCTGAACAAATAAATTTTCATTCGGCAGCCAGATAATGGAAACCTTCCCGAGTAGGAAAAGAATTATGAACACAAAATCACTTATTCTCTCTCTATGGCGCGCATTCCGCACACATATCTCTCTGGTAATGGAAACGATGTATGGAGTGGAACAAACATATCTCTCCGTAAATTTTGGTAGCGCTGATGTGACAGGGCCTACCAATATTTTTACTTCTAATTCAACGTAAGTGACTTCACCATTTCACAGGAAATTTCTCTTAGCCATTTTTATAGTTGATTTATTTTGATTTAACTTTAATTTTCCAAGGCTTTTTGATTGAAAATCATAACTTACCCAATTTTAAATACGATATTGAGTGAACTTTGTAAAATTTTTTGACAATTACATATATTTATTTTTTCCCAGTAATTCTAGGTCATATATCATACTAATCCAGAAAAGTATTCTAGTAAAGAGGATATTTTCAGCACTATTTCGAGGACTTCAACATTTCTGTTACTATTTTGTACAACCATTCTCACATCGTTAGCACTTTTATTGCAGTAGACAGGTACATGTGTGTTTTCTCACTCCTGTCTGTACGATTTATATCGCTGCCCTCTTAACGAAGTTAATGTAAGAACATTCATAAAAAGTTTATATCTTTTTTATACACATAAATTGAGGGAAAGCGCAAACTTCTCATCGTTCCTTGATTTTCTCCCGAGTTTTGAAGGAAGTTCTTGAAAAGCGAAGTGAAAATTTACACTGCGAATAATTATTTGAAAGTTAGGTGATATAACAAGTCATTCTTGAAATATTTGTTCGTTGGTAATTAAAAATTTCACAATTTTTTGTTTGGAAGGAGTAAAAAAAGAAAATATAAAATTTTAAAAGTGAAATGAAATTTCCTTTTTACTCTCTATTGTTTACTCTCAGTTAATATTATCCTTGCATTATTCAAGTGATCATTTTACGGACTCTTTTTCTACAATTTTGATTATTTGAAATGCTTTGAAAATTGTAATTTGAAATGATTATTTAAATAAATGCTTACTTAAAAAACATCAAGAATCTCAAGGATTTTTATTAAATTTTATAATAAGAATAATAATTTGAAACCCCATTAAAATTCTGGAAAAAACATGAAACCGCAAGGTAAAGAAAAGACTTAAGTATCTATACGTATCAGATTCAAGTATCTACCCGAAATATTTAATTCACCAGAATATTGCTAAAGGATTAAAGATTTCGCGTGAACCAAACCTTCCAATTATCTCTAATCAAGCAAAATGCGTTCTGTAATAACAGGGAAACACGATATACTGGTATGCTATAGCAGTATAGCGTATCTATTTTTAAATGTATACCAATTACGTCCGCTAATAATTTACGCGTGCTTTCCGGGTGATTATAAGTTATTGGTTGATAAGTCTCGTCTGCAACACCTTATGTTTATACCGCATAATCAATAATCCAATACAACAGATGAAGCCGATGAATCCAGAGTGTGGTTTCGCAAGTTCCACAAATTAACACACACACACACATCTGCATTGCAGAGCTATTATTTAGGTAATAACTGACATTTAAAGTATTAAACTATTATGGTATTAAAAAAATCATAACCACACGTTGCTGTTGCCTTATAATCCACTTAATATGCCAATTTTCGTCTATAGGTAATATTTTTTATTATTTATTACTCCTTTGTCGCTATCGTTTAGTAAACATCTCGGAGTAAATTTCGAAATTCAATTAATAAGTTAAAATACTATAACTCTTATTCATACGTTATACGTATAAAATCAAGTAGGATATAATATGTGAGTGACATGAAAGAGATTTTTCGGGTTACTACCGTGTTTTTGAACTTCCACTTCCACAACATTTCGCCCCTCAAAAGGGTATTAGAGTTTAATATTTCATATATTCCTTTTCCGTTTCCAATTTTGTATCGCGCAAATGAAAAGCGAATTTTACCATTTAAATCCGACAGGAGAGCGAATTATTTTCGTTGGGAGGCTAAATGAAACGGACGAAACTGCAAATGGAACGTCAATCATCGTTATAGAAAAAACCAAATTAATTCGATTTCGAACCGGCATTCCAGTTCGGTAAATAAGTTTGAATTAATTTTACGGCAGTTCCAAACAAGATTTATTTATTTGTAGGTAGAGTAATGTAGAATTTGTCATAACGCTAATTTGTAAAAATATATTGGTAAATATCAATTCATCCTCGTTAAAATTCTGGCATTTTGTAAATAACAATGTTCGCTCTAATAGTTATATTAAAATTTATTACATTTAAAAACTGGTTGTAACAAATCCAAATATATCGAATTCAATTAATACTAGAAATTTTCTATTATAAAATCTCTTCGAATTTATATAGCAAAATTCATGCAGCAAATAATAACTTTATTAGTAACTGTGAACTGTTTCATTACCTGTGCTTGTTTGGCATACATTCACATGCATATTTGATTATAAATCACAATTAATTATTCTCATTCGACCCAATGAACAATAAAACTGAATTTATCGAGTTCAATGTTAGTACCAATTTTAGATAAATAACTGAAACGATATATGAAACTAATTTAATAAAAGGGCTTGTTACGGTTCCCATTTTAGGTAGCTCGATATAGGTAACGCAATTTCGTGCTATACGCGTGAGTAGATTTTACAGCGCTGAAGCTAAAAAGAAAATTTCTTTATATTCTTTTCGCTACTACCTGTTGAGAATCCTCGAAGGAGTCAAAAGGATAGGGTCAACACAAGTTAATCTTGTTTCCCCCATCCATATGTACGATATATAAGGCGTTAAAAATAAAAGCTTCCCGGAAATTTATCTACTGTGCTTTTTATCTTGTGATGTATATCGCATAAATATATAGTGTGAATTGAAAAAAATATAATCTACTTGTGGTCCGAATGATTTATAAATAATTGACTTTTTTCAGAGGTTGCTGTTAAATCGCTGTTGCTGACTCTGGTGAAATTGTTAATAATTTGCATACCTGAACATAAGGCTAATTATAGTACGACTAAATCTTTTCAGAGAAATTACATAATTACATCAATTACACACCCCTCCAATTCGACCGAGCCCCTTTTATTATCCTATAAAAAACTTCTTAAATTAGTAAAACGATCGACCAAACTGGCCAACATCTGTGTACTTTGTTATAAATAAGTAATGCCCACCTTAATGTAAAGTATAGAGCACAAGGAAGAGGGAGACTATTTTCGCGCAATTTCATTGATTTTTTTCGTTATTAAATTATAAATAATCCCATTATAACCTTCGATATCATTTTTTCTGTAAATAAGAAAATTTACTTTCAGTTTTTGATAAGTTCTCGAAATTGTTACGATTTTAAGAAAATCACCTTTTAAATTAAATCCAATTTTAGTTCTCTTTATAAATAATAAATATCATATGTTACCAACTCCGTATGACAACGAGAATTTCTCCATATAATCAAAAAGTAATAATATACCTTAACAGTAACTCGTGATATACAAATACAAATCAATGATTTATTACATCAAACCAAATATAAGGAGGGAGACAGGCAGGCAATAGAGGAAAGTCGATATCAAACCCCGAGACATTTGATAGGCATATCACATATTACAAGAAAGAGGAGTATATCCAAGATAAACCGGCAAGAAATGTAAGAAAGTTATTTTCCCTAATAAGATGAAGGAATTTCATTTAAATTCCAATTGCATTCGTCCCGGAGAATTCGCGAAGAATCACGAAAATATTATTGGCCTCTTTACACGCAGTTGTCCCAGATGATATTAATATGTGTGTTTCAGAATCCAGGACACTCGCTAAATTCAATTACGAGCTCTATGCCCGCACGCTCTCTGTTATCCGGTCCTTCGGTGACAAGTGGTATCGCTTGATTAAAGTACCCGTCAAGTTAGAAAACGAAACGTTCCCTTTAATTATATTCGCAATAATTTGATATAATCCTTTGTGTTGATGTCTGTATCGTCCTTCCAGCGGATAAATAAAACGCGAATTATACACACCGGAATATTCGTAAAATAACCCGCTTGAAATTAATTACCGACATTGGATTGCTCTGTGACAATAATAAAATACAAAGACTCGTTAATTAGTGAGATGATGGATAAATTTAATTTTGATTGCAGCTAAATTTAAGTTTCATTTAAATTAGTGTTTTTTAGTAATTGGTTTTTAAGGCTACAATAAAAATGTCTTGTAGTAAAAAACTTAATTAAACGGAAATGAAATTATTCTCGAATAAAATACAATTTTATAATTCTCTTTATATTTTTTTGTCTAACCATGGGCGCTACTTGCATTTGATCTGTCATTCCATAAGTGCACAATAACACCTTGTATACATATAATTGTTTTCAAAGACAATTTCGATTAAAGAAATGTCATTCAAACGATCTACTTATTTACTTATCCCTGTAATAACATGCAGCTATAATACACAGAGTTTATTAGAGTTTTGCAGCAGTTCAACGAGTGCAAGTCGCTTATGTATTCATGACACTATTTATCTAACATTATAAGGGGTAGATGCGTTTCGTAAACGAGCATTTTATTTCTAGTTTAAAACATGAACACATAAGGATAATTAATTACTTTCGCGCTTTTATTTCGACGTTGTGTTACTCGTTTAATTTAAACTTGTATCTTAGTCATTAAACTTGTAGGCATCAGGATATTCAGAATATGAATTGAGTCGGTGAGCCTGATATAAAACCACTTATAATATTAGGAAGGGTGGAATTAATGGAACTAAGATGTTAAGAATTTTTTATAATGCATCTAAAATAGGTATTTTTATTATTTATTACACCGCAAAGAGAAAAAAAATGTAGAATTTTCTAAAAAAAATCACCTAAAGTGATAAGGTAATTGAATAGTTTAAAAACCAATAGAAAGTATAAAAAAGTCTTGAAAAAACCTTGAAAAAAATCTAATTGAATTTGGCAAAAAACCTTAGAGCTCAGAGCTTTTCTAGCATCATCAAAAATTCACTAAAAACCTTAAAAAATGTCACCAAATCTTTGTTACCTTAAAAACTTCTAGACCAGTCAACGTTTCGAAAGAGTCTTTCATTCATAAATAATATTATACGGTTGCATGATACATATCAATTAATTTCTCCTTCAGCGACAACACTGGCCCCGGAACGGGAGACAAAACCCCAAGAAAGGATATTAGAGACGGTAAACACGATGACGTGCGGCTTCTTTGGGTTTCCGGTTATTCCTCAAGGTTCCGCTTTGCAGGCTTAAAAGGAATCGAAGGACGGACGTTGAGAAAAACCGCGGCATGTGGAAAATCGCGGCTAATGGAAACGAGACCCGTTAAGTGGGTATATAAAGTCGAAAATAAACTTGGAGTGTTTATTTAAAGATTTGCCGGATGGCAATTTATGGATTATCCAGCTAATCGTTGACGTGAAAATGGCCTTTTGTAATCAGCTAAAATAATATTATCGCTCTATATGGAAAAAGTAATTGATTAATTTTAATTAACGAAAGTGTTTGACTTGCTTAATACGATATTCACAATCTACTTCGTTATTACATTATAAGAATAATACAGGGAATGCTTTTAATAGATACTGGTTGAAAACATTTAATTTTTAACAAGAATTTCGAATTTTTGGCACGAAAGAAGTGACTAATACGTAATGGAGGACAGACATCAGTTCTCGACTCGATCAATATTTGAAGTATGCCGCAGCTGTAGCTATAATTGAAGAAGTTTCTATCTACACATTATTAATTGATGGTTTCACTTTGGATATATAATTTAGACTCGAAGATTCGAAGTTTCTTCCTAACTACTAGTAATCACGCAAGTTTCTATCATCCATAAAGTATCAACTCCTGTATCACCCAAGCAATGGGAAATTAGAGAACTGTCGAGTTGCTTTCAAAAAGTCTCACCGAAGTTCTAGAAGAATCGTTGAAATTTAAGGTATAATTTCTCGATGCACTACACGATAACGCAACGCATATTAACGCGCTACAAACGCACATAATGCACTTTAAATATTGTAAATTTATAAAAAGAAACACTAAAAAATCGAAAGATAACTCGTTTAGTGTAGGAAATTCTAGAGTTTTTTACATAAAATGTTCCTTTTGTGATTATAAAGAGTTATGCAGTAATAGCATTCGAGAGTGGCTGCGAGAATAATGGAGCAGCATAATAAATTTCTGTAGGAAATATTTGAAATGTTTCCCTTTTTGACCATTTTGCAGCTATTACAGCTGAAAAATTAATAGTCTACCTAAATTCATAAATTAAAAACTTCTAGAACAAAACCTAGGATGTTTATCAAAATTTTTTATCAAAATGAGATTTTTTTTAATGGCAAAGTACACCGTTTGTGCTATCTTCATGCAAATACTGAAAATAATCATGATAATGACTTTCGTGCTGAAAAACCATAATTTTAACAGAGTAAATCGATATGTACTTTTAAAAGCAGTTATACTGGTATAGCTTTATCATTAAATAGAAATTCCCAATTGTGCCCGGTTTTCTTAACAATGCTTTCGGTTTCCTTCGACGCAAAATCCTCATTACGTTTCCTAAAAGCTTAAAAGCACACCAAAAAGTAAATGACGTACATCTCAGCGAAAGAATGTTCGCTTCTAATTTACTGTTTCAATAGATCTCGATTCTAATCGAAACAAGTTCGCAGTGACCCAGTTCACAAAGGCTCTCCCGTTCTTTTGCTTTTCTTATCTCGAATTCGGTCCTTCGACAACAGACACTCCTCGATTTTATGTGGTCAAAGGGCAATTTTCACTATAGTGTGTTATCGCTCATTCGTCGAACGCAATTGCTTTTCCTTTTTGTTTTATTCCCGCATTTATCGCTTTCGTTTGTCTGCATCAGCCGAATTCCTCCAGTGTAACGTCCTCTATTTCACACATGCTCATTTTATTTAGGGTTTTACAACCACCGTTAAATTTAACTTTAATTTAAAAAATGTGGAGAATTTTATAGGCGATTTCTGAATTTTAAAATTGAAGCCAATAAGTCTACCATAGCACATAAAATAGGCAAGTTTTTCAACAGGTCAAGACTGTTGAAATTGAACAATACATTTGTCCAGCTACGGCTTTTGATACAAAATTCATTAGCTTTTAGTTATTGACTGCATCCGGCATAAACAGTGCACGCAAGGCTGCACATCGATGAAACGAAATACGAGTATATAACAAAACGAGCACGATGCATCGCCCTGAAATTAATCCAATAGCGCAAATATAACGAGCTATTCGATTAATATTATTACATTTTATAATTACCCATTATTACAAATATTAGTTTATTGTGCATAATTGCAGCCTATACGCAACAATTTAATTTTAGTAATTATATAATGCGGTATTTAATTAAACGATTAACTTGATAATTTTATTTCAGGATTCTGGTGTGCGGTAAAGTCGATTTGTGTAGAAGCGTCTTCGGGGAAACACTCAACGAAAGTCGGGACCCAGATCACGGACAATCAGAACGATATACTTCGAGGTGGGTATTACATTTCGGCGTTCTATTTCCCGTTTAAAATTAATCATAAATCTCGCGAAATAATATTTTCCCCCGTTGCGTTAAACCGGAGGCGAGGCTCGCGCAATTAGAAACTTATTCGGCGAAACGTTCCTCCTGTTCTTGACGTAATAAATTTCGAACGTTATAAACGAACTAACTCTAAATTACCGACACGACTTCAAATCGAGTTGTCTGGATGTTTCCGAGGAATCGGGTGTATTCTTTGATTGGAGTTTTCACTTCGAAAACTGCAGTGTTATTTCGCGGCAAAACTTATAGACGACGCGATAGCAGACAGCAAAAGTTTAGAAAATTAAGAACAAATATTTAAACAGCAGACAACTTTGAAATTGTTTTGAATTAATATTCGCTACTTCGCGGAGTTCGCGGCATGGAAATGTTACTACAGTTGGTGCAAAACAAGTATCAATGCACGTCACCTATGATTTACTACGTCATAAATAGGCAGTGTGGCCGAACAAAATCTAAGAATTTTCTAAAATTGTCAAATGGCAAAATGACATGAACCAATTTATGGTTCCAAGTTAGGGGTACCTGTTTCACGTTTCTAAACGGCGGACGTATTCAGGGGCTCACTATATTTAATCATCAAATTCCTTTATCATCTAAATGTATATGTTTTAACAGTGCGAGTAAAAAATTTAGTGTACAATTGATCCTTAAAAGAGTACATAGTGAAAATTCTAAAAAAACTTCTGCTTTGTAGAATAACATTGGTCAGTGCCTACCAACCTACTCTAAGAAAATAATAATAAGCTTATACAAAAACGTTGAATTTTGACAATATATATTTTTTTGGATGATTTAATATTGCTTTTTAACATTTTCTATCATATCCCTTGTTAATATTAAATTAAATTCTGCAGGTATTAAGCATAATCTATTTTGTAAATTTATTTTTAAAGGTTAGGCACAGTGCTTGGCAAGTATGACGACAGTAGTGACGTGCATTGATATTTGTTTTGCACCAAGAGTATAACTGCGGTTAGGTAAAATACAGTGTGTCCCGCATAAGAACCTACACAGAACAGCGATATGTAGAGGATATCTCAATATATGCTAGTTGTTGTGCTGGACACCCTGTATTGGCTCTAACATTTTCCCCATGGTTTCTTGAAAACCAATTTTATAATCCACTCACACCCCTAATCAACTTGCCTACAATCCAAAGCTGTAAGTTATAGGCTCTTTACAGTGGCACTAAATCTCAATAACTAATTGTAAACTTACCTTAATATTTTTCCAGATTCTTCCTAAAGCACTCGTCTCTGGAGCAAGCTTTCGACATGCTGTTAGAGCAGGGCTTCAAGCTGGGCGGCAGTTGCGGCTCCGGGACGGCAGGCGGCGCCACGGACATTAAGCCCGGAGTGGACGTGGAGGAGAACCGCTGGAACCACTACAATGAATTCGTCTTCATTCGAGAATAGCTTTGCGATTTTAAAGTCATATCATATCTCTCAGAATATCCTTCATTCTACATGTATTGTTTAATTATTCGATAGGGTTAGGAGAACTTTTGAAAAACTGTTATATGAAATAAATTGATTTTAAATTAGAAATAAAAACTGCTTGTTTGTTTTTGATGAGGTTGTTACTAAAAAATACCGCCCGCACAATAACAACAACAATAATACTAAAAAATAACTATTTTTGCACACATTTTTGATCGCAGATTGTGTTCATTTTTATCACTAGCGCAATTAATTAACGAGAATAAATATGGTTCTAAGGTCTGGAAACATCCTTTGCTTATGCATTAGAGAATGTGTCCCGTTATTTGAGGACTTTTTGAGCTTCACTTTTGCGCCGCACCATGGCGAACGATCGGAGAACCAACTTTATCTCAGCCAATCAGCGTCGCGCTACATATAAATCGCGGTTGTGAAACGACAGTTCAAGCTGTCAAAACTTCCAAAATTATTATTTGACATTTCGAGAAGAAAATGGAGAAATACATTAACCGAAGATACGTGAGGCATGATGTTAACCCTCGAATAGTCGCGCGAAAAATTTTAACATGAGTAGTCGCGTCGGTCTCACAGACCGTAGGCCCCTAAATACATAGCGGAATGTACTTTTAAAAAAATGCATGTGGGGGTTATTTAAATAACAATGACTAATAAAATGACTAAAAAAGCCAAATGCAGTACTTATTGCTATTTTTTCTAGCTTGATTTTTAGAATATTTGGTATACAATGTTTGTAGTCGGTCTCACAGACCGCGGCGCGACTATTGGAGGGTTAACAACAAAATCATCGCTGATTTAAATATATTTTTATATTTTGTATCTATTTTTAGTTTGAATATCCTTTCTTAATGCTAATTTTATATAATTCGTACGCAAAAAACCGTGGTCCTTTACATCGCCTCCCAGCGGTTGTTTTAGGAACCCTGTTTTATCCTCGAATAATGGGACACTTTTTCGACCTATGTTTCCAGACCTTAGAAATATAGGACCGTGCCTCAATTATATGAAATATATGTACAAGTACAAGTATGCACTTGATGAATAAGTACAAAGACAATTTTATTGATAATACATTAAACGAATTTCACATGGGTTCTGGAAGAGCGCATCTTGTTTCGTACGCAGATATTTGGAGGTCGACCCCCGTGGTTTTTAGTAATGTTAATTGCGCAAATAGAACAAAGATTTGTAAGAAAATGTCGATTTATTGGTTAGTTAACTTACTCCGCCGATGACCATTTTTGGGAAAGCGAAAAATAGAATGTCTATTTGTGGTACGTCTTGGGCAATTTTGAACAACACGTTTCCCAGCTTTGCGAAATGGAAATTCGACCTAGTGGCAAGACCTTACGAATACACGACCGCGTTATTAAAACACGAATTATTCACGACATATTGAAACAAAGGAAGGAACTGTCATTAGCAAATATTTGACGTTGATAGTAAAATTACGAATCTTAAGACCTATTCAAATAAACCTGGGTTCTCCATACAATAAGGGTCTTCTACCAATCAGCGTCTCTGGCCCTCCTTATATCGGGATCCGTCCTATACGAGTTATAAAGATGTCTTACCCTCTTTGCATATTTCACCAGAAAGTTAAATGTATTTCTGGAGTTTGACGGATACGGCCGCGGGCGTTTCAAGACTACTCTAACTCAGTTTCATTTTTCGAGATGAGAGAGGCAAATGTTGGGTAAAAGTAGATTAAAATGAAGAAGACGCGTATTAATAAGTAAAAATAAATAAGATTGTACGCCGATTGTGGCGAAGTAAAGCCAAGATTTGATGTAAGATAATGCTGAAATATACAGGGCGTCCCGATACGGAGCAGGTTAATGTAGGGGAGTCTAGTGCATTGATATTTGTTTTGCACCAACTGTATAACTTTTCACTCTAACAACTGATATTTTCATAATCTTTCTTTGTTCAACTTATAGAAATGGCCATAATACAAACTGAAATGAACTACATATAGCGTATTTTGGGCTCCCCTTCACGATCCCGCTATGTGTCGGTTCTTATGCGGGACATCCTGAATACGTATATAGGAGTGAAATCCAAATAACAAAGTTTACCTTAATAATTATTTATTGATTAAAAAACTTTAAAACCCTGATTGTTTTGTGTAAAACAAAAATCTCAACCACCTGTTTATTTATGCAAAAGGTCTATATAATAAACAGCAAAATATACAAATTGATGAAAAGAAGCAATACGTGATTAATCACTTAAATACACAATAAACTAATTAATTAATATAATCATGCTATTTAATGTTCCTGCGATTGGGCTCGCTGGCAGTGGGAGGCGGAGGGGGACCTCGCCTGTCTAACTCCTCCAAGTAGTTCAATATGAGCTGGGTCCTTTCGTCGGGTATGTGGTCCAATACCAAATACCGCTTGTCGTTTTTTAGAATGTCCTCGATTTCCTGCATGTGCGCCTGGTTCTCTCTCACCGTTTGCAGTGACTTGTGGGTGATGAGCTTGGTCTCGTGCAAAAGTTCCTTGAATTGACCCTTCGCTAAAATTAGTTTGTCTTTCAGGTAGTCCTTGAACTCGCGTTCGCACTGAAAACCAAATAAAACTTATGTAATTCTATTTGAAAACTTTTTGATACGTTCGATTTGAATCGAATTGCTAGAGCAGCTTTACTAGAATGGTCATGGAATTCAGATGAAATTAACAATAGTTCATATTTAAATTCTGATCTGAACCTCTGGGAATCGTTTGAACAGCGATATGTATGGATTGGATTATTTTCAATTGCAGCATTGCTGATTTTTTTTAAGATTTCAAAGCGGTAAATTGAAAGTATCAAATTTTTTAAAGGGGACAAACTGATCTATTTTTAAGAACTTAGAAAAGTGCCAGCTCAAATATGTAGTAATTTGTATCAAATACTTTATGAAACCTCATCCACAAACAAAACTAAATTAACCAACAAACAACTACATTCAGAAATCTCATAACTTTATCGTTAAGATTTTATAATCTTTCCTCTTATTCCTTTTTTTCTTCTTCATTTTCTTATACCTTAAATTTTTTTTCATAAAATCCAAATACGAGCTCCTAGATTCATATAGTTTGTTTTACATTTTTTATTACGCATTAAATAACATTAGAGACTGAATATTTTTATAATATAATTGAAAGTTCACAAAAACTTATAAAGCTGCCCATTTTTTTTACAAATCTACGTCTACTAGAACAATTTTGATCAACACACATGATACCCTTGAAAAAAAAAATAAAAAAAAATAATAAAACAAACCTGAGACGTCAGTCCATAGATAAGTAAAAAACGTAATTAAGCAGCGTCAAAATTATAAATTAAATCCAAAATTAAAAAAAAAAACATTTCAATTAAAAACGGGCCGATAATTATCGCCGCGGATCAGTTATCTATTTGGTAGCAACTTGAGAACAGACATCGCAAAACCATTTGATGTTGCTCTTGTTGGTTTCCAAAAATTCCAATTCGGAGGTGTTGTATGAACTGCACGTGTAATGGAGGCTCTTCTTGCAACTCTCGTTGTTACATCTCAAGCTCTTGTTGTCTTCGGATTCCTGGATTTTACCGTCGCATTTTACACAGGAATTTCGTTGTTCGTCAGACATTTTTTTTGCTTTTCTTTCTTCGTGCGATTCTTACAGATTTATTTATTTAACAAATGAATCCATAGCCGTTGCCCAGGGTTAATTTTAAGCCGGGGTTATCAAAAAACTCACAAAATTTGCGATTTTTTAATTGGCACAACTAATGGCAGAAAATATCAGAGTAATCAATCTTATTTTGGGGTATTTTAGGGTAAGGTAGAGTAAAAGAAAGCAGAGTACAGTAATGTAGAATAGAGTAGAGTTGTGTCGAGTGAAAGATACTAGAATTGTGTAGAATAGATAGTAGAATTGTGTAGAGTAGAAGAGAGTATAGTGGGGGTACATGGGTACATTCTATTTCTTATATTGAAAGAGAATATGCGCATGAAAATACTTCAAAATAAAATCAAAAGAGCTATTTGTAGTTATTTTCCAGGAACGGTGCATCCAATTTACCAGTCAGATAAGGATATAGGATTAAATTCTATAAATCCTTTTTTGGATTTGATGTAAACGTTTTTCATCATTTTCTAAACAACTTTGAGTAGTTTTACGGTTTCCTCATTACGTTTTATTAGCAATTTTCACAGTTCTAATACGTTACCATTCTAATTCATTATTTGAACAAATATTTCTTTTATTTAAATGATATTATTTTAACTAAAACATTACGAAAAAACTTACCCTCTCGCTGGACGCGAACTTGGTGTACCTGGGATCGTCTCGAATGGTTTTCTTGATCTCCTTCCACGAGCTCACCAGCGTAACGTCCGCAGTTTCGTCGAGTAACTCTCTGAAATTCTGCCGTTTCTTTTTCACCAGTAGTTCGACGTGTTCGTTGAACAATTTTTCTTTGTCGTCCCTCGACAGACTGCCGGCCAAATCCCATCGGTCGTCCTTTCGCAAAATCCGCTTCACCTCTCTCCAACTCAAATCGGAATTTCGCACCAGGTCCGATAACAAGGCGTTGAAATGCTGCGAATACACGTTGAATAAGATGATTTTATTAGATTACGCTAGATGTAAATTGAATGCAACTTACTTGAATGGCTTCGTCGCGTTTGTGTTGTTCTCTCTCCTTGTCCCTGTCTCTCATGTGAGTAGCCAACGTACGTTGTACTTCTTTCTCTCTCTCCCGAAGGCTCGCCTCCGCCCTCGCCTGTCTATCTTTATCTTTCTGATCCTGAGACACCTCATCTTCCACTTCTTCCTTTTCGCCCTAAACAAAACGAGAATTTATTAAAAAAATAATAACTCACCGTTGACAATATCATACCTCCGCATCTTTCGCGGATACATCGACGTCCTCTTCGTCTTCTTCCTCGACTTTCGATTCGTCCTTATCTTTGTCCTTTTCCTTCTCCTTCTCCTTCTCCTTATCTTTATCCTTATCTTTGTCCTTATCCTTATCCTTGTCCTTGTCCTTCTCCTTCTTCTTTTCCCTCTCCTTATCCTTGTCCTTGTCCTTCTTCTTGTGTTTCTCCTTGTCCTTCTTGTGTTCGCGGTCCTTTTCTTTGGCGCGCTTCTTCTCCTCTTTCAACAGCTTGCAGAACTCCCTGAACCAATCCTCGCGCTGGTTGTGCGAATCCACGGCTTTGTATCTCGAATCGGAGTCGACTTTTCTCTTGACATCCGACCAATGCGAATGCCTGTCGATGTCCGAATGTTCCCGCAGCATGGCTATGAAGTCTTTCTTGACCTGCAAATATCGAGAACGTTATCGATCGAAACGACTCCGAGTGGAAGAATACAAATTTAACTGATTATAATGTCTCGTGAATGCTACACATAAGTTTCGGTATAGAAACGAATTTTTCGAAAGTAAATAAATACAATTGTGTAAAATCTGTGAGAAGCTGAAAAGAAAAAGTTCGTTAGTATCCTGGAAAGAAATTTAGTAGATTAATAATGAGAACATGTGAGCTTATAAATAAAGCTGACAAGTTCTGTTTTATTGTACAAGTTGTAACAAATGTTCTTAGATAAATTGTATTGTATATTGCTTCAATAGATTATAAATTTTAATGTTTTAATTCAATAGAAATTAGTGAACCTAAAAGAAAACATACTAACTAAATTTAGATATTCAATTAATTTTATTGGGTTGCTTAATGCAAGTGTTGCAAATGCTATTTTTTGACTTTTGAATGTTATTCCCATGATACAGGGTGTCCCGCACAAGAATCCCTCAAAGTAGAGTTACAAATTAAATAAAAAACATTAATATCTAATTTTGGTATACGTTATGAGTGTACTAACAATAAGAGCATTAATCGATATTTAGGAGAAATCAATTGACCTATTTTAAACGATTCAACAGGGATGATGCTCCCATAAAATTTTACCCATTTTTTTTACCTGATGGATGGTTTAAAAATTATTTGTCAATTTGATGAAAAACTTAAAAAAACGTCATGTACACTATCAATGTTACTTCTTAAAAAATCGTCGATAATTCAAAAGTTGGCTGTATTAATTTAAAGTTAAACAACATATTTTAGACTCCTCTACACTTCCCAGCTGTGTCGGTTCTTATGCGAGACACCCTGTATAATATAGAAATGACTCATAATTACCATTATCAATATTTACTGTTAACTTCTTAAAACAAAGTAAATCATCTCTAATTTTTCGGTAAAATATAGGTAAATTTTCGTAATGTAAACTAATGTTTAATAATTTTTTTGATTAATAAATGGCCTGAAAATAAATAAACATATAAAGGTTTTTACAAAAAATACTGCTATAATAGCATTTATCCGACATTAAAAAACATCGGAGTGCAATAAATAATTTCATCTCTCCTATAGCAATTTTATGCATCCAATAAAATGCCTTAGAAGAAATGTAAAATAGTGAAGTAAAAGTAAAATAATTGACATATTGTAGAATACTGCAAATCACTATTTAAAAATTAATATAAAATTTTCATTTTCTTTAAAAATAGTTTATATTTGCAGCATTCTTCAAAGAAATAAGAAGGGACAAAACGAGAACCTGCAATAAACAAATAAAAAATATTCAAGTATAAAAATTATTTACTGCATTAGCATGTAGATTAATCTCGTAAATGCAAAAAATGCAATTCATTTTCATTTTACTATTAATCTGCAAAATCAGCAATAAACGGTCTGCGGGGGGAACTTAAATTTAATAGGTACCTATGCCCATTAAAAAACGCGTCGGATCCCCCAAAGGCTCTACATTCCTCGAAATCCACCATAGACAAGAATCCTTTTAGATCCTTTCGGGACGAACGCCACACGTTTATTCTTCGTTAGTCGGGTAGTCGTCAACAGCTAGGTACAAGTCGATACATTTGCCAGACAGTCATCTACAGAGTTTGAATACTACTATTTAAAAATATAACCTATACACATCCAGTTAGATAATATTTATTCAACCGAGAATTTCATTTGTAAAAAAGCCCATTTGTTTCTTCGGTTTTTTTTTAATGTACATACTAACAAACGTTTTGCTAGAATTGTTTTCATTGAATTACTAGCGTATTGGAGAACATGAGAAGTTAAAGACTTTTCTTACACGGGGCAATATATTGCAGCAATGTTGCATTGCAGTTAAAATACAAACGTTCAAATGTGTAGATTTCACACGTATGCGATACGATAATTTTTATTAATGTTATTAAATTATTGTTAATAAATTGCTGCAATATATTGCACAGTGTGAAAACGCTCTTAATAAAAATTTTGTAAATACACAAACTTCTATAGTTATCCAATAGACTCAGCAAGGTATGTTTCCCACAAACTTAATCCGATTTGCAGAATTGACTCATTTATACATACCTTACTCCTAAAATGAATGTGGATTTTAAACTAAAATATGAAACCGAAATCCCAATTCGAAAGACACTTAATGGAACACAGATATTGATGAATTTTGACTGAAAATAAACTATAAAAATATAGTGATGTGTATTTCTTCTTGTAAATCTGGTAAATACAAGAAAAGAATAGTTTGAAATAAGATGTTTTACAATTCCATGTAACATTAATGTAAGTTTTCCCTAATATTTTATATTGTACGTACCACTACATGTACATACTTAAAGTAAAAAATTGTTATAATTGTTAAAATATGAAAAATCGTATGATGGATTATTTCAGAAACCTATATTTATGAATTTGAATTCAAACATTTTCATAAATATAGGATAAAAGAAAACGAAAAATTTAAACAAAAAACATTTACAAAACTCAAAAAAACCAATGAAATATTTACAATTAATGGTTCAGTAAATATTTTTTATTCAAAATAAATTGGTTAGTGAAAAAAAAATGATCCAATAAGTTTGGAAACTCTTTTGACGTTTAAAAATTAAAATATAAAATTAATTTCATTCGTATTCAAAATGCTACAAAGCTTTTCAATTAAAAGATTCGTTCCACTTGTATAAGCGAGCATTTGCCATAAATTAAAACCACAGTTTGTGGATTGCGTGAATTCCCTAACCAATTTATAAAATAATTACCTAAACCTAACGTATTTCGTTTAAAGCAACATACCTGTTCTCTACGTTGATTCTTCTCCTCCTTCTCGCGTTTCCTCACCTCTATGAGGTATTCGTTGAACAAGCTTTCCCGTTCTCGCATCTTTTCGACACCTTTAAACCGCTCATCCTTGGCATATTTTTGGGCAAAATCACTAAATGACGATCTAAAAACCAAAATGTTTTTATCAATACAAGTTTTACAACAAAACATTTCAATCACACTTACTTGCCAGTTAAATTCGATTCGCTCAATAATTTCCTGAACAGATCCTTCTTCTCCCTCAACTTGTTCCGTTTCTCTCGCCTCTCCTCCTCGGCCCTTTCTTTCACGTATTTTTCGAAGACTTGTTTGCGTTCTTTCGATGTCAACAGGAGGTATCTGTGATCGAAGACGATCTTGTGCAGTTCCTTCTCCCACGTTCTGAACGCCGACACTTGCTTCTCCGTCAGCATTTCTTTGAACAATTTTATTCTAGTGTCCAGGGGAATGACGGCCCGTTCCTTTGCCGCTCTCACTTCCGCTTCGATGGCAGCCTCTTTGCCTATATCGATTTTCTTAGCTGGAGTTGCATTTCCATTAGTGTCTATAATATTTAAAATGTCAAAATCAGCAAACAAAAAGAATTTCATTCGATTCTACTAACTCGTTTGAATCGGTTGAGAATCATCTAATTTAGGCTTTTTGGCCGGAACTTCCTCTTCGCTATCACTCTCGTCCGATCCGGGCTTCTTTGGAGGGGATTTAGAGGGGTCCGGTTTCGTGGTCGAAAGGGAATCGGGAGGATTCGCTACCATTTTGTCCACATCCGATCGCTTCAGTAGTTCTTCCGGTCGCTCCCAAACCGACGTCCTGGATGAAGGGTTGTAGAAGAAAACTCTGCCATCTCCTGTCCATACAACACACCTAAAATTTGGACAATTTAGAATTAATAAATAAACGGTAAACGCGTTATATTACCAGGGAGTTCCTGGCACGGGAGTACTCGAAATAGGCCTGGATTTATCCTGCGATTTTATTTCCTTCGCCTTCTCCTCCTCTTCCTTCTTCTTCTTGATTTCTTCTTGCAGTTTTTTTACCTTTTCCTCGGCGTCCTTTTCCAAGTCCATCTTAACAGCTTCTCCGTTGGTATTCGCTACTGTCTTACCTGAATCTCCTTGAGGATCTAATGATGGTTTTGTAGAGATACCCTGCGCAGCCGCAAGTTTAGCAGCTGAAAACAACACCAGAGTTTATTAATGTCTAGAGATCGCCAAAACCATTACAAAACTCACTTTCCAAGTCCTTGAGAGGCTGTGGTTTCTCCCAAACGGATTCCGCCTTCTTGGCATTATAATAGTAAAACCTCCCGTCGGGCGCCTTGTGCTCCGTCCACTCCGAAGCTCGGCCTATTATGTCCGGATCGATTTTCGACATAACAGCCGCTTCGTCGATCGCTGCCATAGCACCTGAAACTCCCGGAAACATCGTCGGCGGAATGGGCCACGGCCCACCCGGAGGAACGGGCCAATTGGGCTGGCCCGGTCCGGCCGGCCACGCGCCCGGCATGCCCGGCGGCGGTAAACCGAACGGCGGAAATTGCCCGGGCGGCCCGAACGGCGGCGCGAAGCCCGGCGGCGGCCCTAAAAGGGTGTGAGGCGGCGGTATTTGACCGGCATTCGACTTTAAGCTATCTTGTTTTTCATCTCCACCTAAATGTTTTTTAATTTTCGATTACTTTCGGTATAGTATATTTTTAAGTATGTATTACTTACCATCTTGTTTGTTAGATATGCTAGCTTGGGCTAAGGCAGCTTGAGCAGCCGTCGATGTATTCTGAGCCATACCTACGGTAGCGGCTTGTGCCATAGCTTCTACTTGATCCTGTGAGATAACTTTTATATTAGGTCCATCTGGTTTAGTCCAAGTTGTTTCTCTAGAACGAGCATTATAATAATATGACTTGCCTTCTGCTGTTTTCGTTTCCACCCAGATTTCTGCGTTTGGATCTAACGTCTGAAAATTTATCATCATTACATAATTATATAAAGAAGATATATATTCCGATGTATGCTGGAATATAATTGCATAAATAGGTAGGTACAAATAAAAATAATAATTACCATAGTAGAATTTGGTTGTCCAGCATTACCTGCTTCTTGATTAGAATTTGGTCCACCTGACCCAGCATTTAAGTTTGGTGACTCATTTTCGTTACCACCTAAAATTAATACAAAAACTTGTTAATTACTAGTTCGAAATTAAGAAATTAGACCTTTAAGAATCACCCCTTAAACTTTTTCGGTATTATTTAGATACAACGGCCCGTATTCAGCGCCTCTGTTTAACTTTAGAATGACTCTAAACTTGCGTCCTTAACTAGACAGATTTACATTGTTGTTATGGAGTAACTAGGGACTCAAGACGCGACTTTAGAGTCACGCTAAAGTTGAACAGAGGCGCTGAACGGGTCAATCTGCATAATAATCGTGTAAATAAACTTTCATTACCACTAAAGCCCATGAGAGGCGGTGGTCCAGAAGGCGGCCCATTCCAATTGGCGCCCCCGAAGCCGGGTGGGCCGTTGAAATTTCCGTGCGGTCCACCGCGGGGTGGAGGCCCCCTAAACATCGGCCCACCTCTGTTGCCTCTGAAAGGAGGAGGCGGCCCCCCGGGTCCGAACCCTCGGCCCCTGAACCTTGGATGTTCTCCTCCTCCTCCTCTCGGCGGTGGTCCGGACCAGTTTCTTTGCGGTCCTTTGCTAAAAATACATTAGAAATTTAGTACATAAATCCGAATAATGTACATTGTGACTTACTTGAAACCTCTGCCTCCTCGGCCCCTTTGAGAGGCGAAATCTTTGGAAGCTTCCCCGTCGTTTTCGAAACAAACGTCTTCCTCGAAATTTTCTTCCGATTCACCTCCATCCGGTGAATTGAATTCTTCGACCTCCATTTTAGGCGAACGTTTTTATCTATAGATCGGCTCGAACGATGTTTGATGTACTTAATTTGTTCAAAATTGAAACATGAAAACCATAACTTCAATTGCACAATTGTTTGGAATGCTTTTCTTTCACTACAAAACAAATATTCCGCCGATAAAACAGCAAATGCCCCAAAAAACCTCGTTTGTTGGGTTTGCTTGCAACTTGCAATTATTCGGGTTTGTTCTTGTAAGGAAATCTATATTACACATGAGCGAGAACAAAGAATTTTCAGCGCATTAAAACGAGATAACAATATAATACTTTATTCGTGAGTCACTAGACAAACGCAAAAATGGATCTTTTAATAGTGTCATGTGTCAAATTTTCTGTCAGTAATGAAGTACGTTCGGTAATTAACAGAAATAATAAGGCATTGTAATTTAATTATGTTTAATAAATTTATTAATACTTCTGTATATAATTCATTGGCGTAAGTATTAATTATATTATATTTAATTTGAGAATTCGAATCCGAATCATAACACGTCATATGTCATATATCGTTCATATTCAATTCACTACTGTTTTCAAAAAAATCGATTATTCTATCTACTTTATCAATAATATTTTAATATACTTTTCGAATATAAATTAAATAAATCATTAAATATGCATAAAATATATATGCAGAATTAGTTTTTTTTCTAATATATTTAAACGGTATATAAATTATTGAATTCGATTATATTCCATTTCGATGCTTGGATAATCGATTTTCTATTCGATGCGCATTTCAGTTTGCCGTTCGGTTTGTTTCCAATCCGAAACCGAACCGAAGTTTATGTCAACATACTTTACAGTACAGTAGACTGACACCTGTTGAATAACGTGATTAATTTAATTAAATAGTATAGATTTAAGTTGTTTTTTGTGTTCCACACAAAGTGCATATTTCATTTAATATCCCGTAAATTACAAAATACTTATTTGAGTTTAGTGCAGTGCCTTATTGTATATTGTGTGTTAAAAAGTGGATCAAACTGACCGTTTTACACGAATAAGAAATTTTTGTTTTCAAAGTGTGTGAAATGTCATTAAATTGAGGCTAGACTGGAATATATTAGGTAAGAGAAAACGTCCTTAATTTACGTATTGTTTCTCTGTTTATGTATCGCATTATTGATCTCCAAACGATTTCATTGAAAGGTTTTGCGGAGCCAAAACAATGTTAATATAGTAGAGTAAAATCAGAATAGGCGCGGCAAATTCTTGTTTGTTTTTTTACAAAACAGGGAGATGACGTAAACATATTGTGCGAAATGTTTATGTTGTGACTAATATCCCGGCCGCCGGTAACTCCAAGAAGATGATCCCGCTAAACGGCACGGTTTTTCGGTAACATTTCGATTATTCGCGGCCTTTAAATCGCCGGCGAAATGACCAAAATCGTCCAGCATCTTATTAAGTAACGCACAAGAAAGATCTTGCGAGATCGTAAAAAAGAACCTTGACATTGGCATTTAATGGGTGTTTACTGCGGGTCGCCATGGTGACGCGGTCGAGGGCAAAAAGGTTATGGTTAGGAATTTAGGCAGGTACAACCTATAATTAGTGGCCGAAAAAAAGTTAATTCTCGTTCTTCCAGTTTTGTAATGCATGATCTTCATTATGTGCTAATAGCATTAAATTTATATTATTTTTTATTTAGGTATCTACTATACAGGGTGTCCCAATGAAAAGTATTTAGCCCATTTAATCGGCTTATAATTTAATGCCAAATCATAAAAACATGCGGTTTTCGCATGTAGGTAAGTTTTGTTTTGCTATAACTTCTGTTACAGTGACACAGAAATTTTGTATCGCTTGTATACAGGGTGTTTTATCAAAATCCCCTTTTCAATTTACATTAACCAAATTTTATCAAATGGGACATCTTCTTCTACATATTTTACAATGGGACATCTTTATCAACACATTGATAAAACCGCATATTTTTATGATTAGGCTACTTTTCATTGGGATACCCTGTATTGAGTAACAGCTCAAATCAGGGTATATAGTGTATACGGTAAATACACCCTGTATAATACTCTTTATGTCGTGACAAATTTTGTATCGCTTGTATACAGGGTGTTTTATCAAAATCCCCTTTTCAATTTACATTAACCAAATTTTATCAAATGGGACATCTTCTTCTACATATTTTACAATGGGACATCTTTATCAACACATTGATAAAACCGCATATTTTTATGATTAGGCTACTTTTCATTGGGATACCCTGTATTGAGTAACAGCTCAAATCAGGGTATATAGTGTATACGGTAAATACACCCTGTATAATACTCGTTATGTACTGACAAATGATTTTTATAACATAAAAATAAATAAATTGAACATTTTTAATAAAAAATAACAATGATACTTACATTATCTTCATAATTATCTCATTGTATCTTTAGTAAATACTTATTATTTATTTGTTTAAAGCCAATCTCGACCTATCGGGATTAAAGTACATAAGAAAGATTAAATACAAGAAGATAATGTTGTGGAATAATCTACAATTTCAGTGCCCATTTAATTTTCCCTTATTTTTTTAATTTTATTGATATCTTTTATTTAACTTTACATAATTCTGTAAAGCAGTTTACATAAAGTACCAAACTCTATATTCTTATTCAGTTAAAATAGAACGAGAGAAATAACGAGGGCGTAGAAATTAAATTGATTTACATATGAACATAACATGTGCATTGAACTCATCTGTTGTTCATTTTATGCCACATTACTCGTAAGGCTAAAATTCGTTTATTGTAATATCTGCAGTTTGTCTAGAACTTGATATTAAAGTTTACTTGATGATTTATATAGAAACTTGAACTTGCAGACCCATAAAATACACCCTCAAAAGAAAAAAATTACCATGGTTTTAATTTCAAAGATGAAATCAGTAAATTGTGATTAAAAATAAGAATAAAAACATTTCAAATTCAAATTATTAATAAAATTGTTTTTAAATCCTATCAGTGATCTATTTTTATACGCACATATAGAATTACAACTTAACTCAGATTTCAGTATAGTTTTACTGCATAATAGTTATATCAACATTAATTGCATACAGTAAATTGATTTGCAATACCTAGGTACGAATTATAAAGCGGTAAATTTCAATTAAAAAATCTGCTCGAAGATAACGATTGAACGATTTAATTACCCTTATGATATGCCTCGCCCTGTACTTAGGTTGTAATCATAACGTCATTAAGAAAAGGTATATCAGGTACTGGTCTTTATGGAGAGTACTCGTACAATAATTAATCTATTAATCCGGCATTTCTCACATTTTCTCCATGTTATTAATTTTAAATTCTCAAGCATAGCTGTACCGCCTTATTATATATAATTAATCTTGATTTAATTGAAATGCAGTAAGTAAACAATTCCTACACGAATGTGGAGTGTATGCTCATTAAAATAAATTTAAATACTTTTCTGCGTTTTCCATCCTTTACATATTATAGACCACGTGAGGAATTCTTTTAACCGGTGTTGCGGACTAAAAGAAAATGTCTTAATTTAAGGGAATTTTCAATAAGAGAAATAGGTGATTTATTAATTCAAAAATAGTCAAAATTGTAGAAAAAAATAGATTCATTACAAATTACCAATGGATTTGCTAATAAATTTTTAGAAGCATTTTGATTTTTTAAATAGGTAATTTATGATTTTCAAAGATTTTGAAAGGTCGGCAACATTGCTGGTTGGCACATGATAAAACAAGGCGCTGTTTAAAATTCATATTTCTGGTGATTTCTAAAATGTTTTACACCTAAATTGCCTAATTAGCTTTTTTATTAAATTTCTAATTAAACTCGAATTAAACGAATTTTTTATTAATATATTCATATACCTACATGGTCGATTAGAATATTAAAATGTAATAATGCACCTAGCAATTTGATTTTATAAATTTTTTAATATAATATACAGGCTACTGTCATGGTAATTACATTTCTTCTACAAAGTATTTGCTTATCGTTGCGCTTTAAATACGAATAATAATTAACTTTCAGCGTGTTGTTTCGAGTTGTACATGCCTCCTTAACATCGGTATGCAAATATGTTTAATTAAAATCACGTAATTTGGTACATACAACATCGATTTAGTTGTAAAGGCTTAATAATGGTTTAGTTTGCTGTACCGAATGCCGACGTGTGTTGATGAGACGTGTGAACTTTTTCCACACGCCCACACTCATTGTTTTATACCCAAAAGAATTTCTTTGGATAGTTCATTTTCTCTTAAAATAATTAAAAGTGATGAAACCTCATTAAAATTGATTGGTATACATATATGGAATCTCGGTGCATACAAGCAAATCTCTAATAATAGTGGTTGTCTTGTAAATTTTAATATTTTCCAAAAATCAATAGGTTATTTATTTTAATTCATTTTTATTCGTTTAAAATTTGGCAGCATTATTATTCTCATTCGGTACATTCTTGGTAATTTTTCTGGCTCGTAAAATTTTAAAAATCGTGTAAATATTGTCTATTATGTGACCTATTATTCTGGTTTAAAAAAACGATAATAAAATTTATGAAATTCCAAGAGCAGATACCCAGATACGTATAATAGTTCATAGAGATAGTTGTAAAGAACCTGGGCCTATTAAGTAACAAAATAAAATATTTTTAAGCACGTAATAAGAAAATAACAAACATATAAGGAAATTCAATATTAAATTAAAATGAATACTATAAAACATTTAGGTTTTTATAAGTTAGTTATTTTTTATACAAATTCAAAGTAAGCTGTATGCGGTTACAGAGAAAGTCGCTATTCTGCCTGTCCATCTTATAAAATTAATTTATTTGAAATTGGGCGCGCCTAGATGTAAATTTTTAATTATCAATCAATTTATTAATGCATGCCTATATTTATTTTATAGCCCTCTTGTAGTGTGTTTTATTGTTTTAATTAGTAATGCCTGTAGTAAAGTAACATAAATCTTCAATATTGATGTGTAATATGTAAGTGTACAGCTAGTTTTATATAAATGAGCATTTAAATAATAGTGTTATGAACGGCTAGAAGGTATTTCCATTCATAAAATCTAGTAATTTTGAATTACATCATAACTTCATAAAAATATTTTTAAATATCTTCCACGTAAAAATGAAGATTGAATAAGTTTTTACCAACTTGGGCCGAATATTAATATTGTTCAACAATTTCCATCTATTTATCTAAAATCAGTTTCTCACATATACTATTGAGCGATTGTTTATACATGTGTCAAATCACAAAAATAACTCGTTTTGTCGTTTTCCAAACCATTAAATGTTACGTTCTATTGTTTGGAATGCCGAGGTATTTCTACAATAATTTATATTAGTTTTTATCTAAAGTCCATTAATTTTATCATTGTTAAAACATACTTTCATGTTCCCTAATGCAATTCGCGTTTAAAGTGAACCAACCTAGAATACTTAGAAATTTTAAGGTAAACCGAATAAAGGAGCGATCACAATATTTTATTAGTTCAGTATCGATTTGTTATTAAAAGGTAAAGCCAATAAAAAAGTGTAAGTACATATTAAGTAGGACAGTAGAAATTGTCGTTTCCTAGAAATTCTGCATTGAGCTAGTATTTCTCGCAATTGCAGGAAATCCAAGTCGGAAAATTTTATTATTTTATCGACACAAAAACTGTTACTATACTTTCATCAACTTTCAAAGCAATATGCTTCTATAAATTTATTATTTAAAAAATTAATTGCGCCATATTTATATTGTAATGGTAAATAAATTACTTGTTAATCCGAATAAGCAATATAAGAAAAATGTATAATCAGGTAAATTACTGCATTGTCAGGTTTATTAGGAGTATAGGTACTTAGTGGGCTACTTAAATTGAATGAATCAAGTTCATGTAATGTAGGAGTAACCATTTAACAGTATTCGTGACTGAACTGTAAAATATTTTAGCATAAATCACGTAATATTAGGTTTACGTTGTTTGCAATTTAATCCATACTTGGATTATCCTTAAATATTAGATTTACCTTTTTTGGTATTTTGCGTAATATTTTAATAGAAAATTGTTCAGGTATTTGCAAAATACTATTTACGAAAATATATTAGGCTTTTCTATCTACTTTACAATTCAAGTTATTTTGTAGTTTTCCAATTATACTACCTAGTTTTCCTGTAAAAACTATTGATATCATCTTTATTTAATACTTAATACGTCATATCATTTTCATTAAAAATTAAAAAATAAAAGATAAAGTATATAAAAATAGAGAATTTACGAGTATTAAAATGCATGTATTTACTGTGAAATGTATGTATAAAAATACTCCTTTAAGTACGTTTCCTCACCTGCATTTATATGAACGCCGATATTTGATTGGAAGAATTTCGATTTCACCACATGATTATCTAAGATCGGCGAATAAATATTGATGTTACATAAACTAGGTATGTGGGTATTTCTTTCAAACTCTTTAACAACGCTGAGAATCATTCTTCTCCGTTGAATGTGTGTTCAAAGTTGTTATGACCATATAAATATGTCGGAGTGTTCAACCGTGAACTTACGGCAATTAAGCCCATTGCGGAATGTAGAAACTCTTGACATTTTTAATTAAAAAAAAAATAAAGAATAAATCGCGTTGTTGAATTATTTGTTTGAAAATTATGTTAGGAGGGATTCTGTTTCGTTAATCCGACGCTATAAATAAAGTACGTGACTTTATATGAATAATTTTAACATTAATATAGGTATAAATATAGACTTGACTATTATTTTCCTGGAATTACAACCCAATGAGTACATTTAGTCAAACATATGCAGCATTTAAACTTACGAAATGATTTTCACGGGAATATCGACTGATTCGTACTCTAATCTTACTTACTTAATATTTATCTACATAGATACGTAAAGTTAGTATATGTTGGTGAGTAAAAGAAAATAAATCCCTAAAGTAATCGAGGATCAGTTAAATAATTCATTAGCTATGGGTCTTATTAAAAAGTGTAGAGAAATTTTATGTATTAAGTTGTAGATTTTTAGAGAAATTGTTCACTAAAAACTGAAGAAGAAATTAATTATATTACTATGTCATTGAATTTTTATAAGTTGTGAGTATTAATAGAACGTTGCAACACCCTGTTTATTTTTTATACAGTATTTTTAATAGAATGAGGGTTATGTAAAATAAAAAATTCCCGAGTGATTGATCAAAACTCACAAATCGATTTGTTTTTTATATTCATATGTAGGTATTAAAATGATTGATACGTGTGATAGTGATACATTTTATCGAATTATCAATATAAATGTCGTTGATAAGCCGAAAAAATATATTTTCAGTTCCAAACTTGCGCTATAACAAAATTATTAGATTCTGTTATTTTTAAATAAATGCGATACACAAGGTTATAATATCATGTCTCGTAGTCCTTACGGTGAGTTTTAATTAATTTTACTTTGTTTGACGAACGGTTTTAATAATGGTACTAAATAAATTTGCTTTGATAGATAATGCGTCACTCGGCTAGGGCGTGCTTTGAACAAAAATCTAATTTTTTATTGTGTTCATTGCCTTTTAATTTATATTCCAGACATCACACGCGCGATATTTATGAATATAAGTGTTCTCGATAACAGTTTAAATTTAAATTAGCAAATCTGAACAGTTAAGTTAAATAAATAGTTAAGAATAAATTAGATTGATAGATAGATTGATTTTCGGGTAATTAATATGTATCAATTAGATAATACTACCTAAAAACGAGATAAAAGTCTCGGATAACTTAGCAATTTTTAACTTTCTCATTGAACCAGTAATAGGGGAAAAATAAGCAAGATTATTATTTTTCATTTTAAATAGGCTGCTATCCTTATAACGTTAAATTAATGACAATTGCCCGTATTCAGTGCCTCAGTTTAACTTTAGAGTGACTCTAAAGTCGCGTCTCTAGTTACTCCATAACAACAATGTAAAACTGTCAAGTTAAACACGCGACTTTAGAGTCACTCTAAAGTTAAAATGGGTCGATGAATACCGACCAATACCTGTATTCTACACCTATATTTAAAGATAAAATAAAACGCCTTATTTATAAGTTTGTTTATCGATAACATCCATTATTACTGGATCTAAAAATGTATAGTATGATTTACTACATCACAAGTAGGCAGTATTGCCGACCTTTAATAAAGTTTACAAAATCATCTGAAATATATTTAACAGTGCAAGTAAAAAAGTTGTACAATTGACCCTTAAAAGAGTACATAGTGAAATTTCTGAGAAAACCTCTGAATCTGAATTATTTAGAGCTCAAATTTGTGTCACAATGCTTGGCAAGTATGACGACAGTAGTGATATTTGTTTTGCACCAACTGTATACGAGTTATCTGAAAGTTTCTGCAGAAGAGCGTGATTCCGGAATAGGAACTTTTTCGTATTAGAACGAACCGAAAAACCGCCGAACAAATTATAATTCATCTTCTCACATTAACATCGAAGGCAGTGGAGCAGAAATGGACAGTAGTCGGGTATTTGGTGACATCACGTAATGTAATATTTTCTCTAGCGGCTTAGGTGGTTTTGTAGCGTGTTCGATTAAGGACGGAAGGTTTACAGTTACAAGCGATGGGAAAATCTCGTCGAGGATATTTCGAGAAATGATTAATTCGATTAAGTTATTATTGAATACGAAACACGAGTGACAAAAGCCTTCAAGGATTTTTATTTTAATGAGGTAATATTGCGGAAATGAACACATCAACATAGTCAGTGCATTATAGATGTAAATTATTGTGTCATATTAAATGTGCTTCAAATTTGATGATGATCAAATCATCAAATCGGTTTTTACTTTGGAAGAACCACAAAATGTAAAATGCATAATGAACAGTAGAAAAGCCTAAAGGTTAATTGAAGATACTAAAAAAGTTTTTTAAAGAAAAATCAACGTAATACATAATATTCACGACATGTTTTCGTGGGTTTAGTCCCATTTAGAAACATCGTGTAGTCATCTGCATGTTCAAAACGTTTTATTTTTTTGTGAACTTGATAGGTACAGACATATTTATCGACAACTTTCTTTACAATGTACGTTTTTGTCACGTTCTGCTCATATTTTTTTCGCAGAAATAACTCGATGCATGCCCGACATTACTAATTATCCAATTTGTAAGTGTAGTTTGTCTCAAATTCGAGTGGACAGATAATGCCTGAGAATGACGAGGGATTCGCCACATATTATTATACTGCTATAATACTGCTCAGAGTAAATTCTTTAGGATTATACCTATACCAAATATGGCAAAAAGGATTGATGGTTCATTTAAAGCGACCGCAATGGTCTGAAACCAACCAATTTATGAACAAATTTGAGTAAAGTCTCGAGATCCAGACCTGTTCCGCACATGTTTTCGCTACCCCTGACTCTGTCTCTCGTCTTCGAAATAAAATTGTTTATTTACGTCGAAATCGCGCCAATGCCATTCTGTTTTTATTTGCCGGATTAGTGTTTATTATTTTATTAATCACCATCACACGAATAGCAGATTTGTCTGGGTTTTTTTTCACCAACTGCAAGAAGCTTTTCATCATTCGATGCGACCCGAGTCTTTCACTGCGATAAAATGCATCCTTGCTTAGCGATTTCCATTTAAAGTTTACTCGGGCTCAGTGTGTGCGCGCACTTACGTAAGTGGATACCTGATTATAGTGTTATTTCGCGTAAACGGTATGTGGTTTGGTATTGTGTGAACGATTTAATATTCTTATTTTTAATTGGTTTTCTACTTCTATTACGGGCGAATATGTTATCAAAGGCACGTTTCGCTAATTGAATTAGCAAACCATCCAAAAATTCTTCCAAGGAAACAATGAACCAATGTTCAATCTTGATTCGCTAAGTAAACGTGTTCCTTAGCAAGATGTATTTGATTTGAGATGATTAAAAAAACTTGTTTTTGGAAAACTAATTTTATTTCTATAAGCATCTATCTCTTTATGATTCTTCTTTCTTCTAAATCATTGTTTTCTAATTGACTATATAAAACGAGAATTATTCCAAGGTGTAAAAGGGCTTTATTTCTTAAAGCTCCGAACACTTTGAGTAACAAAACAGACTTGTTTTCTAACAAATCTTCACCATTTCAACATATCGAATTGTATTTATTGGTGCTCGATAGATTTTTTAAATTGAATACATTTAGCGATTTTTTTGTGACAACCGCTTCACCAAAGAGGAGTAGGTACTTTATCATTTAATTACGGTTTTATTTTATAAGCATTTCGAACACTGTGGTGTTTCAGAAGAGGCTCTTGAACTCGCTCGTTTATGTAAAACTACCGAGATTGTAAAATGTCGTTAATTTAAAACAATAATTTGCAGAGTTCGTTTTTACGAGCGGAATCCGTTGTTAGGATTTCACTAGATATTTATGGCAGTTATTCTGGCACCAATCACCGCTATCCTAATATAATACAGGGTGTTTTGAAACGTGCCTTGGAGAATGAGGAGGGTTAGTCCTTGGGTTATTCTAAGAAAAATATCTATTACTATAACGCACCTTTTTCTGAAATACCCTGAGTAACAGAAAGGTCTCGAAACACCATGTGCATATCCAAAAAACACAAGCAATATTTTGATTAGCGAGTATACTCTACAATGTTAATACTTTACATATTTTACTTGAATTATTGTTTGTGTATTCGAAAAGCCGACAGCTCTCTAATAATGGTGCAAAATCCATAAACAGATGTTTCGCCGATACATACATACATACATATGTAAATAAATTTTCAGCTTTCTTCGGTTTTAGATGACCTTGCTTCGCCTGGTCATCTGGCGTGGTTCGTTTAACCCGGCTAATTTATGCGACTTCAAATTTCGTTTTCGATTTCATTCATATTAAAATTCTACTCGAGGAGTCAATGTAACTTTGAATTTGACTCGTTTTTCGACGATAAAGACTCCGTATTCTTATTCCTAAAAAACTTTGCTTCACTTTCGAAGCATCCGGATTGGCCACCGCATTACGTCGGTGATAACGATAAGAGACGCTAATTCGATGCTTGCAATTTGATAGAGATAATTAAGGAACTTGAACGTTGATTTTTTTTTGCAGTCGGTAACGTACATTATGAGCCAAAGCCGGATCGAGGCTATCAGAAGAGAACAAACATGAGTCAAAGGGATGAAGTTCAAAAATTCGAACAGGGCCGGATTCGGGTCCTGCAGGAGGAGCGTCTGCACATCCAGAAGAAAACGTTTACCAAATGGATGAACTCGTTTTTACAAAAGGTATTTATTTGCAGATTTATTTCGCCAGATCGATAAATGCTGTTTTATCGCGAAAATACAGTAATTAACATCTAACATGTTGATTGTAAAATGATTAATATGCAATATCGGCTTCTTTGAAAGTGCATGTTTGTTTTTAATTTTTCATGATAAATTTGTTGATTTATGAAGAAATTTGTTTTGTCATAATGGATTTATTGAGTTAATTTGTATAGTAATCATGATTGTAGGTATACTGGGTGTTTTAAAGGGGATGTTTATTAAACTGGATCTGGATTTACTACTCGTCCGAATAAAATGTAAATATTTATAAATTAATTATACCCTTTGCCTAAAATTATATCTTACGTATACATCCTGTATACCTACATTTTATAAAAAATAATATTCTGTTTTCATTCAATTTTTAATGATTTGTGAGAACTTTGTAACCATATTTGGTTTGTCTTTACTATTCATTTTAATTTTTGTTTACAAAAATAACGTAGTTATTATAGATGTTTTGTTAGTTTAACAAATGGATTTAGTTCAGGCAAGTATTTAATGACATCCAAAAAAAGACACAAATTACTACCATTAACCCAAATACGTTAAGAAACTACTGATTTTTCAATTAATCGTTTTTATGTTTATCAGAAAATTCAAAATACGATCAGTATTTATTTATGAAATGCACGCGAAATCGATAATAATCATGTGAGAGGATCAACTATTCAAATGCGATTAAATTTATCAATGCCGAATAAATAATTCGTTTCAATAGTGACACAACGTTACATACCGATGAAGTCATCAAACTAAAATTATTCAATTGTGAGTTTTTCAGAAATTTCCGGTGATATTACATATCACTTCCTTGCAAACTGTTATTCAACCGACAGATCACATTGTTACCGGTATTTAATAGCACACAGCATGCCCTTTTTGATTAAAAAAACATGAAAATAATAAGCCGAATTCCACGCTAAAAAGCTATAAATTTCTCGGTTACAACGCAATAAAATAATGAAAGTTTTTTTTCTACACACTGAAATAAAATTGGAAATCAACTGAAGTTTAGGAGATATTAAAAATTGTAAAAATAGTAATAAAACCATAAGCGGAAGAGTTTGTAACCGACATAGAGAATTTAGAAAGGTATTTTTCATTCAAATTTTCAGCCACTCTAAAATTTCAAACCATATTTTTATTTAGATGATTGTAGTAACTAAACATCCACAAAACTCCCTGCATATCTCTATTTTAACTTTTCAAGTTATTCTGTGTAGATACTTTTTCTACTTAAATTTCATATTCGTCTACTCGTTTTAACTGGTCATGTAATAGCACGTTTTCTTTTCTCTTCTTTTTAAACCTTTTTCGATATGCTATACGATCTGTAATATGAGCACAAGGTTGTTACACATTTAAACAAAGATTCTATTATTTTCTATTAGGCAATAAACCGGCCGGCCTCTTGGTTTTATGGGAAAAACTAAACAATGGTCAGTAACATGAATAAAAAACGCATTCGTGGAAAATTAGTTATTGTAATTTGTACATTTTAATTTCAAATTTATGTCTACTTATTTAAAATGTTCATTTAGTTTAGAAATATACACTTAATTTAATCTGGTTCTATAAAAGGGTAATATGTATGAATGTCTGGATAATTTAAACAAGACTATTTAATTTCTGTATCATACGACTACTAATTATAGTATTTTGTACACTGACATCATAAGTCAATAGCAATTAAACATTTTCCAAGACCTATTCAATTCAACTAATAGCATTTTATAGACCAAACAACGACTTTTACGACCAATAAATGTTTTTCAATTTAGGCCCGAATGGAGATCGAAGACATATTCGTCGATTTGGCGGACGGCAAAAAATTGCTAAAACTTCTGGAAATAATATCGGGCGAAAAATTAGCGAGGCCGAACAGTGGGAAAATGCGCGTGCACAAAATCGAAAACGTTAACAAAAGCTTGGCATTTTTGCACACGAAAGTCCGGCTGGAGAGCATAGGAGCCGAAGACATCGTAGATGGAAACCCCCGGCTCATCTTGGGTCTGATCTGGACCATCATCCTCAGATTCCAGATCCAAGAAATCGAAATACCAGAGGTAATTATACATTATCACTCCAACCAGGTCCAAATCTCATCTTTTGCGACCCTCTTCGTAGGATGAAGACAACGAAAGCTCCGAAAAGAAATCAGCAAAAGACGCCTTACTCTTATGGGCCCAGCGCAAAACCCACGGTTACCAGGAGGTCCACGTTCACGACTTCTCCTCTTCGTGGAGGAGCGGTCTGGCTTTCAACGCTCTCATCCACTCCCACAGGCCGGACCTCTTCGAATACGAACCGTTGAGGAACAACAAGAACATCGACAATCTGAATCACGCCTTCGACGTCGCCAGCAACGAGCTGGGCATCCCCAGTTTGCTCGACGCCGAAGACATCGACACCTCCAGGCCCGACGAGAAGAGTATCATGACGTACGTGGCTTCTTATTACCACACCTTCGCGCGGATGAAGCAAGAAGAGAAGTCCGGCAGAAGAATAGCCAAGGTAAAGGAATTAATATGGTTTTGTAAGACCTTAACACTGAAGTTTAAATCTCTTTAGATCATCAAGCAGATGATTGATTCGGATAAAATGAAATTCACTTACGACAAACTGACGACCGATCTACTGGATTGGATAAAAAACAAGATAGTGGAATTGGAAGACCGGCAATTTCCGAATTCTCTGGAAGGCATACAACACCTGCTGCTCCAGTTCGGGTACTACCGTACGCAGGAGAAGCCGCCGAAGTACAAGGAACGCAGCGAAATAGAGGCTCTGTTTTTCAATTTAAATAGTCAACTGAAAGAACTAAGGCAGCCCGCTTTCACTCCTTCGGACGGGAAGCTGGTGCAGGACATAGAGAGGTCCTGGGACACGCTGGAGAAGGCCGAGCACCGGCGTGAAGTCGCCCTGCGAGAGGAGCTGATGAGGCAGCAGAGATTGGACCAGTTGATGTACAAGTTCGAGAAAAAGAGCACTCTGCGCGAGGGCTATTTAATCGAAATGATTCAAGTAGGTTATTACTGATAATAATCGTTGTAGTTTTACCAAATTGCCGTTTTCAAGGTTCTATCTGACCCGCGTTACGGCTCAAATTTAGTGCAAGTAGATGCCACTCTCAAGAAACACGAAGCCATCAGCGCCGATATATTGGCCAGGGAAGAGCGCGTCCACGATTTATCGCAAATGGCCAAAGAGCTAATAAAAGAGAATTACCGAAACGCCGATCGAGTCAAGGAAAGGGAAAACGAAATCATTCAGCAATGGCAACAACTTAAAGCTTTGCTTGAAAAGCACAAAGTAAGTCATGATACTTTATGCATTATTTTTCCTCTACTTCGATTGTAATTTTATAGATTAATCTCAACAAAATGGGTAGCATAATGTCGCTGCTGCGCGAAATCGACTCCACTTTGGCCACGATCGAGCAGCTTAGATTCGACATGGCCTCCTCCGATACGGGCATGCATCTCATGGCTGTAGAGGAGCTGTTGCACAAGCACGCTTTGCAGGAGCTGCAAGTGACCGCTTTTGGAGAAACCGAAAGGAGATTGAACAGAACCAGCGACCAGTTACCCATCCAAAACGAAAAGGAACAGGAAGTTCTGAAGAAAAAGCTGGACGAATTGAGCAAAGCCTACGAAACGTTAAAAGTGAGTTTACTGTTAATCTTATCGACTATAATTTTATTGGTGTGTACAATCACCCGCTCTAACTCTGTCCAATGTTTATATTTATGACGATTTGTAGAAAGTAAGCGCTGAAAGAAAAGCTTTACTAGAAGAAGCGCGAAACTTCTATCAGTTCCTCCAAGACCAAGAGGACGAGGAAGCCTGGCTAATAGAAAAGCAACGGATATGCCAAGCGGGCATCATGGCCAAAGACCTGCGGGGCGTCCTGTCGCTGCAACAAAAACACAAAGCCCTCATGGACGAGATAAAAACCCGAAAGAACAAATTCAACCAGCTGGGCGCCACCAGCAAGCAGCTGATACTCGACAACCACCCGAGGTCCGCGGAAATCCAGCAGCACGTCGACAAGAGCAAGAAGAACTGGGAACTGCTGGAGAAGCTGGCCCAGCAGCGGGCCAAGCAATTGCAAGACGCCGCCGAGGCCTATCAATTCTACGGCGACGCCAACGAGGCCGATTCGTGGTTGCACGAGAAATTGGCTCTAGTTAGTTCCAACGACTGCGGAATCGACGAGCTCAGCGCCAAGGCTTTGCTTCAAAGGCACAAAGATTTGGACGGGGAGATTAACGCTTACAACGGGGATATTCAGAGTCTAAACAGCCAAGCGGACAGATTGATATCTTCCGGTATCTCCACGTTGGACTTGAACACCGAACCCGAAGTCAGCGAGCCCATCGAAGACGTTCAGTACGAATTCAGGTAGGACAATTTTATTTTGTATCCATTCTTCTTCTAATGCTCCAGAACCATTTAGAATTGTCTATAGCCATTTACAACGCTGCCAGAACCATTTAGGACTGTCCAGAATCATTTAGAACTGTGTAGAACCTTTTTAGAACGCTTCAAACCGTGTAGATCTGTCTAGAATCATTTAAAACGCTCCAGATCCATTTAGGACTGTCTAGAACTATTAAGAACTCTCTAGAATCATTTAGAACGCTCCAGTATAATTAAGAAAGTCAACAAATCGTAGTTAAAACGTGTCAACTACAAAGAGCGGAATTTTGAGATTAACGATATGGCAACAACACATCGGCAATTCATCTAATCAATTAACATTGACACTAGGGACATTTTGAACTGCATGGAAATTACTAAAAACGACGTCATTGTATCATTTTATAACGTACGAACTTTACAATTATTTTGTTTGCAATAATTTCAGAATGTTGCCGACGGAAGTGTGGGTGGAAGAACCTGTCGAAAAGACCGAATACAAAGTCATCACGGAAGAGAAGAAAGTACCGCAGGTGAAAGCCCTCTATCCGTTCGACGATCACGGCCTGAGCATGCTCAAAGGCGAAATCATGTTTCTGCTGAACAAAAGCAACCCGGATTGGTGGTGCGTGCGCAAAGCGGACGGTACCGATGGCTTCGCTCCAGCTAATTACGTCGTCGAAATCGAGCCGAGGATCATCCACATCAACATCAGGAAACCCGAGGTGGTGAAGACCGTGCAGAAAGTGAAGAAGACCAAAATGGTCAAGACGAAGGTTCCCGTGAAGGTTCGTTTATTAGCTTTTATCCCGCGCGTTTCTTCATTAGGTTTTTTTTTAATTTACCAGCAGGTGATGAAGCAATTGAATCGCGCTCCGAAGAGAAAACTAGACGACAGCGACAGCGTGCCAAAGAGACAGAAGAACATTAACGATTCCTACAAGCAACTTCAGGAATTGTCTGCCAAGCGGCAAGCCCTTCTGTTGGACGCCGTTAAACTATTCACCTTTTACAAAGAATGCGACGATTTCGAAAAATGGATCAAAGACAAGGAAAAGCTACTCGCCACCGACGATCCGGCCGACAGCATCGATCAAGCCAAGAGAAAATACGAGGTAAGCAAATTTGTTCTACTGGTCACTTCCGCGATAACCGTACCATCTTCGATCCCGCAGAAATTCCTCACCGACCTCTCGGCGAGCCAAAAGCGCATGGACGCCCTGGACGCCGACGTCGCGGCGTTCGAACGCCAAAACCACTCGCAAATCGACAAAGTGAAGATCAGACAGCGGCAGATCCAAGCCGCCTGGCAGCACCTGAACCACCTCAAGGCCGACAAGGAGAAGAGCCTCGAGGGCGCCAGCTCGGTGGAATTGTTCAACAAAGTGTGCGAAGAGGCCAAGGACTGGATGCTGGAGAAGATGGACCAGCTGGACACCGCCGTGCTGGGCCACGACTTGAAGACCATACAGGCGTTGCAGCGGAAACACGACAACTTGGAGCGCGAGCTCGCCCCCATCGGAGAGAAGGTCAACAAGGTCAATCTGTTGGGGAATTCCGTGCAGAGCGCCTATCCGAACGAAAGAACCAACGTTATCAAGCAGCAACAGGACATCGACGATCTTTGGAGGAAGGTTAAAGACAAGGCGTTGGAGAGGAGGACGAGAATCGAAGATGCCGTGGGCCAACAGATATTCACTAATAGCTCCAAGCATCTTTTGAATTGGGTGGCCGACATCAAGAAACAACTCAACGCTGATAATGTCGTAAGGGACGTCCAAACGGCCGAAGCTTTGCTTAAAGCCCATCAGGATTTGGCGCAAGAGATCAAAGCGAAAGACGATGAGTATGTATTTTTTTATTAATGGTTGTTTGAACAAAGGTAATGATGAACTTCAGTGAGTTTGCGCAAAGTTTGTGCAAGCGTACAAAGTTTTGTTCCTTTGTTGGAAGCCACTGTCGTATAATAACAGGTACGGATACTCCTGTGTAAAAGGTGTTGCGGATGATGCGACTCTAGAATCATTTAGAACGCTCCAGAACCATTTAGAACTGTCTAGAATCGTTTAGAACGCTCAAGAATCCAGAATAGTTTCCAGACCTGTTTAATATACGACCGTGGTTGAAGTTAATCTATATAATCTACAAAGAAAATATCGTTTTTAATATTTCAGACAAGATTTTATGTGGAATAAATTTTCCTATGCTAAATTACTCCGGTCGTTCGAAAGTTGTCTCAAAGTTTTCACTCAGTAAGTTAAAATTGAGTAGAAAATTACGCAAAGTGCCAGTTAGTAGAGCATTTAGAGGCGACTAAATGTTAGAAATATACATAGAGAAAACGTTAGAAATTAATTTATATGTATTTTAATCAATATACTACATTAACTTCTTCAGTATTAGTGCTATGAAAGTGCAATAGTATATTGTTTAAGCATTATTTGTAAAACTTGTATTCGAGCGTTTTCACACTCTACTTTTAAAAGGAAGTAAAATTAATTTACTTCCTTTTTACTAATAATAATATGTAAAATACCAAGCTGTCTAGTTTAGCGAGTAGTTTGCTTGATTTTTCGTCTTTCTACAGATCTGTAAACGGACACACTTAAATTTACTTACGCCCATATTTACCAATTTCGGCTTATCAACCTGATAACTGTCAGTCTGATAAAATTTAACAGTCGGTTAACAATATTTGTTATTACATACCACGATATTTTATAGTTTATATGTCAAATTTGTATATTTGAAGAAGTAAATAACTATAATAACCTGTATTCCAGCGGTTAATCCATCTAACCGAATCTTTCTTCAATCTGAGCCTATTTTAAAATTCTATTTCAGAATATTTCTTTCTATTTAGTATCTATTTTCCATCACTATCTTCGCAAGATGAATTGAAAAAATCGCCTGTTATCAGCCTGTTACCAGCCTGTTACTTCCTTTATCAGTTCGATTTTGATCTGTTACTTTTATCCGACTGTTAAGTATTAACCGACATTGGTGAATGCCAAAATATGACGTTAACAGATTGATAAGAACTTACCTCTCTGTTAACAATTCAACAGACATTGGTGCATGTGGACGTTACATACTTATCCACATTCATGTATAATTTTTCATTACTCTAATTTATCTATTCATTTTGTTTATAGGTTTAAGCAAGTGACCGGCCTAGGTCGCAAACTCCTCAAATCCAACTCGGACCTTCCCGAGGTCCAAAACACCATCGACAGGCTGCTGGCAGAGCAAGCCGCCATAGCCAGAGGCTGGAAAGAGAAGAACATCTGGCTGCAACAATGCCTGGAGTTGCAAATGTTTAACAAAGAAGCCGATAATATCGATGCAGTCACTTCAGCCCATCAAGCTTTCTTGGAATTCGCCGATCTTGGTGTAAGTTAACTACAAGAACCAGAAGTTAAAAACGAAACTAGCACACGTTTAGATATTTTTTTAAATATTTGTTACACTTTGAGTTACTGTTTGTTATTGTTGTTTTAATTTCTTAAAGTGATTCACCAATGCCTGTTAAATCGCTAACAGAGAGATAAGTTCTTATCAATATGTTAACGTCATAATTTGGCATTCACCAATGTCGGTTAATACTTAACAGTCGGTTAAAAGTAACAGAGCAAAATCATCGACAGTTAGGAAAACTGTCTGTTTACTATCAGTTACTTCATATATCGTGGTGAATAACAAATATTGTTAACCGACTGTTAAATTTTATCAGACTGACAGTTATCAGGTTGATAAGCCGAAAGTGGTGAATATTGCGCAGGCGTAAAAGCGCAGGCAGTGAAAAAAAAGTCTCTTTTAGAACTCTCTGGACGAGGTTGAGGCTTTGCATAAACAACACAGGGCTTTCGCTAACACACTGGCAGCTCAAGATGATCGTTTGACCGCTTTCGCCAAAAAGGCTGACGCTCTAATAGCTGAGCAGCATTACGATGCTCAAGGGTAAAGTATTTAAGCTGTTTCATCTAATTCATCATTTTCCCTAATTTTTTATACAGGGCGGCACATTAGTATGGAATAGCTCAATATATCGGTTATTGTAGGAGATATCAAAAAAACTTCATTACAAAAGTTGTAGATCTTTTTAAGCTGCATATTTCAAAATTAGTTACATTTACACAGTGTCCCGTTTTTCCTTGGTAGACCAAGTTTACCACCCTGTAGAAACTAAATATCATTACCAGCAAATATTATTGAAGAACTTTCATTTCTTATTAAACATACTACGTGGATAGGGTGAAAAATTCTCGGCCAGAATTATTTAGAACTGTCTAAAACGATCCAGAATCATTTGGAACTGTCTAGTATCATTTAGAATGCTTCAGAACCATTTAGAACGCTCCAGAATTATTTAAAACTGTCTCGAAATAATGATTTCGACAATAAGTACGGTTTCATTATCGGGCCTAGAACTTTTCACCTTACCCTTGTAATGTGCCACCCTGTACAATACATACAGGTTACCTTAAGCATATCACATTCTGATCGACTTGTTCATATTTGTAGCATCGAAGATAGGCTCAATCAGGTCCTGGACAAGCGACGAGCCGTCAAAGAGGCTTCCCAAAAACGAGCGGACGTGCTCGACGCCTCTAAAAACTACCAGGAATTCTGCGCCGAAGTGTACGACTTGCGTGCCTGGATGGCCGACAAGCTCAAGACCGCCTCCGACGAAAACTACAGGGACCTGTCGAATTTAGAGCGAAAGATACAGAAACACGAAGCGTTCGAAAGAGAATTGAGGTCCAACGAGGGCCAATTGAGGACCATCTCTAAATTGGGAGTGGCGTTGATCGCTCAGGACAGCTACAAGAAGGACGAAGTCGCCAAAACGTTGCAGGAATTGAACAGGGAATGGCAACATTTGGTCGACACTTCGTTGCAGAAGGGCAGGAAGTTGCGACAGGCCGTTACGCAGCACGAATACAACAAGAGCATCGACGATGTTAAGACGAAACTGTCGGAGATTGGCGAGCATTTGAGCAGTAAGAACGTCGGTACTGATTTGAGGTAAATAAAACGCATAATTTTATTATCGGTGTTTAATCAGAAGATATACTAGGTGTTGATTAATTGAGTGCCGATAGTGCCGATAGTGCCGAATTAACACCGTGTATAACACAGTTCAATGTCGACTTCACGCGACTCATATTTTCAGATCATGCCGGGAGTTGATCAAACAGCACGATTCCATCGAAAACGAATTGGCCACGTGCAGCTATCGCATCGACGAGCTGCAAAGCCAAAGTCAAAATCTCAACGAGGAGGGCCACTTCGATTCGAAGGCGATCAGCCAGAACGTCGGCGACATACAGCAGGCCATGAAGGACCTGCACGCGCCCGCGAAGGACAGACGAGCCATCCTGGAGGAGTCCCTCGAATTCCACAAGTTCGGTTTCGCCATCGACGCGGAACTGCAATGGATAAAGGAGCATTTGCCGTTGGTGTCGTCGCACGATTCGGTCCAGAACTTGCACCAAGCGCAGAATTTGTACAAGAAGAATAAGAAATTGCAAGCCGAGATCGTCGGCCATCAGCCGGTCATCGATAAAACCCTGGAAGACGGTCAAGCGTTGATTGAAAAGAACCATCCGGAAAATCAACAAGTACGTATAGTAATGGCGTTTTAAATTAGTTTATTAACATCGATTTGTAGATTCAAAACCTTTGCGATACATTGCAAGACGCTTGGCAAGATTTGAAAAACAAAGCGGACGAAAGGGCGCACGAATTGAACTTGTCGCTGAAAGCCCAACAGTTCTTCTTCGAAATAAACGAGGTGGAATCCTGGCTTAATGAAAAAGACAACGTTTTATCTAGTACAGACTCAGGAAGAGATAGAGACGCTGCCACGAAGTTGCTGTCAAAACATAAGGTAATTAATTGTTAGGAGGTTAAACTACCATCTGTTTAGAACGCTCTAGAACTATTTAGAACTGTCTAGTACAGACTTAGGAAGAGATGGAGACGCGGGAAATACGGGAAATCTAATTTGAATCTAAATTGAAAACAACACTCGAACGTTTATTTTTATTTTTAGGCATTGGAACTAGAATTAGATACTTACAATAACATAATATCGGAAATGGGTCACGGCGCGCAAGCGATGATCAAATCGGGTCATCCGAATTCGAAGCAAATAGACGAGAGACAAGCGGGCGTCGAACATCTGGCAAGGTCTATACAAAGGAAAGCCATTGCCAGACAACAGAAATTGATGGAATCCCTTTTCCGGCACGAGTACTTCGTCGAATCCGGAGAATTGGAAAGCTGGATAGCGGAAAATCTGCAACAGGCGTCTTCCGAGGATTACGGACAGGATTACGAGCATCTATTGGTAAGTTAATAAATACCTTTTGACGAAAAAGTACCCGGAACATTTTGATTTAAATTAAATACACTTAATTTGTAGCAATTACAAGCCAAATTCAACGATTTAAAGTTAAGAGTCGAAGGTGGCTCCGAAAGGTACAAACAATGCGAAGATTTGGCGCAGAAATTACTAGCTAGTGAGAGCCCGTACAGTGCCGAAGTCAAAGAGAAGCAATTTAAATTAGAGTAAGTACTCGCCTTGTACTGTTTTAAAGCAATAGTATAAGTGCAGGTTTGTTTGCAATATGGTCAATTTGAGAACAATTATGAGTAAAACAAAGAAATCATTGCACTAGTACATTAGTTTACATTTAGAACTTTCCAGGATGATTTAGATTTGTCTAGATCCATTTAAAACGCTCAAGAACCATTTAGAACTATCTAGAATCATTTAGATTTGCTTAGAACAATTTAGAACGCTCCAGATTCATTTAAAACTGTCTCTAACCATTTAGAACGCTCCAGAGACGTTTAGAACTATCTGTAACAATTTAGAAAGCTCTAGAATCATTTATAACGCTCCAGATTAATTTAGAACGCTCCAGAATAACTTAAAACTGTGTAGAACCATTTAGAACGCTTTAGGACCATTTAGAACACTCCAAAACCATTTAGAACGCTGCAGAATCATTTAGGACTCTTTAGAACCATTTAGAACTGCCCAGAACCATTTAGACCTTTCTAAAACCATATTGCGTACAAAATTTGCGCTTGTTTGCACATTTTCGAAACGAAACCATTAAATAATACCTGCGTAAAATTAGGGAAGCATGGCACAACCTCCAGGATCAGCTGAATTCGAGAGAGGCGCGTTTAGAGGCGGCCGGCGAAATCCACCGGTTCCACCGCGACGTCGCCGACGCCTTGCAGAGGATCCAAGAGAAGAACGCCGCGCTCGGTACGCACCTCGGTCGCAACCTAAACGCGGCGCTGACGTTGCTGAGGAAACACGAAACGTTCGAAAACGAACTGGTAGTGCTGGAGATTCAGCTCCAAGTGCTGGTAGAAGACGCCTCGAAATTGCAAAACCTCTATCCTACGAACAGGAGCAACATCCAGCAACAGCAGGAATTGGTCGTCGAGGCTTGGAACGATCTGAAAGAGAGGGCCGATCTGAGGAAAGATCAACTGCAAGCCAGCGTCGATCTCCAGAAGTTCCTGGCTCAGGTTAGAGATCTCTCCAACTGGGCGAACGGGTTGATTTTAACGATGAACGCCGAAGAGAACATCAAGAACGCGTCGAGAGTGCAAGTGGTCAAAAGCGAGCATGAAGCGCTCAAGAGCGAGATCGAAGCCAGAGATGAAGATTTCAAAGAAGTCGCTGAAAATTTAACGGCTATGGAACAAACGGGTCACTATGCAGCGGCAGAGGCGGTGGAAAAATACAAACAACTGATGGAAGAGAAAGACAAACTTCTCACCACGTGGCAACTGAGAAAAATCCACCTCGACCAACTCTGCGACCTTCTCATCTTCCTCAGGGAAACCAAGCTGATCGAGGACGCCACCAACGCCCAGGAAGCCGCTCTGAACCACGTGGAAATCGGCGAAACCGTCGACGAAGTCAGCAACCAATTGAAGAAACACGAGGAATTCGAAAAGTTGCTGCAAGTGCAGGACAAAAACTTCGAAGCCTTGCTGGCGTCCGGCAACAAACTGCTCAATCAAAACCACTTCGAGAGCCCGCAAATCGCTCAGAGATTGTCGGAGGTGCAGGCGAAGCGGAAGAAAGTCCATCAGTTGAGCGACGCCAAGAAGAAACACCTCGCCAACGGCTTGCTGTACACGGAATTCATCAGAGACGTCGCCGAAACGCAATTGTGGATCGCCGAGAAAGAGAAGAAGCTGAGCGCCATGAGCAAATCCGAAGTGTCCGATCTGGAGGATAAGATCAAGGTGTTGCAGAAACACCAAGCGCTGCAAGCCGAAGTCGTCGCCAATTCCGGCAGAATCCAGGAAATCAAACACAACGGCGAAACGCTGATAAGAAAGAACCACAAGGCCTCCCAAGACATCGCCGATCAACTGGCGGACCTGGAGCACGCTTGGAGGAGGCTAAACGAAGAAGTGGATCTCAGAGGAAAGGGCTTGGAAGAAGCCCAAGACATCCTCGAGTTCAACACCCAATTGGACAAAATCGAATCGTGGATCAGAGACAAAGAAGTGCTTTTGCAAGCCGGAGACACGGGAAAAGATTACGAACATTGCCAGTTGTTGCAACGCAAGTTGGACGACGTCGATAGCGACATGAAAATCGACGATACCAAAATCAAAACCATCACGTCCCTGTCTAACAAACTAGCGCCGCAAGGACACCCGCACGTCAGAGAAAGAGGCGACAACTTAATCAAGAAGTGGCACTCGTTGCAAAAAGCCCTAAACGATTACAGGAAGAAATTAAACGCCGCATCCGACATACATCTCTTCGACCGCGACGTTGCCGATACTCTCGATCGAATCGCCGAAAAATGCGCCATCATGGAATCCACGGAGGTCGGTCGCAACCTAACAGCAGTCGAAGCACTCCAGAGGAAACAGGAAGCTTTAGAAAACGAAATATCCGCAGTCGAAAACAAAATAGTGAACGTCCATCAGAAGGACGCCTTACACCTCAGCACCAAATACCCCCAGGCTACTCCTCATTTGGAGGAAACGCTAGGCGTGCTGCAAGAGCAAATGGAGAAACTCTCGGCGGCCAAAGCGACGCGAAGGGATTTACTCCAAAAGGCGCTGGCCCAAGAAAAGTTTTTGACCGACGCCAAGCAACTGGAGCAATGGGTGCTTGAAACCGTCAAGCGAATGGAGTCCCAGGAGAAACCCAACAGCGTTGCCGACGCCGAGGTCCAATTGGAGCTCCACAACGAGCTCAAAGCGGAGATTAACGGCAGAGATAAAACGTTCCAAGAACTAATCCACTACGGCAAAAACTGTCCGGAGAAAGACGACCCTAAGATCGTCGAAAACGTCGCCAAACTCGAGGATTTGCAGAAGACCATTCACGACGCGTGGGACGACAACAAGAACAACTTAACGCACTCATTCGACGTGCAGATATTCAACGAGCAAGTCAACCAACTCAACAACTGGCTGGCCACTAAAGAAGCCTTCTTGAACAACGACGACGTCGGCGACACCCCCAGGGCCGTGGAAACCCTCCTGAGAAAGCACAACGACTTCGAAACCATGCTCGAAAATCAACTGGGCAGAATCGACGAACTCGAAGCCGGAGCCAAAGGAATCACAGCCGACCCCAAGAGAACTAACGAAGAAGTCACCAGCAAACTGGACGCGGTGCTCGCCAGGAAGGATAAATTGATAACGAAAGCGAAACAACGAAAGGATATGTTAGAGAAATCCAAATCGTTGCAAGCTTTCTTGAGGAACGTGAACGACGTGGAGACTTGGTTGAACCAGAAACTCCAAACGGCAGCCGACGAGAATTACAGGGAACCCATCAACCTCCAAAACAAGATTCAAAAGCACGCCACGTTCGAAGCCGAGGTCATCGCCAGCGGCGAGAGGATCCAAAACGTCGTGGAAGTGGGCAAGGATCTCATAGCGGCCGATCACTACGCCGCCACCGAAATAGGAATCAGACTGGACGAGCTCGAAAACGACTGGAAGCACCTGCTGGAGCTCTCCACGCTCAAGCGCGACCGACTCAACGAGGCCTGCCAAGCGCTGCTCTTCAACCGATCCTTGGACGAGTTCGAAACGTGGCTGACGGAGGTCGAGGGCCAGCTCAAAATCTCCAGCGTCGAGAGCGATCCGAGCTCCGCGCAGAACATGCTCAAGAGGCTCGGCGTGCTGGAGAACGACATTCAACAGCACGCGGAGAATTGCGAGATTATCAACGAGGGGGCCGAGCAGTTCAAGAAGGGCGGGCACTTTCTGGCCGACGAAATCGACGAAAGGGTGCAGAAGGCCATAACGCGCTACCACGAGCTCAAAGAACCGCTGGAAGTCAAAAAGGATCAGCTCGAACTGTCGTCCAAGTTGCAGCAGTTCGTGAGAGACGTCGCCGAGGAGCTGCAATGGTTGAACGATCGCGAACCTATCGTTGCCTCGCAGGACTTGGGTCGGAATTTAACGGCCGTTCAAAATCTGCAGAAGAAGCATCAAATACTCGAAAGCGAACTAACGTCGAGAGGAACCATCATCGAATCGTTGGTCGTCAGAGCGGATCAATTGATTAGAGCGGGTCACCCGTCGGAGACGGTGATCAAAACCAAAACCGAAGAACTCCAGGTTAAATTGGATCAAGTTAAGGATCTGGCGAGCATCCGGAGGCTCAGGCTGCAGGATTCCCTCGAAGCTCAAGCGGTAAATATTTCTACATTTAATTCTTACTTAATTACTCGTAATGTATTCTAATTTTAGTTCTACCAAGACGTGTCGGAGGCAGCCGCTTGGATCTCCGAGAAGAGACCGCTTCTCGCCACGAAAGAGGTGGGCAAAGACGAGGATACAGCCAGATCTCTGCAACGAAAACTGGAATCGTTGAGCATCGAAGTCAGAACATTCCAAACGACTATACAAAAATTGGGCAATGTAGCCGATATGCTCGTGGCTAGGAATCACTTCGACGCGCACAATATTGAACAAGCAAAAGTAAGTAATACGACTCGATTATTTGTTATATACAGTCGGTGCAAAATAAAAATATCAATGCACATTACTATCAATGTACATTACTATCAAACATTTGGTCTCTTAGTTGCAATGTGTTTGCAACTCAATTATTTTTAATATACGCTAATTACATTTTAACGCAGATGAATTTGCAACGAGACTTCGGAGAACTGAGAAAATTGGTATCGGAAAGGGAAGTGCGGCTGGCCGAGGCCTTGCAGTATTTCGGTTTCATCAACGAATGCAACGAAGTGCAGGACTGGATGAAAGAGCAAATGAACAAGGCCGATTCCGAGGAGTACGGTAACGATTTGGAGCACGTGGAATTGCTCATTCAGGCGTTCGACAGCTTCCACACGAGCCTAACAAACAGCGAACCCAGAATACAACAGTGCATCGAAAACGGTGAGGAAATTAATTTCGCGTAATGGCGGGTGCAATTAAACGTTTTATACGAATTACAGGGCACTTCATAATCGACGCTAAGAGCAGTTACAGTCCTGATATACAGCAAAAAATTATAGAGCTTCAGAATTCTTGGGAGGATCTTTTAGAGCTGGCGAATGCCAGGAAAGAGGCTTTAGCGGGAGCCAAACAAGTGCATCTTTTCGACCAGACCGCCGACGAAATAATATCCTGGATTAAAGAGAAAGATACCGATGTTATTTATGGAACATACGTTCCAGATGTTGAGGTAAGACTTTATCATTTTTAGGTTTGTTCTAACTACTATTATCTGTAATGTAAACGAACGTTAAATTTGATAATTGCGTTAGGTTATTGAAGATATGATGCGCAAACACCAAGCCTTAGAAACTGAGATAAAGGCCATTAAAGATAAGGTCGATTTCGTGGAACTGGAAGGAGACCGATTGATCGCCGAATTTCCCGACACGAGAGAACATATCGACGATAAAAGAGAAGATACAGTTAGTTCCCTCGAAGATCTTCTGGCGAAAGTAGAGAGGCAAAAATACTTCTTGCAGCAGAGCGAGCAATTGCAATCCTACTTCGAGGAGTACCAAGATTTATTGTAAGTACAACTCTTATTTTCCCCGTATTCAGAAGTTTTCAGAAGTTTAGGACACTTCAGAACCATTTAAAATTCCTGTTTAAACAGGATATAAAATTCGGAAATATTTAATCGTTGGTTACAAAACCATTTGGTATCTAGAATCACACGTAACTATTTCTTCCAGAGCTTGGATAAACGAAATGCTGGCGAAAATAACAGCGCCCGATCTCCCACAAGATTGCAACGAGGCGGATCTCCTGCTGGTAAGACACAATGAATACAAGGCCGAAATAAACAGCCGTCTGCCGGCTTTCAAGCAATTCTACGAAACGGGCTTGGCCTTCATAGAAAAAGGCCACGCTCTGTCCCAAGAAATCGAAGACAAAATCAGGATACTCCAACAGAAGATCGATCTGTTAAACAACACGTGGGAGAAGAGGAACCTGATATACGAACAAAACCTGGATCTCCAGCTGTTCAAACGGGAAGCGGCCACCCTGGAAAACTGGATAGTGGTGCGCGAAGGCGTCGTGAAAGATGGAAAAGTCGGAGACACCATAGGTCAAGTTGAGGAGTTTATTAGAAAGCATCGCGACTTCGAAGAGACCATCAAGGCGCAGGAGGATCGATTCAACGCCTTGAGGCGGCAGACTTTGGTCGAGGACGCGTTCGCTCAGCAAAAGAAGCAAGAGGCTCTGGCCAAGAAGGCGGAGAAAGAGCGGCTGGAACTGGAGCGATTGGAACGGATGAAATTGAAGGAGAAGGCCAAATACACGGAAATGAGGCGACAGGAAACTAAAGATTCACCAAGGTACGTACATTATTACATTAAATTTATCCTTCTACAGTTGGTGCAAAACAAATATCAATGCACGCCACCTATGATTTACTATGTGACTATGGACGCAAAATGAGTTGTTTTTTAAACATTTCACTTTGTTTTTAGATTTAGTAATCTCTCGGACGACACCAGACCGAACTTGACCGTAGAGGAACCCAACGATTCGACCAATTCCGTAACCGAGAATAATAACATATCGATCAGGAAAACCAATTCGATCGCTCACATGTTCGACCGAGACAGGATAAGGAGAGGCTCCGATGTGTCCGTCAAACGAGCCGAAAGTATGAAAGTCGCCGGAACAGCCAAGCCAGTAAAACGGACTCCATCGTTTAATACCAGACGACGTGGATCAATTCGATCTAAAAATGCAGGTAGGAATTATACAAAAACATCATATTGATTCATTGAAATGCAACCTACCCTTTTTGGTGCAGTTTATTGTTGGTTGTCATTCAGAACTGTCTAGAACAATCTGGAACGCTCCAGAATCATTTAGAACGCACTAGATTCATTTAGAACTGTCTGGAACCATTTAGAGCGCTTCAGATTCATTTAGAACGCTCCAGAATCATTTATAACTATCTAGAGCCACTTAGAACTATGTAGAATCATTTAGAACTATCCATAATCATCCCTAAACATTTAGAACTCTAAATGTTTCTCTAAATGCAAAATCATTTAGAACTATCTAGAACCATTTAGAAAGCTTCAGAATTTAGACTGTCCATTTAGAAATAGAACAATTTAGAAATATCAGAATCATCTAGAACTCTCCAGAATCATTTAGAACTCTTTAGAACCTTTTGGAACTCTCTAGAATTATTTAGAACTATCTAGCACATTTTAGGGCTCTCCAGAATCATTTAGAACTGTCTAGCACAATTTATCACTCTCTGAAATCATTTTGAGCTGTCTAGAACCATTTCGAACTGTCTAGAGAGCCATTTAGAATTATTTCGGACTCTCCAGAATCATTTATAACTATCTAGAACCATTTAGAACTGTCTAGAACCATTTAAAACACTCCTGAATCATTTAAAACGCTTTAGAACTATTTAGAATGCTCAAGAATAATGACCAGTGTTGGACAAATTAAAGGAACTAGTCGTGTTGAATTTTTTCGTGTTTTGTAAAATTTGTAATTCGTAAAAAAATATAAACTGATAAATTTGCAAATGGCGTTATCGTACTCGTCGTTTCAGAATTAGTCCTGCCGCCGGTGGAAGCGGAAGCGTTCTTGGAGCGAAAGCAACTCCTGTTGCCGGGCCAGAAGCGAGCGACCAGCCGCAACTGGAAGAACTCCTACACCGTCCTCTGCGGGCAATTGCTCTGCTTCTTCAAGCACAAGGACGACTTCGCGGCGAGCAAGGCGAACGCGCCGCCGCTCAACATCCACAACGCCGCCTGCTCGGTGGCCGACGACTATCAAAAGAGGAAGCACACCTTCCGGTTGACCGTCACCGACGGCTCGGAGTTCCTGTTCGCGTGCAACTCCGAAGTGGACATGATGGATTGGATCAACAAGATCACGTTCCGGGCGAAGTTGCCGCCGGCGCACCAGCTGCAGAACTTCGAAGTGACTAAAGTACGCCGCGATTGCTACGCGTCGAAGGTTGTTTCTAAGTTTTTTTGTTCGTTTTGTTTTAGGACCACAACGAGTTCGAGTTGAGCTCGCAGTCTAGCAGAACGTCGAGTCCGGATGTGGGCGATGTCGTGCTGAGGCACGATCCGAATCATTCGACGAACGGAAGCGTGTCTTCGTCTAGTACTTCTTACAGACATACTATAGGTAAGAGTGAGTTTTTATTTATTTTGTACATTCGTTTTTATTAAAAAATGTTAATAAGATAAATAAGGAAGGGCAAATATGCAATATCTATTTTTTGTTTATTTGGTATATTTTATGCATTTTTCCGATGATTTGCATATTTAATAAGGAAACTGCATGTTTTGCATAATTTAAAAAATTGAAGAAATGTAACAAAACAATAAAAAGGAAAAACATGAAAAAAATAAAAAAAAAAACATGATAAAATGTGGAAAACCATGAAAAAAGTGAAAATAAACACGATAAAATGTGAAAAAGCATAAAAAATGGAACATGGAAAAAGTGACAAAACATGGAAAAAGTGGAAAAACTTGAAATAAAGTGAAAAAATATGAAAAAAGTGACAAAATATGGGAAAAATAAACAAAAAAATATGAAAAAATTGGAAAAAAACATAAAAGAAATGGAAGAAACATGGTAAGAAAGTGAAAAAACATGGAAGAATTAAAAAAATATGAAAAAAGTGGAAAAACATAAAAAAATGGAAAAACATGAAAGAAATGGAAGAAACATGGCAAGAAAGTGACAAAACATGGAAAACTGGAAAATTCACAAAACCTTTTATTAGAAAATTTCGAGAGATAGTTGATACTGTATTGTTATGAAAACCAAGTAACTACCAAATGTGAAAATGTGCCTATTTAAAATATTGTTGTTTACACTATTTTAATGTAATGTTTTATCTCATCAATATTGGTTTATTTATACGCATGTTTCTTTTGATTTTATTTGCATATTTGCCTTTCTCTAATGATAAATATTTGAAATATGAAGAGATATTGTTCAATTTTAATATACTTTTAGTTCGATTTTAACATTTTTTAACAGTAGAAATTATTTGTGGACAAATATTAACCTTCCATAATTTTTTCTATACTTATGGAGAGTGTAATTGATTTTCTAACGTAATATTTTTCGCCGTTTCAATTTGTATGTTCATCAAAAATTTTATCATAAAATCCGGTTCATATTTGATTCGCCCTCGTATAAGGTAAAACTTATAAATTTTGCGTATTACTTGGAATTCAAACTAAATTCAATTACACCTCTATCCACTAATAAAATGAAAGGTTTTAAACACACTTAAAAATCTGTATAAATACGAGTTCTAATTAATAAATTTAGGAGGAGGAAGTCCACCGCCTTTACCGCCGAGGATGATAGACGTTCCGCTGGGATACGATTCGAAAACTCAAACATCAGAAAGTAGTGGAAGTGTATATGGTTAGTTTATAGAATTTTTGGGAGACCTGTTACTTTATACTTTTTATATTAGAATTTCTTACTTTTACGCTTCTCGGAATTATTCTTTCTCTCTAAAGCTTTTTCCAGCATTTCGGTATTGGGTTTCGGTTGGAAGTATGTATAGGTGATTAAAAATAATTAGATGTAACGAAAATATTTAACATCGTTCTTTTCACGTGTGTAACATCGATTTAGGTGCAAGAAGTATATGCTTACTCGGTATACAAGGTTTATGGATATAAGGAATGCTCTTTCTGATCTCTATTAAATTTGTTTCTTCGTTATTTCATGCTTTACAGTGACTACTGGGTGTCCCGCAGTAGAACCAACACAGAACAGGGGAGTGTAGAGGAGTCTAAAATATGTTGTGTAACCCCCAACTTAAAATTAATACAGCCAACTTTTGAATTATCGACGATTTTAAGTAACGTTGATAGTGTAGTACATGACTTTATTTTTTAACATTTTCCATCAAAACGACAAAAAACTTTAAAAAAATAACAAGAATAAAAAAGTTTTAAAATGAAATTGCTTATGAAATGAACTAATAATTTTTTTAATCATCCATCCAATCAAAAATTCTGTGACATTTTAAGGGAGTATCATCCTTGAAGAATCCTTTAAAATACATTAATTGAGCTCTTAGTAAACTCATAACTAATACCAAATTTAGTTGTTTTAAGTTCGAGGTTTGCTGAAAGATTAATTCTTTATTTAATTTGTAACTCCACTTTTGAAGGCCTCTAACTTCTCAGGAATGTAGCTTTGTAACTTTGTATTCAGTTGTGTTAAACAACATATTTTGTACTCCCCTACACGCCACTGTTCTGTATCGGTTCCTATGCGAGACACACCCTGTATATTGCGTATTTTTCAATAGGAGCAGTCTGAAAAACTTGTACTCAATCAACTTGTACCATAATGATTTGTACATACATACATAATAGGATCTGTTATTAATCTTTAATGGTAGATATTGAACCTTCTGTAACTTTGCGCAAGCGTAGAGCAGTTCAATACCATTCTTCTTGTATACAACTTCTCAGATTACTCCTACGTACAAAAGATATTTCTATACCTACCTGTTTGATATAATTTATTTGGTAAATTTCTAATTTATTTAATTCATTCCAGAGGGTTACGATAACTCGTCGAGACAGGATTGGCACCAGAGGCCGCTGAGTTCGCCGGACTCGAAGGATTCCAAAAACATGTCGCACCGAATTAGGGACTTGTTCGGCAGGAAGAAACGGAATTCCCAAATGTAATTTAATTTTCTTTGTTGAAATGTAAATAATTTGCAAATGTTTGTAACACGCAGAACCGTTGTTGACCAAATCAAGAAGCCTTATCCCATGCAATATTCTGTAGCGTTTAAGTATTAAAAGGAATATTGAACAAAGTACTTATCACTCGTGCAATTTCCGGTGTAGTATACGTACTTTTGGAATATTTTTTTAGGAATTAAGTGTACAAGAATGTGTTGTTCTTGTATTAATTATATGTATATCGTTTTTGTAATGATTTAGGAAGCTCTTAATAATGTTAAAATATATTTTACATATTAAATGACAAATTATTGGACGTAATAATTTATATTATCTATAGTTAAAGTAAATCTAAGGTATTTTTTTTTTGTTAGTTTACTCAGTTTATTGTTTTTGTATTAATTTATGCGGTCTTGAAAGTTACCCTGCGACATTAAGCAAAAAGACAAGACGTATATAATAAATGTGTAATTTGTTATTTTACTTTTATTAATTTTTATTGTCTTTGAACAAACTCGCATTATGGTAATCGTAATTTAATTGTAACATTAAATTTTGGTTGTGCTTATAGTTTACATTTTTTAGGTCCTTTGTTCTTTATTTCATTATTTTTGAATATATTTCATGTTTTATATTTACGATTATGTCTTTTATTGTATTGAAATAAAGTTGTACCTACATTTTTGATAACTTGTTGTTTTTCTATACAGGGTAATTCGCAGAGAATGAGACAACAGCAAAAGTAAGAATATTATAGATTACACAATTTCTACAGATTAATTTGACTCTCGATTTAAAAAAGTAGTGGTAATTAGAGCATCTTAGCGAAATAAATTCATTTTATTTCGTTAAATTTATCATTTCAACGACCGGTAAAGTTGCATCACCTGGTAATTATGTTTTCTGTAAATTATTTATTTGAACTACAGTGTGTTCTTTTAGCCACACATACATTTGACCGGGAGTAGCATTGATGTATAAATTGTGGTGCGTTGAATTTTGATCAGTTTTCCTTAAGAAGTCATATGACTAATGAAGACACGTAGGTATGTGTAGAAAGTGAAATTGTAAAGTGCATCTATTATTGGTAAGTAGATTTATGCAGGACAAATAAAATACATTTTAATAGTTTTTTATGGAGAAATATGCAGTGTGTTTTTTAATAACAAGCTAATACTGAAGGGGGTGGTTCTTGGACGTGTTTCTTTTTTTAAGAAATAAACTTCATATGAAAATATGTCCTAAATCTAAATTTTATTATTACCTAATTTCTGCACAGCGGCTAATGCAGCTGAAGCGTACAAATGAATGCATTTAATTTTTTTTGTGCGAAACGGTGAGTCGTACGAAAAAAAATCAAGAAATCAAATTTGTTCAGAAAGCAGTGGCGTACCACTTTTACCCTCAAAAATATTTGGCCCCAGTCCAGCACGGACGCCACTGTTGGAAATAAAAAAATGTTTTTTAGGTCAAAAAATGCTCTTTAATGCATAAACGCCGTACACCAAATTTCCTAAATATATTAAAACTGGTATGGAAATGACTGCAAAAAATTGTTTTTTTTTTCTTCACTCTGTATCTCAAAAGTTAAGACGTTTAAAACATAGGTTCATTTGAAGTTTTTTTCTTAAAATGGGCCCAAGGATTAGCATGTTATTAAAAAACACCCTGTATATTTTAATACCATCCCTTTGTCCGTTTTATAAAGGTATAAAAATTAAAAAATGAATGGTTCAAAATTTAGTAAAAATACACCTAAATTTCCAATGCAATTTTCCTATTGTTACGATTGTTATTAATTTAGTAATGCATATTGTGAATAATTGCCATTTTACGACTAATTACACACATCATTTCATTTATGCATAAATCAGTAGAAATAACTATTTTAAAAACTGATAAGCTTTTTATTTTGAAAACGATTTCACACTCGAAAATCGTTGGTAAATCAATGAAAATTACTCAATTCGAGTGACTCACTCTGAAATCTACTTCTTTTATGGCTCGAAATATGTTCATGGTCGTGACCCGTCAAAATAGCCCAAAGACAAAATAGTCGAATCACAAAATATCCAGACACAAAACAGTTCCGGTTAAATTAACAATCAAGCATTTTATTTATTAGATTTCTAGAGTTTCTAAAGCCATTTTTTATTCTGTTCTATTTTCTGGTAAAACTATAACTTATATTTATTTAATGTAATAATAAACTTTTACGAGTAGTTGCATTATTAATAGAGATGTAAATATCATAGATTGGAACATTTTTTCAAATAATATTGAAAAAAATTAAACAACTTCCATAGGTTAGTAACTTAGTATCCTTTGATCTGTAGATGGTTTTGTATACGTAATGTAATCATTTGCCTTCTTTGGTATTTCTTATTTCATTTTATTTAATGCAATTTTATACAGGCTGTATCTAAATAACACGGAAAAAATTTAAGGGGTGAATCTGTGATGAAAATTAAGGTGGTTACTTAGTATATATTTTTTTAAAAAACCATCGCCGGAAAAGTTATACCCCTCCGAAGTTTCAAAAAAATGGTTTTTCTTATTTATTTTCCCTGTATATTAAGCCGAAGACACGAAACTTATTAACGGGGAATATTATTTGTCAATTAAACTATACTTGCCGCGTTTGGAAGACGGAGTAATAAACACATTAATCAGCCGAAGTCCACCCGGGGTGTAAACGAGTCGCCGATATCACTCACTCCCCATTGGCCGGCCTAAAAGTTGATACTCTGTGAATGGTTTTGAGTAATTGTAGGCGATGTGCGAAATTTCTATCGATCGAATCGATCATTGTACAGGATTTTGCCGTACAGGGGTAGGGATATTTTGGAACCGCCTGACATTTTTATTACTCCGTCTTCCAAACGCGCCAAGTATAGACATTTTTTCAACCTTGAAGTATGCTTAGAAGGGGTTGAATTAGTCAACCCATAAGACATTTTTTCATACAACTTTTTTTAAGATTTTTAAATTCAATAATGTTTCTTAAATGTGTAAGTACAATTTAAAAAATCACATTTTTCTGCATTTTTCATCTAAATATTATGTATTACTGTATGACTCCATTTCAATAACTCTACTCACGTAAAATACTATTAATTGCAATCGACGAGCCGTCGATATTAAAATAAATTATTTACTCATATAGGTATGACAGAAATATTTGTAATTTTAAATCATTTAATAGATTTTTATAAATAAAACATAATTATTACTTAATAAGGTTAGATGAATTGAACAGTACGAGTTTACAACATGGATTGATTTGCTGAATCTCATTAGGGAGTTATGTTGAAAATTAGTTCTATTTTAGCTCAATAATGTGAGAATTTCTTGTAAAATATACAGATAAAAATTGGTGCAAAACATTATTAGAAAAATATGTTTTTACTAGCACCTTTGCTTGATATTTTTAAACTTCTTAATAATAAATCAGTTATCAAATTAACTGAAAAACTGGTTTAAAATATTTGAACAACTCACAAATTTTTAAACAAATAATAAACGACTAGGAAATAATTTTCTGAAGAAAATTAAAAAATATTTTCAATACACCAAATCTTTAAGAGATTAAATATCATAAAGAAATGAGTATGTAATGTAGGATCATCTACAAAATCCTTGAAAATTCTACAAAATTCGTATCAAAAAATAGGTAAAATCAGAAAGTATATAATTTCGATAAGTAAATAAAATTAATAATCCATTTCTTTAATAAACCTATAAATCTATTATAAATATGTATAAATCTATAAAAAATCTCTATAATTCTGTAATTTTTTTAGGAAATTATTATTACAGAAAATTAAACAAGCAAACAAATTCCTATTAATTTTTATATCGTAAATAAATAAAAAATCCCTTTTAACGATATTCAACTGGAACCGAAATCTGCGTGTACACGCCGGGATGCTAATTGTATTTTTAAAAACCAATTTACGTAAAATTTAATTTTCATGAAGGATTTTTAGTAGACCAAACACACGAAGGTGGTTTATTTATTTCAAACATTAACGTGATATTGTACTGTTTACCTTGAAAAAAAAATCGCGCGTACACGCCGATTAAATGTTTTCGCATTCAATTAAGAAGTTTTATTGAATATTTATTATTATTCAGAGAGAAATCGAAACTTATTTACTAAATAAAATACAAAATAATATCACCGATACGAACAGGGTGACCCAATGAAATGTAGCCCATTTAATCTTATAACTTTTAAGGGTCTATTCGTAAAAACACGCGGTTTTCACAGATATGTTTTGGTACTGTGACAGAAATTATGTATTTCCGGTAGAGAGTGTATCAAAATCTCCTCATACACGTCGTATATGTAGAGGTATTTTGAATATACTCTTCTACTTTTCAAAAATGTATTATTTGTACACGATATTCTATAAAACAAGGTTTCCCATTTTATAAAATTTGGTTAATGTGAATAAAAAAGAGGGAATTTTGGAAATGGGCTGTTTTTCATTGGGACGCCCTGTATGTGACTTAATTAATTTTTTTCTAAAAAATTATTTCCAACATTTTTAAAAACATTTAAAAATGTTTAATTTCATTACCTACTTTCGAGTAGTACAGAAATTAAATTTAAATTACTACTGTTAAGATTTTATTGGATCCATCAAAATTCTCCAATTGAAAATCTTCTTTTAAATTAAAATTCGATAAAAGCAACAAATATTAGAGAACACAATCAATTATTAAATCTAGAAGCTGTTTGTTCAGTAATTTTTTTAAACAAATAGTAATAATTGTTGTAGGAATTTTCCACCTCTTATTTTTTAATGTATAATTAGCGCATCACAATTATAGTGTCAATATGAAATAAGATTAATAGGACAGAACGATAAACTCTAGAAGCTGTTAATAAATTGCTCCTTACCTGCCAATGAACTGATCACAGTGCTTTAAAATTCGCGATAAATCACAATTCTAGTCAAATAGTCTATAAAAAAGTTTAGAACTATATGGGAATATCTACAGATTTAAAAGAAATTGGTTTTGCTGATAAGGTACTGAAACTATAAATTAAAATAAATTACTGATTATGGAAAGTTTGAACCTGTTGTACGTTTGAAAATTCGAATTAGAAAAAAGGTAAGTGTGATATAATTTTTTTACTTATTTTAGAAAAAATAATGGAAAAACACGATGAAGAAAGCCATAACCAAGGCTACAATAACCACGCTTACGAACCATCGGCAAGGGCACCTACCAAAAAAACTGCAGATTCGGATGGAAAAAATGATGGAAAAATTGGTAAAAATAGCTACCACAAAAAGTCGGTGGAAAATAGTAAGTTTAAGATTTTTTAAAATTTCCAAAACGTTTCAAATTGGTTACAGGTTTCAATGCTTTTATTTGAATTATTATTTATAGTGAATAGGTATTTTAAATTTATAGCATGCTAAATTTTGTTTTAGTGGCTCGTAATCGTAAAATCTCAGTTGAAGCAAGTACTAACTCAAAATGCAGCAATCATATTGAGGACCAAAGGTATGTTGTACAAATTATTTTACTTAAATTTCAATTGATAAAATTGGTGGAAAGTTTGTATAAACCTTTAAACGCCAAAATTAAAATTTCAAAACTCACCGATGTTCACGTAGGTTTCAATTGAACTATTAGATATAAAATAATCATTTATAAATGCAAAATTATCCATTATACTTTATAACTTATTTTAATAATATATTATTCAGAGCATAAAGATACTTTTCGCTTGATTGATAACGGTTAAAAAGGAGTAAAAATTTATTCGTCTGAATCAAACGCTTAATGTCGAATTTGTTTTTAATATTGTTTAGTTGATCAAGGTAGAACAAACAAATTTAAAGTGCTTTTTTGTGAATTATAAAATTGGTTATTTTTATAATGGATAAACTTGAAGAAAACGATTCGCTGTTTATACCACATAATAGTGACTTTGTGTTAAATCCTAGACTAAGCTTGATATCACAGGACTCTGAGAAAAGGTACAAACCCTTACTAATCTTTTATTGGAATTTTCAATACTAAATATATTTTCTTTTTTTTAACTGATTACATTAGTTTACAAGGTTTTAAAAAAATCTAGAATATCACTTTACCGAAATATACTATACACTTAAATTTTGTATAATTTTGGATAGTTTTTTTTGTATGATTTTGGGTCGATTTCACGTATTACTATACAGTAATAGTCTCGTATCACACCATTTAGGATCATCAAGAAACAATTAGAATCATTTAGAACTATTTAGAACCATTTAGAACGGTCCAGAAACATTTAGATCTAGAACCATTCAGAACGCTCCAGAATTAAGTGAACAAATGTTTCCTTGAAAACCTTGTGCAGGACAAAAGATTTGACTCCGTTCTTATTTACAGGTCTTGGTGGTACGATTTCTGTCTGAAATTCAGCGCAGAAGACGAGGGAAAAGCGCCTTATCAACCGAACTTATGGAAAAAAATCTGCCCGCAACCCTACGGCTTGTCCTACAGGAAAACCACTAGAATAATTTCCATAGCATTCATCGGCCTGTTCTCTTGGTCCGTTTTGTACGCTATAGTCGGCGACAGCGCCGCCCCGCCTAAAGGCCAGTTATTCCAACTGATCCTGCTCAGCATATCAGCGCATTTCGGGGGCTGGCTGATCAGCTTCACACCCTTACCGGCCCTCGTGGGTATGCTTTTCACCGGAATAGTTTTCCAGAATTTGAATGTCATTAATATTGATGCATCATTCTCGCGGTTAAATAAACATTTGAGGTAATAGAAGTATCCTTGCTACTGATATTGGCCTTAAAAGAGTTCTATTAGTGCTTGTGAGCTTAATAAAATAATGATTGGTTATGGTAAACTTGATAATCTGAGACGTTGTCTTTTTGATTTTCATTTTTAGTGATGTTGCTCTTGTGATAATATTAATTAGAGCCGGTTTGGATTTGGATCCCAAGGTGGTGAAAAAACTGACTTTACCAGTTTTGAAACTATCATTGATTCCATGGATAGTAGAAGCTCTACTGATAATGGTGCTGACGAAGTATCTAATGGGTATAGACTGGAAGTTTGCTGTGCTAGCAGGTTTGATGAACAACGTACATTTTCATCACATAATTCCATAATGTTTATAGGGTGCGTTGTTGCGGCTGTAGCTCCGGCTGTAGTGGTACCCTGCTTATTTCGACTTAGATCGAAAGGATACGGCGTAGTCAAAGGAATACCTACTTTAATCATAGCAGTAGCTAGCATAGATGACGCTCTTTCTGTAGCCATTTTCGGCGTGATAAAAGGAATCATTTTCAACGGATCCAGCGTCACACAAGGGACTATATTCGGAAGTTTATCGATTTTAGGAGGTAACAATTTATAGTACACAATTTCTAGTTTCATAAGCAGGATTTACCATTATTTTTTTAGGTGTTGTGATAGGTATTATTTGGGGCTTCTTCTGCCACCTAGCGCCCGAAAGGAACGACCCGTTCGCGGCGCCTTTGAGGATCCTGCTGCTCCTCTCCGGCGGAATGGGCTGCGTCTTCATCAGCGACCACTTGGGATACGGGGGCACGGGGCCCATAATGTGCGTAACTGCGGCCTTCGTCGCTTTGGCCTATTGGTCCAATCAAGGATGGGACGTGGAGGACAATCCGGCCGCTTTAGCCTTCGAGATATTTTGGATGATATTCCAGCCCATACTGTTCGGCATCACGGGGTCCAGGATAAAGATCAAGGATATGGACGGGGAAATAGTGTTGGCGTGTTTGGGAATTTTGATCGCTAGTGTGCTGATTAGAATAGGAGTTACCATGCTTGTGGGAATCGGGTGCAACATGAATTTGAAGGAGAAATTGTTCGTGTCGGTGTCGTGGATTAGCAAAGGAATCGTGCAGGTATGTAGAGAACTCTAGAGGATTTTAGATTTGGGAAAGTGATGTATTCTACAACTTTTGAATCATTTCAGGCTGCATTAGGACCTGTAGCTCTTTCGTTATTAGAAGAAAATGGCACCGAAAAGGAAATACAAGATTCGAGGAGGCTGATGAATTGTTGTATATTGTCGATAATAGTTACAGCACCAACTGGTGCAATCTTGACTACTATGTTGGGTTCTGTTCTTCTCACAAAGGGTAAAACGAGTCAACCAGCGGCCACGAGGGCACGCAAGAAGAGCAGAAGACAGTCGTTCTTGAGCCCAGAGTTATTGGTAGATGAAGAAGAAAATACTGAAAATCATCAGTCGCACATTACAGAGGTCATTGTGGAGGAAGATAATGAAAGTACCAAAGAAAACGAAAAATCTGAAATATAAAAATATTTGTATAAAAAAATCTAAATAATATTTATGAAAAAAAAGGTCATGCACGAAATGAAGACACAAAATGAAAATTATACAATCGCTTCTATCAATTTTAATATAGAATATTTGAACTTATGTCGATCATTAGTATTAAGATCATAAGATCTCTTTGTGAAGCACTAAACGTATGTTTTAGGAAGTGAAAAAAAGTTTTGTTTTAAACGTAGATTTATTTTCGGGTTAACTACATTGGCACCTACAATAGCCATATCAATTTCACCTATAGAGAAAGAAATATTTATGTATATACACGATTGCTATTTATGTAGGTAGTCTCATTGCACAAATTCAGTTAAGTAAAGTGAATAAAAAAATTAAGTAACATGTGACATTTTCTTTATTTAAATATACTGTTAATGTGTACATTTGATTGAATAAGTTAACTAGTTTTATGAAATATTTAAGTCTTTTAGTCTTTGGCGTATATTATTCCTTTGTCTTATAACCCATGGATTATTATTTCAAGTTATATTTAAGGGAAACATAATTACTTTAATAATTACAAAAACTACTGTATACGCGTGGAGTTGAATTACCGCTAAAATATCACAAATTTATAAAAATAATTAAAAATTATTGCGCAAACTAGAAGCAACGAAATAATTACATTGCAGAATTAGAGTAATACATTAAGATGACCACGTATATCACATATATAAAATTTTTATATAAAAAAATTCAAAATTTATGTTTTTAAAACACAATGTTAATTTTTTCAAGTTAACTTGCGTTGTTCGCAAATTTTTTATTAGTTTTTTTTGAGTAATTCAATAAACGATTTTATTGAAGAAAATCTGAAAATTTAGTAAAAGGACAATCTAAGTAGTACAAAAGATAATCATTTAAATTTTAAATGGTTTCCTGAAAGCATGCCATATAAATAAAGCACCTTAAAGAGCAGCTTCAATTTAAAATTTATGTACAAATTTTGAGCAAACAATTTGTCTTCAATAAAGTAAAGATTTGAGATAGGTAGAGGCTCCTTGAAATTCAAACAAAATAAAAAAACGAATGCTAAATAATTCTAAATGTCAGATAAGTATCCCGGTTACATTCTCTATTGAATTTGCTCTCCTCCAGCAACAATATAAATAATACTAAAAAAATCAATAATAAATACAATATCACTCGCATATTCCATAATTACAGTATACATTTTTAAATAAAACGTGTATATTTTTTTCTGTACAATCATGTTAAATCCAAACATCTTTAAAATAGTGCAAGTTGTTGCAACCTAATCGACATTTTTTCACTCAAATATTTTTCACAAATAATATGTACAAATTACTTGATGAAATTGCACCTTAGTCTATCTATTGACTTATTTCGTCGTGTATATTATTTTTTACGTATTTTATATGCAAGGCCAAAATAAAATCATTAATGATCAAAATTTATGTTTTAATGTTGAAATTAAGCAGCCTATGACTCTTTAAGGAAAGATATATTGTTGTCAAATACAGGGTCAGCAAAGGAACATTTTATTTTCGATGATACGAAATCGAAGTTGCATTTCTTGCCTAAATCGGATCATTTGTTTGAAAAATATTTGAGAGATTTAATGCAGTTTTTATAACAGTGTTGGTAGCAGAAGTGCATACATCCTCTAACTTTGTCAACAATTAGGTAACCTTTTAGTTAAATTTCCACAATCAGATATTTTTGTAACGTTGTCTATTTATCGTACTATTCATTGCAAAACATATCACGAATTTGTTAAATATTTCATAGGGAATTTACTCATTTGAAGCTTAAAGGGACACTTGCAATTTTTTTACCATTGTACATTTTTACCAGGATTACGAAAATGTAGGTATATTTGGTAGCAACGCAAATGTATTTAAAAATATGAAATTTATAGACAACATTAGCAGAGTATCCTGATACAACACCGAATACATAAATAATAAACAAATTAGTTTTTAGAACACCTAACATTTAACAATATAATAAACGATAACAATCCGTGAATCCGTGATATGAGGGAGTATGTGTGTAATATCTCAACATGCACAAAGCGATTTTTATCTCAGTAGGTCACAGTATATCAGTTTCGTAAACTTTATTCGTCTGTGAATTTGTTGTGTTTTTGTTGTTTTCTTCTTCAACATTGTTTGGAACACTAGTGGAATTCAGGGGGTTAGAATTGGTATTTGTCAGCAGAGTTTTGGTTGTATTCGGTAAATTGGTTAGTGATCCCGTCATTTGTGAGGTAGTCAGCTGCAGTCCCATTTTTTGCAGCAAATTCGACTCGCTACCGGTCTTCTTCAACAGCTGATCGGGCGTCGGGGGCACCAAAGCTAACGAATTGTTACCTCTTTGGAGCTGCTGCAGTCGCGCGTACTGCTCCTGCAGCGCCTTCTGCTTCTTCAGCAACTCCTGGTGCCGTTGCTCCAATTCCTCCTTGCGCGTTTTCTTCGAGCCGTCCTGCGAGTTGACGCTCTCGCAACTGCTGCTGTTACTTGCCGATATCGGATCGGAATCGGATGCAATCTGAAGATTCGAGCCGATGTTCCTCGGCAACGTTTGCGACTTCGACGGGTCCTTGATGCTCGACCTGCTCGGAATGTTCCTGCGCAGGGTTTGCAGCCCCAAGTTCTGGGTGGCCTGTTCGAATTGCGACAGCGGCTTGTCGACCATGTTTTGTACGTTTTGGATATGTTGCAGTCCCACAGCAGGCGATTTCGGCGGCAAATTGGGCGACGTGGGCGAAGCCAGAGGCGACTTGGAGCTGGTCCTCGGCGGCGGCGGCGGAGGCACCCGCTTGCCCGTCACCTGCTGCAGCAACTCGGGATTCCGCTCCGGCAGCGGCGGCTTCGCGGCCGTTTTGCTCTCCCTCTGCAACGGCTGGATGGGGGGACTGTTATCGGTGTCTGACCCGCTGGGATAAGAATGCAACCTCCTCAGGCTGCCGGTCGCCGTGCTCACGGACAGATTTTGCGTCGGAAGGAACGACGCCGAGTCCATGCTGCCCTTCCTGCCGATTTCGGACATCTGCGGCGGCCGGACGCCCTTGACCGGTATGGCGGGCGCCTCGGCGGCGTCGTCGTCGTTTTGAGCAATAGAGTGGGGCTTCGAGAACGTCTGGAGCTCGTCTAGCAGAGCGTCGAGTGCGTTCTCCGGACGTTGGACACCGTCGGAGGCGCCGCCGTCTCCCCCGACGACGACCGACCCCATACGTGGTGAGGGAGTGGGCTGCAAGAAATCATTGCGATATTTAGACGGTTTGGCTTTGCCGTAGGCGGAGCGAATGTGGCGATCGAATGACGAACGAAAATTATTGTAAATGCTAAATTAAAAAAATATAACATCGATGCATGTTTCTTCATGGATTTTTTTTTGTAAAGGGTTTCAACGTGCATTTGGCGAATTGGTAATAGTCTTGTTTTTGCCAATTATAGAGTTTCCTGTATTCGAATAAATTGTATTTGTTCTTGTAGATGTAATTGTACTAAATTAAAGTATCAGGATTAAATGATTTTAGAGTACTCGCATGTTGATTTTCCTGCATATTGCATAATTGTTTATTAAAATAATCTCTTATAAATTTTGAATCATTATCAATGTTTTAGTAAGTTTAGCTTCTACCTTGTAACTACAGAACAAATACATTGGAGCAGTTTGTCATTTTTATTTAAGTAAAATGAATGAGAAATGTTCAGTTTGTGAGAGAATCGGTTCTTCTTTTCGTATCCGACTGAATGTAGTGTATGAAGATATAATTCGGTGGTTACCTTTCAAACGAAAGTTAATAGGTGCAAAAATAAACACATCAACTATTGAATATTGGTGAGTCCAACTGAAACAACGAAAAATAATAACATAAAAATTAACACACATAAAAACATAAAAAAGGTAATTAAAAAACAAATAAACGAAGTAATAAGTTCATGCAGTAATAAGCAAAAGTGTTAATGTATAAAAATTAAATATATATGTACATATGTAGATAAAACAAGCTTTTGTTGCGAGATGAATTTCAAATAAACCACATTCGAATATACTTTTAAATTAGAGATATTTCGTAGATTTAATTGTTTTTTTAAACTCACATTTTATATTAAAAAGTCAGGTTTTTAAATAATATGTCAAGAAAATTGCCAAATCATTTACTTTATCAACAAGCTCAGCGTTCTAAAAAGCGATAGCGGAAGCCAAACATTTAATTTTGTTGTAGCCTAATTGGATAACAGGCTTTTAATCGATCAAATCCTACTATATCTAGAAATTCTTATTATTAATTTGATAAAGTGACTCTACTCAAAGAGCAGGTAATTGGCGATCTCTCATACTGCTAATATTCAGAAGATATACAAAAATGTTATTGAATAGTAGTTGATCCAATACACAGGGTGTTCCAAAAAGTTTTTAAATAAACGGTGTCAAATTTTTCAAATATTCTGTGGTGTTTTTCTAGATCAACAAGATACAATTAAAATTAATGTAATTTCGTGTTGTCTAAATTGTTATCAAACAATCCATATTTACAATTAAATACGTAAACAAATCATGCGATTAATAAATCCAACATAGTATAACTAAGTTTACGAAGGTATCCAAGCCAAGAAAACAAGCATATTTCATGCAACTCAAAAAAATCTTTCCCTTATAGTAAGGTAGGAGTCTGCCAATCGGAAAACCTTGGAAACTACCTAAATAAACCTTTTCTTACAAGGTTCGTATAAGCAAATAAGCTACATACTAAAACTACGTTCGCACTTTAAGTTATACATTCAAAATACAGAGTGGTCAAAACAATATTGTCAATTATATACGCGCATTAAAATGCTTTCAAACTCTATATAAGTCATAATAATAATAATTAATAATACACCACGCAAAATCTACCAAAATTTATACTCAGACTTCTTACACACTTCCCGTTTTGAAAGATTATTTACAATAAAAAATATATACCACTTAAGCTATTTGTAATTAAAGTAGCAAATAATAGAAATAATTCTTGTAGTAATGTGTTTAAATTTGAAAATCATTTTCTTTTAACGTAAACTAGTAAAAAATCAGACAAATACGATGAACCATTCAAGTTATTGTAAAGTTATTAACACCAAATCTAGAAGTTATAGATCTAGAATCTTTACGTGGTAACTTGATCTCATGCTTACATCTTACATCTTCAAGATTTTGTGGACAATCATTTAAATGGGGTTTTACCTCAATTCCAATATAAATAAATTGATTCCAGCTTTAATTTTGTACACTTAATAAACACAGCATATAAATCTTCGCCAAACAAATTCTCTTCATCTTCAAATTCTTTTTACTCCCTTGTTATTTTATGTAATAAACTTTTAACTATAAGACATTGAATTTGTCGTTTACCGGAGCAAAGCCTGCATGCCGGAAAGTGTGAAAGAAATCGCCAAGGATTAAATAGAAGTAGTGCGATCAAGCGATGAAACTACGAAACAAAATTAGAAGAGGATGAAATAAATGCAAGCCATTGCGTGAACATTTAATTTTTTAAATGGTCTTCGTTAATTTTTCCCGGAGAACCGTCGGATATACGAGGGCGATATGAGAAGTAGGTTTGCAATTTACCGTTGATCATATGACATTTCCAATGACACCTTACTATAAGGAAAAGGTAAAGAACTATACATGATGATTTGAATGATTTGTTATACGATTTATAATTTATTGGTCAAGATTTAGATGATGGAAACGGCAAATAGCACCAGCATTTGTTGATTGAAATCTTTGTTTCATTTTTAGTTTTGATAGACCTATAAAACTGCTGTAAATATTTTCTAAATGAACTACAAATCTGCATGCTTATTTTATATCTATATACAAAGTCTGTTCGAAAATAACGATGAATTTGGTATTTTTAATTGTCTAATAGACTTTAGTAGGAATATTGTTAGATTTGAATTAATTTTAGTTAAAATCCTAATGGAATGCCATTAAACAATATTTTTAAGAAAGTTAGAAAAAACTGAAACCAAAATACATAGTAAATGAATGATGATGATGATAATTAAATGAGGATGAAAATATTAAATAGAAATGTTTACAAATATGTTATATTCCCACATGGGAAGCATAATTATACTTCTTGTAAGTGTAAAATGTATAAATACAGTTTATGACAACGTTTTAATATTTTTATTAGCCGTTTTTAAAACAGACTTTATATTATACAACATAAATGCAGAGGTAAGTACATAAAATGTGTATTATATATCAGCGGAAGTGAAAAATTATCTTTAAGTCAAGTTGTATTTACATAAATATGGTGCAAAAAATGAAAAAATATTGGAATGAAAAAATCAGTAAGGTGCTTTTGTGCATGTAGAGACCAATAAATTATAGATATAAAAGTGTCCTTCAATTCACCACTGCCAGTTGATTGGAGTTAATCGAACATTTTTTCCTAAAATGTTAAGAAACATCCAAAATCCCATTTAAAACTCTAATTTTCACATTTCAAAAAGACGCGCTCTCGGCACGCTCGTCTCGTAAGGTATTATGCAAATTTTATCAGACATTTATATTCGTTTTTGGTAATGTGAAAATTATTCATCAGTGGCCTAACTTTGGGAACACATATCCAAGCAGAGATAGTTTCCGTACATTCTAAATAACCAAGAACATTTTTACGAAATATTTGAATGTAGGCAAGCATTATATCCAAAGAAAACGGAAAGTTTACTCGTGAGTGGTTATAGCCTCCTTGAAGTTGGAGCTCCACTTCCAGTCGTACTGTATGGGGTATAACAAAGAAAAATACATTTCATCAATGTTCTGTTTATATCCAAAGAGTAGCGCTCATTGAAAATATAATAATTACAATCGATACCGTAATGAAAACAGCCATTAATAATAAATTAAGTTACTTGGCATTTTTATAAAAGCTTATTTTGACAGGATCGAAGAAGAGGATGTGAAATTTATAGAAAACGAAGGACAATAGACCATAATTATTATAATATCAATTAGCAGCATTATAATTGCGGTAAATATTTTAGTAACGTATTCTCTATAAATAAACAGAATAACAATAGATTTCTTTTCGAAATGTTTTAGCCGAATATTTTGTTAACTGTGTGGTTGATTGCTTTTAAGAAATCTGAAAATGATGGGTAGGTACACACAATTAAAAGTAGAATTAAAACACCAATAAAACTACATCTAAACATAGACGAAAAATATACGTCCATTCGTGAGATAAGTACCTGACTGTATTATCCAGACAAAAAAACCTTGAAGGGATTTTCTAAAATATTAGTTTTTACGCATAATCATTTATTATATTTTGTATTTACCGAAAGGTGATTCTTATAGTATATTGCCTAAAATTAGCCCCTCTTATTATAACTGTGCAATTTAATTAAAAAATTTAAAGTTTTAGTTTTAAATGTGGTATATTATCTATTTAAGTAAATTATATTCAAAATAATATAAATATCGTGACATTAAATGAAAATGAAAGAAACATTTTTGTTTGATATTGATAACTAAGTTTCCAATTAAAAATCACCTTCGGTATATTTAATCACAATAGCTAATTCGTGTCTAATTCATAATCCACGATTACGTTACAAAATTATAGTTACTATAATTAGGGTATGTGATGAATGACAAGATGCTTTCTACAGCCAGGGAATGCCTAAACTATGATAATAATTATATTTGTGAAAAAATAGGACTATCAAAATAAAATTTCTATTATCGATATCTAGTTAAATCATATTTTTTTTTACTTTTTTTCACAAATATAATTCAAAATGAGGGGGTGGTTGTAGCAAAGGTAACATTGGAAATGCTTGTAAATTAAGTTTTGAAGTTCAGTTTTATTTAATTGCTTAAATTTATGCAAGTTTAGTTCTTAAAAATGCCAGGAGTGGGAATCAATTTATATACGCACCATTCCTTTTTTTGTTATTAGTAAATAATTGATAATACGCATAAACATTAAAATTATTCTCCTCTTCTAATTTAAACAAGAATTTTAAGGAATCCTTAACATTGACAATGAACATAAAAATAGCGTTACGTTAATTTGTCAAATATCAATACTACCAATTCAGAAAATCAGTTATAGCACAAACTCGGATATAGAAAATTGATTGGCGTAGGTACATACGTGAAAATAACGTAACGCTATTTACGTTCAGTGCATCTAACGAGTTACTTTGTTATTGAATTAAAGTATGTAATTGGTGTATTAACTAGTATATAAATTGATTCAATTATCAGCGTATCATGCGGGAAATACAACAATGTACAAAAGTCAAGTGAATATTACCTTGCTGTGCGTAGAGGAAGGAGTTATAGGCGGCGTCTCGGTGGTCGTCGGTGAGAGACGGCCGTCGTTCGAATTAGACGAAGGAAGCCTTTGTTCTTGCACGCTGGCTAATCTGTAACGCAAATGAAGGTTTTTAATTGTTAACGAGGCACATTTATCAAATTTTACCTTTTCAGCGTTACAAGTGTACCCGTAAGTTTCTTGCATCGTCTTAGAGCGCTCTCCAGCCTCTCCGGTTCTTCTTTGAGGAATTTTTCTTCTCTCATCACCTTCTCCATTTCGGTGCTCAGGAAGGTCTTCATTCCGTCTTGCAATCCCGGGAATCTGTACAAAATGATATAGAATTATTTTCTGGATGTATCCGATTGTTAATTGTTTACCTCAATTTTAGATCCGCGACAGTTTTCGAACTCTTGCTCAAAATGAGCGCCATATTCTCCACGTCCGACATGTTGACGCGCGTTTTTCTGTTAATTACATTACCTCTCAATTCTTCTACGGTGGATTCGAGATCGCTCAGATCGTTCTCCAGCCGCAGCATTTCCTGCTTGTACAAATCCTCTTCTCTGGTCAAACGCACGCGTTCTTGATCCATGCCTAAAAAATAAATAAACAATTAAAGTTCCATCAACTACGTTTCAAACTGTAGTCTATAATTACCTGCTTGCCAGACTTGTTCACCTCCAGCCATAAGCATAGCTCTTATTTTGATGAAAGTGTCCCTGATGGTTTCTTTTACAGAATGCGCCTGCGCTTGGGACATCCTTCTTAAATTCCGCACCTCTGCTCGGAGGTCCTTCGCCTTTTTCTGGAGCCCTCTGAGCTGATTGTACATTTCCGGCGTTAGCTGCAGGTCCCTGTAGATCCTGCTGTCGTAACTGGGCGACATGGATGAGGATTTACTCGGCGGCGCCGGTTTCAAACGGTCGCGTTCTGGAAATAACGAAAAATAACGGTCTAAGGGCGGGTTTTAATAGTTACGTGTGCGGTATAGTCGTGTAGAATACGGGGAAGCGAAAGTTTTAAATTCAAAGAAAATTTTACCTTGAGACGATGTTCTCGGTAAGGTGGAAGATTTAATGGCGGGTTTTGCTGGCTTAGTATCCGCTGTAGACAAGCGAAAACACATTGAAAAAGTTAGTAAAAATCACACAGCATGCGACGTAATAATCGAAAATATTTTTTTTAATAAATGATGATACTCGAACCTGATATTCTGAAAATAAAACTAATTTACGAACTTTCATACTACGCTCACGCTAATCTGGCAGTGAATGTTTCAAATTAAATTAATATAAATATATGAATATACAGGGTGACCCAGGGTCGCGTTAAAGTCCCATAACTTTTTACCTAATTGAGATATCGACTTGATTTTTTTTTCAAAAGGTAGGTACAATAATACTGCGTATTATTAAAATAGTTTCGTCTATATACAGGGTGGCTTAGTATTAGAAATTCACTAAAGTTACCTTTTTTTTAATGGAACCCCCTGTATATTATAACATTTTTGAATTCTTTAGTGAATTTTAGTGTGACTTTATGTACCATACATTGTACCTAAAACCAATCGTTTAGTGGTAATTCGACATTTTAGAAAAAAGTAGAGGTTTGAAAAAAAATGAATATTGCCGATTTTGTAAAACTTAGAAGGCCGTGACTCTGGGTTATTAGTAAACATGAAATGTACTACTGTGTGACAGGGATTCAGAATTGAATACTGTTTGTGTTCTTAGATATCGATACGCCAATTTACAAAATTTCAATTAAAGGTAACTTGATTTTTTTAAATGAAACTACCTACTTTTTTGTACACCATCTTGTAGGAAATTTTATTGCCTTTCTAACGATATAATATTGTCAATATTTTTACCTGCTAGTTTTCTGTTAATTCCGGAATTTCTTATAATTCGCGGTAATTTAGTAGTATTCGCGGTAGTTAGCTGTTGTTGGCCTAACACTATAGACATTGTCCTTAACAAATCCCTAGGAAAAAATCAATTGGTGTCAAATCGCGGGAACGGGCAGGCCAACAACAGCTAACGACGTGAAGATCCGGATAAGAGACGCTTTTCGATCAATTGATCAAAACATGCTAACGCGCTTTAAAAATTAGTTTTTAAGAAGACGTAATCGAACATAATAGCAATATCTTTGAGCATCTACTGTAAGAAAAATTATTGTGCTATCAAAAAAAACTGTTCTTTACATTATTCCTTGTACATTATCATTATCTCCCTATAATCAAATAAATTGTAGTTGATTGATTGATCTGTATACTTTTTTTATAACTCACTATCTTTTATAAAATTTTTGTTTTATTTTAATTTAATTTACTATATTGAGCCACTTTGAACAGTATTATTGAAAATTGAAAATTACCGCGAATTATAAGAAATTCCGGAATTAAGAGAAAACTAGCAGGTAAAAATATTGACAATATTATATCGTTAGAAAGGCAATAAAATTTCCTACAAGATGGTGTACAAAAAAGTAGGTAGTTTCATTTAAAAAAATCAAGTTACCTTTAATTGAAATTTTGTAAATTGGCGTATCGATATCTAAGAACACAAACAGTATTCAATTCTGAATCCCTGTCACACAGTAGTACATTTCATGTTTACTAATAACCCAGAGTCACGGCCTTCTAAGTTTTACAAAAGCGGCAATATTCATTTTTTTTCAAACCTCTACTTTTTTCTAAAATGTCGAATTACCACTAAACGATTGGTTTTAGGTACAATGTATGGTACATAAAGTCACCCTAAAATTCACTAAAGAATTCAAAAATGTTATAATATACAGGGGGTTCCATTAAAAAAAAGGTAACTTTAGTGAATTTCTAATACTAAGCCACCCTGTATATAGACGAAACTATTTTAATAATACGCAGTATTATTGTACCTACCTTTTGAAAAAAAAATCAAGTCGATATCTCAATTAGGTAAAAAGTTATGGGACTTTAACGCGACCCTGGGTCACCCTGTATATGACTCATTAATATCACCACCATATTAACATGGACGTTGTTTGGTTAAATAAATTGAATCGTTCAAAATTATAACACAAACTTAATATTTTGTGGAATCGATCATCCAAAAATATTCGAACGTACCTGCATGTTGAGGACTGTGCTGTTTCGGTGAATTCATATCTGGGGGCTCATCACTGAACGATACTGATTTCTCAAATGACACTGATTTATCTAAAAACGACACATGTTTAATTCTTTTCCATCGTATCTGCGGTTTTTATAGAATTTGGTCAGAAAAATAGATAGCCTCTAGATATGGAAGACTTCTTCACTGATCTTACCATGTTTGTCGAAAGATTTCAACAAATTTAGTCTAATAATGTGTAATTTGAGTTTGTCTCGTTTCATTTTTAATTGTTTAAAAGTACTTTCAACAAATCGGCAATACCACACATTAACAATAAGAAAATTGAAGCGTATTAAAATGTTTAAATCCACTCTGGTAATCGCGTGCTTTTCCATGCAATTTTTATCATAAACTTCAAGATATATTAACAATAAACTGCAGCAATTATTTGCGAATTATTTAAGTGCTGACCAGATCCATGTTATGTTCCAATTAATGTAAGAAATTCTTCACAAACCAATAAAATTGGGTTTAATTAATTCGATTTTATCCATGCAATTTTATATCTGCGTATTTGACTTTGCAATTTGGTAAGCATTCAACGTAGTACACCATGCTTAAAATGTAAGATTTGACTTACGACAGCCACTTTTACCCAATTTAGGGGCTTTGCTGTCTGACCTGATGTAAGAGTCATCTGCCAACATAGATAAACGTGTTTTATATCATTATGAACAGTATCTGACGCAAAAATAAGGTAGGTATTAGCTAAATTTTAAAAATCAAGGTAGGAAATATTTGTACTACATAAAAATTTTGTGATAATAAAGCAACGGAATTAAGACTGAAGAAGTAATTGTAACAGATTGATTTAAAGTACATTGAATTTTCATATGCAACTTTAAGAAATTACTAGTTTTAAGTTAAACCGAAAAATATGTTCTGAATAAATTTAATTATCACAATATTTTTTTGTAGATAAAATGCAAACTAATTTTGTTCTGAGATTCATCTACAATTGAACCAATTGATAGTCCATTTAATAACAAAAACCAAAGTTTACAAAAAAACTTTGCTAAATATATATTTGCTCTATATAAATTATAGATAAATGTTCGTTTCAAATTTAAAATCATTATACATATCTTATGAATATCTAATAGAGTTTTCCCCAAAGCGTTAAAAAAATCAGCTGCATTCATTTCAGAAACCAGATTTTCTGAATTCGAAGTTAACAATTTCTTAAGTCTTGCTATTTAAATTTAGTTTATCTTTAGTTTTCGTTAATTTGCATTTTCGTTTCAAAGAAAGAGTCTTTCTTATACATAAAGTATTCGATTAGATGTAGCATGCTGGAAGTTGGTGAGTGAGTTGGTGATGAATGAAATAAATAAAAATAGGAAGCAAATTCGGCTCGGTGAATACAAACCTGGCAACGAAGTGGAACTGGAACTGGAGTTCTTATCGAACTCATCTCCTGTACAGGACAAAGTAGGTGTAGTTAGCAACACACAATTATATACAAGCTTCAAAAATGTTCACAACAACAAAAAAAAAAACCTGACGCAACTACGTTCGAATCGGTTCGATTCACATGAAGCGGTTCGATTTAAACGGTTCGGAATTCGTTGCGGTCGCGGTTAATTCGTTCGATTTTAATTACTTCGAACCGTTTCATATGGAATGAAACGCGAAATAATGATTGGTTGTTGATGCAAATACGGTCTGGCTAATATCTAGACGCATACGTTTTTCTAATTTTCGCCATAGCCAGAATTATGCAATATGCGTCGCTAGGATAGCTCTAGAATTATTATAGTTGAATGCAACGAGGTTCATTCGGTTAGATTATGTGAAAATTGCCACTACTACCTAGAGAATATCGAATTAAAGCTGATGGTCGAGAAATTTGCTATACCTAATAATTTTTGCGCTCCTGAAAAATCATAATGTTTTATAGGTGCTTTATTCGCAACGTTTTAATGGCAAAAAGCAGAGTTTATAAGATTTTTTAATAGTAATTTATGATTAAATTATTGCTCTATTTAATACCACCATGAATTTTGCAGAAAATCTCGGTCAGTTATAAGAATGAACAATAGCAAATTAAAAAAAATACCATATTAATAACAACATTAATAACTGTCATTTAGAAATAGGTTTATTAATAATAACTGCTTATTTAATATCCTCCTATTTTCTTCTAACTATCAGCCAGATGATAATTTCAGTAACATCGCTTTTTTTCGTTTTCTAATCTAATTGTTTAATCATTAGTATCTAAAAGAAAACTGTTTTAATTGACACTAAATTAATTAAGTAATTTCTAAGATGAACAGTGCATCAGACAATCACAAACAAGCACAAGAATTTCTAAAAACGCTCTTTTAAAAATGAATACCTCGATAGCCTTCCCTGCCCGGAACCTGTAAATGCGACGAAGCCGGCTGGGTTAACGCCTTCTGAACTAAACCTGTTAAATTCGCTAGCTGACGTTCCATATTTTCCACTCGTAATCTAAAGAAACACCAAAATAATACTGTACATTAAGATTTATTTGACAGCATATCTCGAAAAGTATAAGGATTCTGAACGATTCTAAACTGTAACGACTGCGTAGTTTCAAAAAGTCTAACGTATATTTTCTAATTATGTTTACTGTGAACTGTGCGGGAATTATTGTTCTATTCCAGACCAGAATCATTCGGAAAAACTTCTAAAAACCTATAAATCTTATAAATATTGGTATATTACCGTGTTGCATCGTAAGGTGGAACTGATGCAGGCGCAGGGAATGGGGATCTTGATGATATTCTCGATCCTGAAGACGGTATTTTAACTCCATAAAGTGAGTATGACTCGTCCAAAAGTTCTGTATCGCTGCAATAATCCAGATAAATTTTATAACTAAACTGATTCAAATTGATTTATTAAATAACAATTTTTACGCCAGGAACAAGATCCCTAATCAACTATAAAGGAATATTTCTACTGTAAAAGCTTTTGGAGCAGTTTAAAAACATTAGGGGCATTCAATTCATCTACCAAGATGAATACATATTCAAGTATTTAACACAACATAATAATCATATATTCCATCTGGAAGTAACATTATCAGCTCCATGACCATCCGCAAATTGCCAATCATAAGCTCTATCAATATCCACTAAAATTATCAAACGAGCCTTTAGAATCACTCACCTAACTTCCTCGTCTATAACAGGAGTTATAGAACCGGATCTGCTCGCGTATTGGCTGTAGTACGGATCTTCGTAGCGCGAGCTTCTCTCTGGTGAAGACATGTAACCATCTGAGAAATTTTTGGTACGGTAAATTGAAGCGGAAGCAATAAAAATAAAATCGACATAACAATTAGAAGTAGCTAAAGTCATTTCAAAGTATACGTGTATCGGTTCTAAGGGAATTCTATAAAGCGCGTAAACTATAATCTAAACGAAGAAAGCACGGCATGTCAGTTACTAAATAAGCTGATTTCGGTACTATTTTATATGGGAATGAATTGCAACGGTCGTGTTGACCCACCTGGTAAACTGTACGAAGAATTTGCCTGCCTTTGGATACAGGTCAATCGATCTGGATGTCTAGGTGGGTCATCGGTGGGTTTGGTCGGGCCATTTTTGAATGTTCGTTGAGGCTTCGGAGGGCCACCTTTACCGAAATATGATTACATTACACTTTTCTATACTATCAGCAAAAATTAGTGGATGAAGCTGAGATGTGATGGGAATATAGCAGAAGTATGTCGGTGTTGGTAGGATTCGCTTAATTTCGTTTAATCGGATTGTAATTAACCGGATTAATTCGCAGAGTTTTTAAACGGTGACTTTCGCTGATGACTCGATCATTGTTTACTTTGACGCCGCGTATTTGTCCTGGATTCGTGACACACTTGTTAAATCAATTTCGTTGATTTTTTTATTTCCGCGTGCCGTTGCATTTTCTCCGCAAGTACCTACATCACGTACACATACAATAAGATCTAAGCCATCTGTTAAGTATTGTCAGCGGGGAATTTAGTGCCTACTTCTGTGCATGCCATATGTCGAAGTGCATGAATAGGTATCGCTCGAGCTGAATAAGTGAGTGTTGTAAAAAGTACGATCGAACTGAGGAAAATTTAATGAGACGCTTGCAGTTTGCTAATCATGCAAAATTGGATCGGATTGCAAAATCGGATCGGTTAAAGAAACCAGTAACTAACTAGAAAAAAAATACTCATTTAATAATAAACACAATGTGTAACTTTAAAGAAGCGGTTTTCGACGGGGGAATTGTGATTTTTCCATATTCAAAATTACATTTTTCAACTATATACTCGTACGTCAACATGCATGTTATGGATAACGCTTTTCAATAACATTTACCGGTTGGAAGAGGCTTTAGCCTGTCAGCGGTAAGACTCGATACGGCAGGAGAATACGTTCTCAAGAAAGTAGCGCCGCGTGGTAAGCTTGCCGTTGATCCCATATAGTATGGAGCGCCTTTACCCTGAAACAAATATTTAATAAAATAACCAATTCTGATATACTTATTTTTATACTATTCTCATTAGAGTATAATTTTGTGGTGATTAGGTACAACTCACTACTTATTAAAACTTTTTAACTGGGTTATTGTTGTTGATGGAGCAATTTGGAATAATCATAATGCAGATATACATGTATTTTTTGCTAAAAATAACGTTAACTCTATTTATGGAACAAGAAACCCATTTTGCATTATAGCCGTAAAATAACCATTAAGGTTATTATTTCGTGTTTCGCGGTGTAGTGGGTAACTTCGAGGAGAAATTAATTAAATTCTAGCGGTTATAATGCGCTATAAGTTGGGCGTACGTCATAAATTCGCGCAGAGACGGATTTCTTTAATCCAAAAAACCCCAAAGGGCCCAAAATGATTCTCCCTTTGACGTCACTTAATTCTCATTAATAATCAGATTTATCAAATTCAATAGAGTCTTTTAGATGAGTTTACTGTATTTCATTTAAAATTATGGAAAGGCATTATGTCATAGGTATACCAAAAGTCGACCAAGCAATCCCGTAATAATTTTGCATAAAAATTAAATTTTTTAAAAATAAATCCTGACCTGCACATTCTGATTACTTTAGGAAGTTTAAAGTTTCCCAAATGATTAACGACCCACAAACGCCGCTTGCATTTTCAATACCGAACCTGTCCGTTAATATTTCTTCAAACAACATTAGTTTTTGTTTTTTGATGATGATTAATATAAGGCGTTATTGTTATGATGGTCTTGACCTGATCAAGACTAAGAAGGCATTTGCGGTGCATTTAAAAATCCTAACGGAATTGCGGCATCTGCAAAATACAGGAGATTTTTTGCGAAGGCTCTACCTACTTAGGTTCTTGTTGAATTGTACAGGGAAGTATTTTTAATATCGCATAGATTCTTGAACTAAAAGTATGTCCTATGATACGAGAAATATATTATTAATTTCTTCTTGTGCATAAGCTATACCAACAGAGCCTAAAGTCTAAAGCGTTAAGCCATTTGATTGAGCCAACAGTATATGGGCAATTCACTCCAGGCTCTCATAATTTATATCCCACTCAAATTCCTCTCCCTTGCGTATTCCTAAAGGGTTAAAGTTTTAGTCAGTTTTGTGTAGGTATACGTAGGAAGGATCATATTTGCCCGTTTTATTAAACCCACAATATTAAATTTTATCTATTTTCCTACACATACAAAGTAAGTCAACGAGGCAGTATAACTGTTTGTTAAAAGTTGTATAAAAATATACCTCCATAAAGATTAAAATAGAAATATTTTTTTGTCATTATATAGGGTACTGCTTCGTTGACTCACCCTGTATATCTCTAATTAACGGTGAACTCCCGTTAATTTTTCTGCATCCTCCCACTCACAAAATTCAGCTGGTGTAGATAATTCCGTACTGCTCGCGTTCATCGTACGAGTAAGTACTACCAGAGGTATAAGACTTAACATTCTTCAAATAACAGGGAAGACTTCAATGAGCAGTTAGACGAGAAACCACGCGACTTCTTCGTCGATTTCGCGTTTCTCTGGCACACGCCGCTTCGTCGAATTGCATCTTATATGAGCTTCTGCGTATATCGCGAACTTTATCCGATTATGCTCGCGGGATGTGAGATGTGATTTTACAGTGAACTGGAGAATGGTAAATTATGACTGGCGTTGTTTACAAGGCACATTATTGATGTAAGTAAATTGATCTAAGTAAAGAGATTTTGATCTGTTGTTTTGAATAGGCGATGATGAGAGAAATACAATGTGATATTTATCTATAATTCGTATACTAAACAAGAAAATTACGAATTTATGTTAAGAATTTGTAAGGAATAGGTATAATAAAAATAGTAATTTAGTGATTGATTTGTTTGCTTTAATTAACCAATGCTTTAGTACTAAAAAAGTACGTATTAAAGGTACCTTGATAATAAAAGAATTAACCAGAATACAAGGGTATAACATAATAGCACTAGATATGCAGGTGCAAATAAGTGTAAAAGTGGCTGATGTTAATTTTAGAAAATACGATTATTTTTGCGAAATAGCATATCATTAGAAGGTAGACTTATTTAAAATCCAAAGTTGCTGAAATAATTATTCACGGTTGGCAGTCAATTTCACATTTAAAAAATATCTTCTAATTAGTAAAGAAGCTATCATAATCTGATTAAAAGTAAAAATGAATACAAAATTAACAATGACGAAGATATCGTGCGTTATTAAATAACTGTGGCATGCATTTTGTTGCATTGTATTACATTATATTGCATTGTTATAACGCCTCTAATTACAAATAATATTTTCTAGAAACATAAACATGTAGGCTATACGTATATTGTGTATTTTTTTGTACCTAATACAGAAATAAAAAGGAATGAGGTTACGTTTTAATAAATTTTCTATTTTTATCAATTTTATTTGGGCCATTAAAAATGACTGCCATAATAAACTACAAACACACATAATACTCTAATTTTAATGAGACAATTTTGTACCTACATCGATTAATTAATTAGTAAAATTATCTATACACAGAGTAATTGGCTATTTACATTGTAGATATACCTACCTTGGTATATGCATCAGACATGCACATTATTTATCTTTTCGCCTTCAAGCAAATAGGTACATGTACCTACTAACGTACTTACCAATAAATAAATTAGGTAATATACATTTTAATTGAAGTATTATACTATTTCTCTGCGGCTATAAATAAATAAATAATTCGATTCCAATGCAAGAGATCAGGATTTTTTCCCAAGAGAGAAAGTTTGCTAATTTTATGCCGTTGATGCATGATATGGTGCATATACGTAGAAAATAAGAAAACTTCAAAAATTTTAAATTTATCGTTTTATATTGATTTAAACAAAAGATTGTAAGAGATATATTCAAATCAGGTCTACTGCATAACAAGATATTCGAATTTGTATAATTACATAATCTTTGATTCCATTCAAGGTTCGTTTGCATTTAATAGAGGTTAAATGTTAATCAACTCTACCGGTTGATTACCCAAGTGATACATACGTTTTGAAGTGCAAGGTAGAAATTTACCTATAAGCTACTATTAATTAAAATTTTAATCACTCCTTTTTGTCACTAAATTCACGCATCCGGTAATAAAGTATTTTGTATACCACAATGCATAAATCCTGTGGATTAAATTGTAACAAACTGGTACAGAATTTGATTTTTTCAGACAAAGATGACCAATCCAAAATTCATTGTTTTTATTGCTGCAATAACATATTTATTCCAAAAATCCAACGCGTTAATACAAAATGGTCCTAAAGGAAAAATCACCAGCAGGAATTATCAAACGCCTCCGGAAAGAGATAGTCAAATAACTAAAGTATCCCTAACACAAAACGGATACATTCAAGTAAGTACAAAAAAGTGAAGAAACGCAGAACAAAAACTATTAATTATTATTTTCAGTTCCTAAAGTACATAAATGAAGTCCCGCCTATGACAGAATACACTTTTTGCCTCTGGATAAGAAGCAACAATTTAACTCACAACCACCCCATCCTATCATACTCTAGTAAGTATTACCAGATGGAAGGGCCCATTTCATTCGGGATCGGGCGATATTTCATTCCTAATTGCACGACAAGCCATTCTCACATTATTTATTAGTTATTCCATATAATATGACTATTCCATTCTCGTTCGGTTTTTGTTGCTGCGACCATTTCGACTACAAAAAATTGCAGATGTCAGCGCAGTCATAATACAAAACGAGGTCGGGCTGATCTAGATCTAGAAAATATAAGCCGTGGGATTTATTTTTTCTTTTAATTAACTTAACGGACATTAAATAACAAAAATATGATATGGTTAGGAGAATTACATTAGGAACAGAAAGTATTTTTCATCGTTAATTAAATGCTTATTTTTTATACTTTAGAGCAAGAAGAGGAGCGACTCATTCGAGTGTGGATCGGTTCTAATGGTAATAACATCAATTTGGAATTACTTGGTAATACAGTTTTCGAATTTCCGTTTAACATGGTCGAGAACCGTTGGTATCATATTTGCCAGTCGTGGTCATCTCATCAAGGGGTGTGGATGATCTACGTGAATGGGAAAATGAAATCCAGTGGTTCTTATCAAAAGGTGAGTTTGTTTTTTCTTATTGCAAAAAGTATTTCTTGTTTATAGGCAATAAAAATAAAGGTAGAAAAATTAGAGCAGGTATTAAAGTAGGGTTTTATTAGTTTCTTGATAGGCACTATAGAACTTTATAGTGCATTAGGTGATGGTTGATGGGTACGGAAAAGTTAATCCCAACTTTTGAAGACTTTTGTATTAGCAGTTAACATAAAATTCAGTAGTATACGGAAGATTGCTAGGTATCAGTATATTTACTATTATTTAAATTTCATTATTTATATTATGATTTTGGAAGTAATTTTATATGAAATGATTCGAAGGTTTATTTGAAATACAAGTATAATATTGTCCAAAAAAAAACCTTTTTTCATAACGTGACTTCTATCAGAAACCTAAAAATATTCGTTGAAATTGCATGTATACCGACAATAATCGAAATAAATAAAAAAAATTGATCGAAAAGAAAACCAATTTAATGGAAATAAATCAATATAAAAAAACAATGGTAACATGTGTAATAAATGATATTTTTATATTATAATTCCAACGTTAATTCACCTATTTGGTTAAGTAGGTAAGAGCTTAAATTTTGAACACTTTTTAACAAATTTAAATGAGCGCTTACAATAACTTCATTTCCGTTAAAAACAGTTATAACAATTATTTAATTTATCGACAAATCCACCTTACATAATATATTGACAGCATTCAAGATTGATAGTTTTGTCGACTTTCAAAAAAAAAATCATGATTCAAGATTCACGTTGCATTGTAACATACATACATGGAAACCATTTTAGCGAGATGCCTTAATGAATATTTAATTTGATCTAACGAATTTATTTCGACTAGAAAGTATGTTAATAATGGATATGGTTCCTGCGTAAATTAATGTCGAGGAAACCATAAATTACGATTCGCGAGATGTTTCGTTTTAATTAATAAGGTTATTCGTGACATTATGATCAACGAACTGCGAGCTACTACACCAAATTAAATAATCTAAATTATAGGGGAAATTATTTATTAAGTACAAATTAGGTTTGGTTTTCTGTATAACCAATTTGTAATAGATACTAGGAAAATGAAAGTATGTTTACTTTAAGATACTACCAGAAACATGAAAGAAATATCTCTTATAACAAAAAAACATCATTAACATCATAGAAAGTAGAAGTAACTTGTGTATTACATTTATTAAACACAAATTACTCAATTATGATTAATTATTAATGTAAATTGCAATTACTTAAACTAAATTGCTCCACAAAAGTTAATGATATGGTTAAATATTGAATATAATTTTATTAATTGGTATAAATGACATCGAAAGTAAATGCATTATTAATACTTAATTATCAACGACAAATTATAATGTTCACCGATTTTTACTTCTTTCTTCTCCATCTTCCCTAATCTGTGCAAAATATTAAATTAATTATATAAGCTATCATTTTTATAAAAGATATCCTGACAGTGCTAAAAATAATTTCGAATCCCAACCCCAAGTAATAACCAACATTCAATTATATTTCCAACTTTCTTGGAGAAATTAATTAATATTGAATAACTTTCAGTTGAGAGGAAACTTCATCAAGGGCGGCGGTGACATAGTAGTAGGTCAAGAATACACCGATTTCGACAAAGGCTTGGACGATGGAATCGAAGGCGACATCTTCGGGTTCAACTTCGTATTATCCGCTGCTTCGGGTTCCTTGAAGTACCCGCAAAATTTACCATCAAGAAGGAAATTTCAAGTAGCCAGCATACCGAAGTACCCGCAGTTTTTCGCTGCCAAACCGCAGCAATCCAACCCTTTCGGGGTAGAGCAAGTGGAAGAATACAAAACGATTGTAGAAGATCAACTACCAGATGCGCAAACGTACGGAATGGACCCGAACAGAAGGCCTAAAGGCTTCCTGGATGCTTTTAGAAGGTTCTTCGGCGAAGAGCCTGCTGCTAATGTTAGAGTTGTGAAAAAGTACCCGCGAATCGTTAATAAAGGACCCAGTCGAAGGGTCACGGATAGGGTTTCTGCAAACGATATCAACGATGTGAAAAAATCACTCGGTCTTCTGCTGGTCGAATTGAGTTTTGATTGCGGTTACAAAAAGGGGGCGCCTTTGAGTGGTAAAAACGTTTTGGTCAATTGGAACCAGAGCCCTGTCAGGGTTTTCGGTGGTGCTATATTGAAGACTGTACCAGCCTTTTGCTATGGACATTAATTGGGTATAAAATGGTAAATAGGCTGCACTTTTGTACGAACTATTTAATAATATAGTTATGAGTGGAAATGTTAGGGTAGTACTAACCAAAGTATCTATTTATTGGTAGCATCAGTAAAAATCACATTAGTAAAACGGTGTTAAAAATGATCATAACTTTCGTAAAGGTGTCATTTTAGGTTTATTTGTCAAATTGTTATGTTAGAAAGTATTTCATAAGCTAAACAATCTGTAATTTTGCGAGATTAAATTTTTGTTCCTTTTGGGTAAGTGAAACAGGGTAGTAGATTATTGACAACATTTTTGGAATTTATTAGTACAAAGGGTTCACAATTTTCACTTATTCTAGAGAAAGTCCAAATAAAAAATTGCTTGTAATATTAGAATGTATGATTCATCAGTTTAAATTTAACGATATAACAGATTTTTATCTAGAAGAGTTGAAAAAATCTGCCCTTATGGGGTGAATATATCAATATGCGCGGATAAAATTATCGGTTACGTAATATCTACTATCAGTTGTCAAATGAACTGGGCATTTGAGAAGAAATCTATTTGTTTTTATTCCTTAACTGATAAGCATTGCTTTGATTACTGTATCATTAACATGAAAACTAAATTTTGATTATTTATTAAGCAATTTAGATCAATTTATATTATTGTTTATACTCATATTAATAATGAGCAATATTTGATCAAAAAAATAAACTTGTTATATTTTTGAAAACTGTTAAAAAATAATTTGTTTAAATAAATTATTTATGAAATAGAGAAAATGTGTATATCTACACCAATTCTTCGTTACTACTTCTTCGATTTTTTAGTTCTGCAATCACACGTGTGTTATGACGTATTTTAACGCTAGTCCTTTCACGTCATCAATGTTTGATCAATACATTTATTTTGTGAATAGGAGTATTGCTGAATAGGATTTGTTGTTTGTTATAAAATTGTTTTGTAGTAACGTTCGTTCATATTTTTAAATTAAGTAGGTACTGTATGAAAAAGTATCTACATCATCAGTTAACTTATTTTAGTAAAAGTTTTATTTCAAAGCAATTAATGTTAAAAGAAATAAACATTTAGGAGCGCTTTGGGGGAATACCATCAGGAATATCCTATTTTTCCGAATCATAAAATCAAGCTCAACACACGCCTGCTAATTTAACCAACCAAGAAATTTAATAAACATGAAGCGTATAGTAATGAAACAACCTGTATAAGTAACTTTTTGTCTTATTGTGAGTGGTCCTATTATTAGCCTATTTACATTTTTTAACATTAAATATTTATAAAAATTTCTAGAGTATTGTAAATATAGACATACATTACTTGCAAATATCGCAAAGATTGCAAATATTTGTTAAAAAATAGAAGAACATTCACCTATATGCAATTCTGTACAAAGAAAATTTTGCCAGCAAACATTTACTGGCAAACAAATGTTGCATTTATGAGACATATGGTATAGTTTAATGAATAAAAAATGTCTATAAAATTTTTGGTGGGCACATATGTATTTGTATATCCAGACTAGACATATGGTTTAATAAATAATTCAATTAATACCTACTAATAGTTTAAACTAATCCATTAATCAAACTAGTATCAATATATTACTTTATAATAAACGAAAGTTTTAGAAGACTGAAAACATTTATAAAAATCATCAATTTCCATAACTTATTGATACACTTTTTTAACAAATAAAACCAGCCCTTTTGCGCCAGAGAAATTCAACATTTGCGCCATTTATATGCTTGTTTCAGTGATACGATAGTTATGGCAAACAAAGAACAGTTGTTTGTTGAAAGTATACATAGTATGTATAGGATACACAAGCAAAATCAAATGTTTATCTACCAAATTCACCAAACCAGTATCCGGTATAATTAAATCAAAATTACTGTGTTCCGTTTAATTAACAGATCAAACGGTATCAATAATTCATTTACATGAAATTAAAATAAAATTATGTAATTTTTACCACACAAAAGAGTGTGTAAGTTCGTTTAAAACATACTCCGCGCCAGTTGGGTACTACCTACTATAACAGATTTCAGAATGCGGCTGATAGGGTAATGGCAGTCGACGTGTTAAGGGTTTTGAACAGACGATGTGGCAACGGAGGGAACCCGATGGATATATTGACTGAAATTGAAACGTAAACTTGTTGGCGCTTGGCGCGTAGTTTCACCTCAGCTGCAGTTCATGTCTAGCACAAACTTCATTGATTTTATGAACGGCGACGGCACGTCCGGTATGGACGCTTGTTTCGCAGCCTTCGATAAAAACTGGTACGTTGCATATAACCTATACTTCACTGTAGTTATCGAATATTTGTTTTGACTTGATTTTTCATACCTTTATGCACTGATAAAATCTTGGATTGTTTGTAGTAGTTGTAGAGGCTTGTCAGTGAGCTTTTTTTTATCGATAATATTAGTCGCGGTTTAACTGTTTACTGAGTGCAGTGCATTTATGCAGCGTCGTTTCCACGACTGTTGTTTGCGCCGATTTCGTTATACCTTGAAATATTCATTATTGTTTGTAGGATAGGTATTTTATATCGAAAATTATTCTTTATTGTTTATACAACACTATAAATTTCCTTTTTTTTAAGTTTACAATTTCTTTAATTTCTTTCAATAATTTTTAAAACAACACTATTTCTTTGTTGTTATAATAAAATAGGAAATAATATGTAATTAAAATTGAGTAAAAATTATGGCTGTCAATGAAATATTGATAAAATAAACAATTCTTATAGACAAAAATGAACATTGACTGAATAAAATCGTAATACCCATAAACAAAAAAAAATGAACTAGCTGTTAAAGTAATAGTATTATTAGGACGAGGATATACGCTTAAACCGTAAATAATTGTTAAACACATTTGTCATGCAAAATTTGTCGATTCATCGACATCCTCTCCATTTTATACATATGTATTATTTACCTGAACGGATAGCAACAACCCGTCCAGATTATAAAGATACATATTTATATCATTATACATAAGTCGACTTCAGAAAATTTTAAAACGAATTCTTCATTACTTGTGCTCAAAAATAGAATAGGTGTTTAGAAATTTGACATTGATAACCCATCATGATTAACGGGCCGATATGAATATAAAAATTAGTAGCCTTAATAACAGTCATTATATTACAGAGCATATTAACACACTCTTATTAATATCTAATAAACAAAAATTAACACACTCTTAAGCAGCTTGTAAAATGATTTTCTTTTGCACTTCCATTCGAGCACAATCCACCAGTTATCCGCGAATTTTGCAGCAATCACTATACGGCACGTTTCGGTTAAAATTATCCAAAATTAAAACTACGTTGAGGCGCTTTGGCAATTTTACAGGTAGAACGTTTCCTTATCTAACTTCATCAGCATCATCATCAAAAGCGTATTATTGCCGACCGCATAGAGAACCTGCGACATGGACGATTGCTTCAAATTCTATGATAAAAACTGGTAAATACGAATAACGGGAATACATTCAAAAAACTAATTGCACCATAATATTGTCCGCGTGCAGAAACGCTCATCGATCATAATGTTCCAATAATCATTATCTGGTAATCTTGGATAATTAATCTGAATGATTAATGGTTTTTTTATGAGATTTTTTTAACTGAATTTGATTATCTCTTCCTTCCAATTTAAATATGTTTTTAACGCTTGTTTTGAGTGGGTTCTCGTTAAGTTGGATTTTGTTTTCAAGTTTGCATATTTTGATGTTTACATAAAATAGATATATTAAAAAGAAGCCTTCCAGCTACACGAGCTAATTAAGACTTGTTGAATCCAGTAAACACGGCGCTGTCAGTAATTCTGAAAAAACAATATCCCAATTTCAGGGATTTAATATAGCACAACGTTAAACGATTACGATTGTGAGCTTCAATTTAATCGCGTGTAGGTTATTATTAGACATTGTAAAGATAAGCAATTTTGATGAATCAAAGTGATTTTTTGGTCCGTCAGAGTTGTGAAATATTATTAGAAATCTAGTATGAATGAACTTTCATTTCACCTCATCCTTTACACCAATTATATCAAATAATCTTCGCTCTAATAGGTAGGAGCAATCATGAATATTTGTTTCAGTGATGGGAGCTTAGATTTAGAAGAATTCAGGTTCCTTTGTCAGGCTTTGTTCCGAAACAACAAGGGCGAAACCTATCAAGTTATCGACACAGAACTCAGAGATATCTTCCAGATTTTCGATATCAACAATGACCAGAAAATCGATAGGAAAGAGTTTTCGTTTTGTTGGCACAATTGGATCAAAGTGGTACGATAATTATTGTATTAAAGCGCACATAATTCATCGAAAAAATAATAGGTTACATCAAAAAATTTAATTGGAGGAAAACTTCAAGAATGCACTTAATTAATCGAAGAAATGGTTTAAAAGGCATTTAATCAAAAACGTATTAATTTAAAATGATTCTAATAATTATAGGGAAAACTAAAAATCATCTTATACCCAGAAATATTCCTGGAAGACATAACTTTTTTTTATGATTTTTTGAACAACGCATAAAAATAAAAGTCTCTCCCTATCACTCGCTTATGGATAAATTATGAAAATTTAACAGCCTTATGACATTTTCCATTCCCCATAGACCGCTTGTACAAAATATCAGGTCTTCCCGCTGTAGTTTCCGAGGCCTAAAGGGACAGACGCATTATCTATCATAATACCCATAAAATTTCATTTTTATCACGATGAGTTAACGAATAGTCATTTCCGAAAAAAAAATGTAAAACCAAGGGATTTCTACCAATGAAACATCGAAAATTGCAGAGAACTATAATATAAACTTATAACTTTCATCTTATCTCGAATAAAAACACTGATCAAATTGTGATTATTATGAATACGGCTTTATTAATTCACCCTTTAACATTATATTGTTAATAAATACTAGGTGACGATTGTTTTACACAACACATATCACCTAAACGCAATTAAAATAAACCGATTAATATTCATTAGCGTTTACGCCACCATGCGCAGGGTATTTTATCAACAAATCTGTACCACTTTTTTAAGTGGTATTTAGGTCATTAGCTTTGCCGCGAAATTATCGATTCCGGCCCGCGTGAGAAAGTTCGTTTTACTCCCGATTTAACTACCCCTGTCGCTTTACTATTAGCCGATGTAATTACTGCCGGGTTCTATAATACCCGCCGAAGGTTAAACGAGCCGATGTGGCATACACAACACTCATCCATAAAATTTGATTGAATTGGGTTAAGAGCGTACACGTCGATCGCGCTATTGTCTATCATTAACATCGAGAGATTGATAGAGCGTTTGATAAAGTATAAAATGGAGTTTAAGTGATGCTTTAGCGTGTAATTTTGTTTAGTATTATGGGCAATCGATTTGACGAGCGTATAAGCGAAAATTTATATTCCAGATATTGTTTTGTAATGTGATCAATTTAAGGGGATCCAGGGAAATTTTAAACAGTATTTTATAGTTGCAGTTGCAAAAGAATTCTCGAAAAAACTTAAAAAAATTGCCTTAGTATCTGAAATTATGTAAAATCGTAGCGTGAAGAGCAGGGCAGAGCACTTAGATGAAAATTATAAGGACTCTCCTTTGTCAAGTTTTTATTATATGGCTCGCCTTACCAGCTAGAGTTTAGCATGATTACCTAACTGAAGGTCGCGGTAAATCGAATTTCCATTGTTCAACAATAGCATTGTAACACAGCATTTATGACCTATTACCTTACTGCACCCAAATCAAAGCCTTTATTACCAATTCCCGTTATTATACAAAGAGATTCTTAACAGTCTATAGTACCATAAGAAGCTTCCTTGAATAGAAGATAGAATTGAAAAACATTTCAGATCGTCCGTCCCATATCAGCGATTCTAATCATCGACGTCCAGAACGATTTCATTTGCGGCACTTTGGACATCAAGAAATGCCCGGCCAAGCAAAACGCCGAAGAGGTCATCCAGCCCATCAATAAGCTGCTGGACACCATAGACTTCGACGCGACTTTTTACTCGTACGATTGGCATCCCAGCGATCATGTTTCGTTCATCGATAACATCGGTTTGCGGAAATTGCACGAATCCAGCCCGCTGGCGGATCCGGAGAAAGTGCAACTGTACGATACCGTCGTCTTCGATGGAGACCCGCCCATACCGCAGAGGTTGTGGCCCAGGCACTGCGTGCAGAATACTTGGGGCAGCGAACTGCACAAGGATTTAAAGGTGGGTAATATTTATATGGCATCAAATAAGTGGGGGATATATCTTTTTGTAGGGATGTATCTTCTGGCTATCACTTTGCTATACTGAAATTTCATTAGAAATTGTAATAATAGTGTATTTTTGGAACCTTTGATCCTTGTTAGGTCAATGGTGCATCTATAAGTTTATCTGGTTCTTTAGTCATTAACTACCTTAGTCTATTTTCTTGGTTTGATTTGCTACGAAGTTCATAAACCTTTGTTATCTTAATCATCTCTGAACTTGTCTTATCTTATTTCTTCCTACTAATACCAGACAAACAAAATACATTTCTAAACCACAATTAACTCTATTAGAATTATTTCATCCTAATTTCGACTATTTTCAATTTCAACAACTTTATTTCATGTCATTTACAATCCACCAATTACATTAACAAGGGTGTTTTATAAAGGCCTCTCGTGTATAGTGATCGTTGCAAAACAAAGCCCCGAATGTGTTAAAATTGCAACTGCATTATTACCATCAATTTCCCGGTAACAAGACAAACGACCCGATATGACAACTGGCGCTTCGCGCGGACCCGGCAAAAATTTATGGCTCTCGAAAGGAAGTTTCGGCCAACTTTCGACGCGACTCGAAACAGTATTAATACACCTATTATATAAATTCACGCGATCCTTCAAACTAATTTAACTTTCAAGATTGCTGCACTTGATGGATACGCCCCGTTCCTTAGCCATCGCTCGCTTTGTTCGAACTTCTCAACTATACCGGTTTATTAAGGGGTTCATGCCGAACGTTGGAAAACTTCCATCGGATTTGGAATTGATTTTTTGCGCGCTGGTTCCGGATTAGTTCGAGGCGAATCGAGTTAGGCCGGCGGATTTAAAGTCTCGCAGCGCATGAAAATCATGAAGATGCTAAATTACACCTGCCGCAGACATATTTTAAGTACCTACGTTATTATTCCTTCCTTGTAGAACGTGTAATGGAGTTTCTTAAAGTTTGGGATTCGCATAGATTGATAATAGATGTGGTATTTCCGCTATTCTATTATTATAGAACGACTACATTAATCTAGTTTAATTAATAATTTCGTCATTTGTACTGATTGAAACGAAATTTTTTCCAGGTGGCTGAAAATGCAATTAAAATATACAAGGGTACTAATCCTGAAGTTGATTCTTATTCTGCGTTTTGGGACAATTCTAAAATGACCGATACCAAACTGGCTGCACAGCTCAGAATGAGGAATATTACCGATGTGTACGTTTGTGGTGTAGCGTATGATGTATGTGTAGGTAAGATAATATTAATTCTGTAGTTTGTATGGATATATGGGTGTAACAAAGACAACATCAATTAGTCTCATTAGTCTCATATAAAGGAAAAAGAAAGGGGATATTGTGGGATTGCAACTTTCTCGTTCCAACCACTGTAATTTTAATAATTTTTCTTTGTTCAACTCATGGAATTGACCATATTGCAAACTTTCTCCGACAATAGCAAGAGAGTAATATGAGTTGCATAAGAATAGTTATGATGAAGCTTCTTTTAGTCATTTGGATTCCAAAATCACCCAAAAATATACCTGTAATAATTGTTTATAACGTCAAATAATGGAAATTATCACTAAATTGATTTTTTTCGAAAAATCTTATATGTTATTAAATATTTAATCGTTAAAATTAAACAAATCTAACCATTGAGTTTACATATTATTCCTAATCTCAATCACTAGGTATAATACTGATAAATACCCTAATCACAGATAAAAAAATTATCGTAATTATTATTTCCTGCAATGTTGTCAAACTTTGCTCATTTTCCTGACTTCTAATTAATGTTAAAACGTCCTTTCAGGAGCAACAGCAATAGACGCAATATCCAGCGGATTCCGCACGATCCTCCTAGACGATTGCTGCAGGGGCGTGGACCTTCTGGATATCGAAAAAACTAAAAATACTGTGATCAAGAACCACGGCGTTGTGGTCAATTCGGATAGAGTTAAAACAATGGTGGAAGGGAACGACAGGCGACCCGAATTGGGTTACAAATTGGCGTTGAATTTGAAAGAAAAACTCAACGCTAAAGCCGAGACATAATTTCCAAAGGAGTACTTAGAAGCATTTATTTTGTAATTATGTTAATAGAGAAGAAAACAGAAGTTGTTGTAGAATAAAGATATCTTAAAGGTAACTTAAATGTTGGACAATATAAATTAGGAGTTTGTAATAGATTATTTAGCTTACTCGAGCTTTTTCTCTTACTATAAATTATTGATTCTTAATGAATCAGGACAGTTACAATTTACAATAGTAGATACTTATACACTGTGCTTCATTCCAGATCGCAACATAGGTTATATAGGCTATAGGTGCGATAGAGACAACTTCCATTAGACATTTATAAAGGAAAAAGAAAGAGTGACATTTGTGTCGTTGCAACTTTTCATTCTGACAACTGTTATTTTATTAATCTTTCTTTGTTCAACTCATAGAAATGACTATGTTACGGTCTGAATTGAAGCAATCTGTATGTTAGGACCATAACAAATTTCCTTCATTCTTTTCGAGCTCTACCAAAACGGGAAATTTCCCACCAACTGGTTGACTCACCAAGTTCTATACTGACCATATTATAGATACTACAAAGATTAAGTTAAAAGCTTATCAATTTAGACTTTCAACAAATGGTAAACATTTCAATAATTTCTTGAATTTTAAAATATTAGGTCATTAGGTGTCTGTAGGCAAATATGTAAGTGCTAGTGATGTGTGAAATGCAAAATTAACGTGATAATTATTTTTAATTCTATCGATATATTTTCAATCAGCCCCGAAATAGTGTTTTAAAACAAACTCTCGTTAAATTTTTTGTCGCTTTTATAAATTATTGAGTCCTCGAAATAATTAAAATCGGATTTAACGCGATCCAACGTATTATTGCTTTATTATCGAACAAAACAAATTAAACCGAATAAATTGTTTTGGCGATGAAAAGGGGAAATGCATGTAGTTTTTCAATCAAAATTTGGGCGCACAATGGAAATGTAATCATTAAATATCATGCCTGAATGAAAGCAGCACTAACCTAAATGTTAAACAATAAAGACATTAAGCGTTTACCCAAACATATTCCTGCCTAAAATAAAGGGAAATAGTTATACTGCTATAGGGCAGATAGTTGAAAAGCAACGTATATTAATATGGTGAAAATAATTATAGGTTGTTGAGTACCTAATTAGTATAGTAATTAATCTCAAAAGTGATTATAAAGTATTATTAATGTATATAATTTGTTAATTATAATTTTCTTAGTCCGGATATCTGGATGAGTACTCGTAGAAGTTGTGAATAATGTTATAAAATTTATTGCTAATAAAGTAAATGTTAGTGTTCATAAAATTATCCTTTTTTAAGCCTTAATACTACGGAAGATATGCTGGAGAAAAAAACAGTGAGAATACAAGGTATTCCAAAATAAGAAGGACTCAAAAAAGTTTATTAGATAAATTTTAATATACTTTCAATGTATCTACTCTACATTACTTGTATTTGTTCCATCTTAAAGATACTCCGAGATATTTTTTTATCTACAAGATAATTTCCATATTTTTAGAAAATTATAGCAAATACGTTTCCCTCTAGCATAGCTTTGTGCTTTTATCAGTTACATGTTCATTTATTTTTTCATATCTGGAGAATAGCCCGTTTTGGAGATAACCAGCTTAGCAATTACGACAGAAAAAAAACTATCGCAAATACGGTAGAAAGTTATTGTCGGACTAATGCGTTGTCGAGTCGTAGTAATTACAGTTATGAAAAATTCTTATTCGATTCGTTTCCACATGCCGTATAAGTGGGACAAAGCCTACTATTATGAAATGCAATGCGAATTCGTTCAATTCTCAACTTCCCCTTGTGTGTAATTACCGATTGGCAATTGCTATAAAAAATTAAACGGTTTGATTCATTTTAAAAAGGGAATCCTGTACTGATTCAATAAGCTGGGTATTTGCTACAAAACTTTTATCGATGAAATTGTTGTGCATTTTGAATAAGCGATTGTTCATAATAATATAATAGTTTATTGAACTTTTCGGTGAATTAATTTTCTTATCTGATTGCCAAAATAATAATTAGCGAATTAAATGTTGATTTTATTTAATAAACTGCATGTATTTTTACGCTATATTGTTTTATAAAAAAACAAAATGCAAATGGAAGTAGCTAATTAACATATTTTTATTAGTCCATAAATTATATACACTCGTTGAGTGATTAATTAAATTCAATATTATTTATTACATCATTATTCAACACCCCTATTTCTGGTCCAAGGTTATTTTGTAAGGTATAGGTACATTATTTCAAAACTAGCTCGAAGTCTTTAGGATTTCATCACATTGCTCGTGATTTTTTCGTACGTTTTGATACGCAGTAATGACCTCCTATTGACAATTTCGTGTCTAAATTGATCTGTGAAATAAGAATATAATACTCTTTGACCATGACACTATCGCTAGTCGTGAAAAGCTTAATTAGTGCCTTAGGCGATTATTTACTTGAATTGAAAGTTTTTAAAAAGGTAATTTCCTGTTTCGTACACTCCTGTTTCGTACACCGAGGGATTTTTACCTGAAAAATTCCTGTTTCGTACACTGAATAAATTAAATGAATTTTCGAAGTCTACTTCGTACACCGACCCTAATTTCAGGTACCTGTCAGCAGGGTACTTACTGGAAATTCATCGAAAAAAATGGGTACTTACGTAATGATGGGAAAATCATTAAATAAGGAATAAGCCCCGGTTATCTTAGAATTTTTGATCGGTGTGTATTTTCTGTAAGGGTTTAAAAGAGCAATAATTTTCAAAATCTCGATTAGTTTGTTGTAAGCACTTGCTCTGTTCGAATATTTGCTTATTTTGATATTAGTTTTAAATTTTGCATCGAGTGGTTAGTGACATGGAAGTTCAAGTAGTGAAGACTAAAAGAGGTAATCCAGCAATTTTGCATTCGGGACACCGTTATACTAAAAAACGAATGTTTAAAAACACTAATATTTTATGGACCTGTAACATCAGGACGTGCCCTGGTACTTTGACTACCAGTCAAACCTACGAGGTGATAGATAATAAGTCAAGTCATACCTGTGCACCAAATGTTGCCAGAAATCAGGTTGAGGTATGCCTACAAAATGTAAAAAAACGTGCCCGGGAAGAGCTGCTTCCAATCCCACAAATCTACAGACAAGAAATTGCCGCCGTCAAAGATGCTGGACTCGACTTTGTCGTCAATGTGCCTGAATTGTCCTCGGTTAAGGGAAGATTCTATAGAGAGAGGCACCGAGCTCTAGGCATCGATGTTCTTCCCAAAAAACGAGCAGATATCGTCATGACGGAAGAAATGAAAGAACATTTATTGGTTGATGATGGAGCTGAAGATAGGATCATTATTTTTGCAGCAAATGGAGGAAAACTTCTAACAGAAGCGACTGAAATTTTTATGGATGGTACCTTCAAGAGTTGCTGCCCTCTATTTGATCAACTTTACACCATACATATGGACGTGGGAAGCACTTCGGAGGAAACACGAATTGTGCCTGTGATCTATGCACTGCTTCCGGATCGAAAAGAAGCGACTTACACAAGATTTTTGACACTGGTGAAGAATAATGTGCCAAAGTTAAGCCCCAAGAAAGTTCACATTGATTTTGAGCGGGCAGCAATTAATGCAGTGAAAGCCGTTTTCCCAGAAAGTACAGTCAAAGGATGTAATTTTCACTTTAATCAGGCTATATGGAGGAAAATTCAAGAACTTGAATTAGTGACTGATTACAAAGACGATACAGAAGTTCGAGACCACCTTCGTAGATGTGCTGCATTAGCACATCTCCCAGAAGCCTACATCACAGATGCATGGCTTCAAATAATGGAAAATTGCCCAAATATAGAGAAGGTTAGTAGATTTAACGACTATTTCGTGAATCAGTGGTTGGAAATGGATTATATTTGGATATGCTATGGAGAACGGCATAGAACTACAAATGCTGTGGAAGGATGGCATAGCAGATTAAATAGGCGCATTGCCAAAAGTCATCCAAACATTTACGAACTGACCAAAGTGTTAAAAGAAGAAATTGAATACTACGACATCGTACTTAAAAAATATGACTTATATGTGACAACTCCAAAGCGTGCCAAAAGATACATAGATCTGGACGACCGAATACAAAGAATATTGGAATACCATTTAAACGTTAGAGGTGACATAAATGGTACATTAAACCGTTTAATTTATGTAGTAAAATTTAATTAAGTTTAAATAACTATTTTGTATATATTCTGTTTTACAATTATGATTTATAAAATAAATATGTTTAAAAAACCCGGGTGTAGTAATTTCAAAGAAATAAAGCTGGGTTATTAAAAAGGCCAGTGTACGAAATAGACTTCGAAAATTCATTTAATTTATTCAGTGTACGAAACAGGAATTTTTCAGGTAAAAATCCCTCGGTGTACGAAACAGGAGTGTACGAAACAGACCTGAATCTTTAAAAATGTATCATTTAATTTCATGATAAAGATCACATAATATGCTATTTAATTGATGAAAGTGAATGCTACGATAAAAAAATTGTGAATATTTTGCCATTGAAAATTTACACAATTATTTACCAAAAATCTTTTTGTAAATGTTAAGTAGTTTTGAAGAATCTAGTGAAAGATTTTTTACTACGAGTCCATCCTCATTCCAACAGCATAAATGTGTCGCAATCTGCATTTAAGTATAAATAAGTGTACATGTAGAGGTATCATACAAGCTTCAAAATAATTGCAGCATTTCAATAAATACCTGCAATTTATCGATAAAATTATATAATTTAGTAGTAAGGAAGTCTTATTTATTCGTCACTCGTAACAGGCGTTCTTCTTTCATACATTGGCAAATCTTTAAGTATTTTTATGTATTTATTTAATTCGCTCGTATTCGTAGTCGTCTATTAGAATTACATGTACGCAAACCTATATTTAAACGTTTTCATACTGTTTCGGGATTTTTATGTAACATTTTAATTAATGAGTTCATAATCCAGCAAAAATCGAGAATTCTCTAAAAATGCACCAGAAATTACCAAATCATAAATAAACATATTCACTAAATAATCGTCTTGAGTTTATCTAATTTCGCGGTAAAAACCACTTTCTTCATCTGGTTATGTTTGTTCGAATGTTTGCAAAAAATCCTACACCAATTTCCATTTTTGATATAATTTTAACGTATGCATAACGTGTCTTACGTAAGAGGAATTTAAAAGAAATCTAGACCTGCCCAGTGCCCACACTAAGAAATACGCTTCAAGCCACCGGATCTTGTTTTGGCATTTTTAGAATATCCGCTCGAACAGACGAAGCTGTCAGACAATGTAATGTGTAGGTAGGTGTATCGGTAGCAGAAATAGCGGTCAATAAAAATGAAAGTATCCGGGGTAGCTACGTTGATTAATTATCGGCGGTTAGTTTTTTTTTTCGTTGCATAAGGTTAAAGCCAATAAACTAGATGAATAGACATAAAAACTATTCTAATTTCTAAGTCTGGAAAGCCCAAATTACGTATCATTCACTAATAACTGACAATGTAATTTATTAGTAATTTACCTTTGTTTTGTTGAATTATCAAAAGATGATAGATACACCTATGAAATATTACGAATGTGACTTATTTTCAAGATGTTACTTGTTTTCATAAATAATATACAGGGTGTTTCCTAAACATGCGGCAAAAATTCAGGGGGTTGTTCCTTGGACTATTTTAAGAATGTTTTGTCCTTTGATGATTTTTGAAAAACCTCTTTGTTTCTAAGATACAGGGCGAACAACATTTTTCATATTTTTAAAATTAATAATAGTTTAAATAAAAATGCGTACCGCACTGTGTTTACTAAATAGGTACAATTTATTTTTAAATTTGTTTAACAACATTCCAATTACTAAAAACGGCCAGTTTTTTGACTTAAAATTGATAAGTTCAGATGGTAAAGGAATACAGATTAAACTGAGGAGAACGAAGGGGATGAGGAGAAGATTGGATGCTTGTATGCTGGCTAGAGGTGATCATTTTCAACAGTTTTTGTAGGTTAAGTTAAATTTTCATGTAATTTTTCATAATAAAATGTTATTATCTAAAATTTTGTTTCCCCTGTATCTTCGAAACAAAGAGGTTTTTCAAAAATCATCAAAGGACAAAATATTCTTAGAATAGTCCAAGGAACAACCACCTGAATTTTTGCCGCATGTTTAGGAAACACCCTGTATAATAAATCCTCGTTAAAATGTATCTTGAAGCTAGTTTATTCAAGAGCAAATCAC